CTGTGAAGGCGAGGAAGGAGTAAATCGGAAGAAGGAGTGTTTCCTCTTTAAAAAACAAACCATTTAATTTCTGCATTTCGTTGCAGGCAAATAATTTGATAGCTTTTTTAATGCGTGTAAAGGGGGGGGGGTCACATACGACAAAAGAACAAACTTTTAAAAGGGTCTTGAGTAACATTTACTATATATACTATATACAGTAGTTCTCCCTTACGGAAGCGTATTAGTGCCACGTAATGTTTTTTTTAAGTTGGAAAAGCCAACTTTAAAGTTGGAAAAGCCAAGATAAAAAATGGAATTACCAACTTTTAAAAAAAAAAAACAGTACTTGGCACTAATACGCTTCCGTAAGGGAGAACTACTGTATATAGAATATGTTGGAAATTTAGTGGTTACCCCGCCCCCCCCCCCCCCCAACCACCACCACCACGAATGTTTTTTACAGATCTAACAGATCGAACATTAGCCATTAAAACGATTTACATAAGACACATATAAAAATTCCCACACATAGGTACTTTTCCTAGGGTAAAAAGAATATCCGAAAGATATTATTCGATATTTTAAAATCCTCCAAATTTTGTTATTATTGTAAGAACTACGCACACTAACTCTCGATTCCCGCCTAAATTTTCCATCCATTTAATTCAATATAAATGGCAATTTGGACATAAAAACTTGTTTGAAAGCAAAGAAAAGTTCATTTGTACTAATTTTAAAAACCAGTGACAAAAAATTAATTACTCTTATTTACAATTCCTTTCATAAGGGGGTAGAAAATTTTATCAATTGAAATCAGGCTGAAAACATTACCATTTTCAAATACTCATGAAAATGAAAATGGATAAATGACTGTTAAATCTCACCGTATGTTTTAACTTATGTAAAATTTAACATATGAGATTGATAAAGTGATAAAGTACATTTTTTATTTGTGATCTCATTTGAAATTGGTAATAAAATGACTATTTTCCTGTTTTTAATCTTCAAAAACACCCCCCCCCCCCCACCGTGAGACAACAAAACCTTTGGAATGATTAAAAACTGAAAAAAAAAGGATCTCTTGTTTCTCGGGGGAAGATGTTTTGAAAATAAATTTCCATTTTCCTTTAATTTCTGTAGTGAAATATTTTCTCAAATTAAAGATCTATATCTCTTTATTTTCCCAAATAAGTTATATTTTACATACACGGATCTAGAGGGGGGTCGGTGGGAGGGGGTGGGTGGGTGTCCAGACCACCCCCTGGAATTTGTAGAGTTATTTAATGTATATACTAAACCAACTAAAAGCCACGGTGACCTTGGACCCCCCCCCCCGCCCCCCCCCCCCTAGAAAACGTGGATCCGTGTTAAGTTGATATGAAAAGTTATAGATATGAAGCATAAGATGTCAACCCCCCCCCCCCCCGCCGAAATAGGCTTTTTACGTTTAGGAAAGGCGTTTACGTTTTTGTTTTTAATTTCTGGGTTGGATTTTTTTTACTCGGGTGGACCCCTCCTGTAAAAAAAAATCCTGGATCCGCGCCTGGTTTTTTGAAAATTCACATAAATATCAATATAAACATGAAAATTTATTCAAATATGTGTGGCAGTTGGCAGTAAGCCGTGAGCAGTTGGAAGTAAGCCGTGAGCAGTTGGCAGTAAGCAGTTAGCAGTTGGCAGTAAGCAGTTGGCTGTTGTATATGGAATTCCATACTGAAAGTTTTTTTTTTTTTGGTTATATACGAAAGCCCACTGAATTCATCATATTTCCGCAGTTAAAAAAAAACCTTATATAACACAAAACTTGCAGGAATTAACGGTAACTTCCGCATTGTATCGCAAAATGTATTCATTTATTCGCGAAAGTGTTAGGTTATATCGCGAAAACAAAAGGTCTGCGATAATGAGCTCAATGGGCTTCATAATTTATATCTCCCAAATAAGTTTAAAGAAAGAAAGAAAGGAAACCTGAAATACTGTCAGTATTTTTAGTGGAAACGACATTCAAACTGAAATCTATGCACACAGAAAATGTTAAATTTAAAACTAATAAGGATGTCCTTGACAGCTGGCTAAATTTTGAGCATTATTTCACCTGTTATTTCAACACGTGATCTATCTAGACCCTTTTTAAAAATCATTTTGATGACCAAAAATAAAATAAAACTATCGAACGAACAAATATTGCACCAGACTCAGTAAATGTAGATTTTTTTTGTAAAAAAAATTAAAACATTAAACTGTCGTTATATTTGTACTGAATAGTTGAAATATTATAAGTTAGAATATATTTTAAAATAAGCTTTTTTTTCTTTTTTCGTAAGAATTATTCGAAACGATTCATATTTTTTCCTTTCCCATCAAAATATAAATTTTACTAAAATATCTTTGAGGTACGAAAGCCTAGAAAGGTCAAATAAGGAAAATGAAAAAAAAAAAATAAAAGTCGTAATAACGACTTTTTATCTCGTAATATTTACATTTCCAATGTCTTTGTCCGAGATAAAATTACAAATTGTAAAAATACTTTATTTCTACATAAATCTACTGGTTCATCGATAGGCGCGGTAAAAAAAAATCACGTGCGGGGCGGGACAAATAGAGACAGAAGCGGGGCTATTAGCACGGGAATTTGCAGAATCAGGAGCATGTAAATATAAGGAATAACTGTCTAATTTTTTGGATTCATGACGATGATCAGTCGATTGGCTTGCGTAGCCCTTTTCACAAAAAATCTTAAGTTTTTGCGTAAGATTTTAACTTAAGAATCTCTTACGACAAATCTTAAGTGCTTTTCACGAACGCATTCGTAGCAGATTGAACTTAAGATTTTACTTACGACAGACTTCATCCCTAGCAACGACTTCAATATGCTTTATAATCCTTAAATAAGTGGGTGAAAATAAAAATAAAACTTAGTTTTCAACATTTGTCAGCAAAACAAACATTATTGAATACAAATATCGAATGCAATCGTTTGTGAAGCAAGGAAGTTTAAAATCTGACGTCACAATCGCAAGTCTGACGTAAAAGTAGGTCATACGAAAATCTTAAGTGAAACTTACATCGTAAATATTTTGTAGTGTATTTCATTTAATTTTTCGGCAATGATTGTGAAAAAAATATAAAATATTATTGGAAGTTGCTTTAAAAAGTTTTATGTAACGTGTATTTTGTTTTTTGCGGTTATATTTTTACAATAAAATCGATTTTAAAATACTTAAGAGAGGGTTGGGGCTCTCGTAAAGTTACGACAGATTTTGCACTTACGACTTTCTTAAGAATTTTTGTGAAAACGATTTTCATCATATGTTTTCACTTAAGATAAAAATATGTCGTAAGATTTTTTGTGAAAAGGTCCACTGTTCAGAAAATTACGATAATCGTTTGATGATTTAACTGCCCTGTTAAAGCTTTGTTAACTTTGACAAAAGTATGATAATTTGTTGCGTAATACAATGTAGCAATGTTGTTGCAATTAATAAAATGTGTAGCAAAAATATATTCTCCCAGTTTTACTTAATGAGAATAAATAATGTCGATATGGCTCCATTTATTAGGCTTTCACATCGATATCTTGACAGTTCTTGTCTGTTAATGTACGTTTGTCATCCTGAGTTTGAACAACAATTAAACTGTATTGAAAAAAAATGATGACTTAATTCTCTGATTTGAATAAGCTGCTTACATGAAGTGGTCGCACGGGAAGGGGCTTAGCCCCCCCCCCCTTTTGCAAAGATAAACATAATATAGGCATTGAAATTTGGGGCTTAGCCCCCAAACTTTTTTTGGGGGGTTGGGGGGGTTGGGGGGTTAACCCCCCCCCCCCGTTTAAAATTTGCTTCCGACGCCTATATATCATATATAATATGTTGAAATAATGTCTGCGATGCGTAGTAGTAATGTCTGCGATATTCAATTTAGCGATATAATTTATATGAATTATTTAAGTGCGGCATCGATAAATTCGACTTAGATAGATTAAAGTGTGTAAGTCGTCCAAAACATATCAAAAAGTGTCCTTCTTTAGAGATTATTGTCATAGATAAATCTGCAAACTTTGAAGCAACCGTTTTGAACAATAATATAATTATAAAAATTTCGCCTTCCAACTCAACAACACGAGACCATTATACGTTTCCGTACTTCTACGCTTTCGTAACCTAAAAGGATCAAATTAGGAAAATGTTCAAAATGAAAAAAAAAATAAAATAAAAAGTCGTAATTACGAGATAAAAAGTCGTAATAACGAGATAAAAAGTCGTTATTACGACTTTCTTAAGTCGTAATAACGAGATAAAAAGTCGTAATTACGAGAATAAAAAGTCGTTATTACGACTTTCTTAAGTCGTAATAACGAGATAAAAGTCGTAAGTACGACTTTCTTAAGTCGTAATAACGAGATAAAAAGTAGTTATTACGACTTAAGAAAGTCGTAATAACGAGATAAAAAGTCGTTATTATGAGATAAAAAGTCGTAATTACGAGATAAAAAGTCGTTATTACGACTTAAGAAAGTCGTAATTACGACTTACTGAAGTCGTAATTACGACTTTCTTAAGTCGGAATAACGAGATAAAAAGTCGTAATTACGAGATAAAAAGTCGTTATTACTTTTTTTATTTTTTTTCATTTTTCTTATTTGACCCTTCTAGGCTTTCGTATTGAGGCTGTAAACGAACGATTACAAATTTATTCTGCAATATATCTATCAAATGTGTCGTAGAGGAAAAACACCAAGTGGACTGAAAAATCCGGAGAGCGAAGTGATGTAAAATTGTAAATCTTCCGGTGCATTTAAAGAAATATTTTCTAATCCGGATATAAACGGGAAAAAAGTTATAGATCAAATAAAAATCTTAGAATTTTAAATATTCTTTAACAGTTTACATTTTATCGAATAACCTGAAATGATGGTAAACATCAACTTTCCTAAATTATACTTTGAAAATTCATAGAGATCTAATTTTTCAAAAACCGTTTTAATCCATTAAAAGCGGTCGTGTATTTTTATTCTAATTCGCATGATGTAAAGCTTTTCAAGGACGTAGTTGCCCTGCACATGTGAAAATCCAACAACGGTAGAAAAGCATGGATCCTAACAAGTTAAAAGATTTGCTAACCAAAGGTGGTAAAAAGGGTGGCAGATTTGGAATTGGCCTGGCAGCAGTTGTTGGAGCTGCATTAGGAATTCAACAGTCATTTTACACAGGTAAGATTGTTGAATATCTGTTCTGTCTGAAATCTTACGCAACTTATATTTGACCTGTCAATATACAGATAAATATATTCTAACGATTTAATTTTTGTTGTTGTTGTTATTTTTAGAATCCTTTAATTCTTTCATTTATGATTATTCATATGGAATAATTCTAAAAATTGTGTCCTTCCTTTTGTAGTTGATGGAGGTCACCGATCAATCATATTTAGTCGCATTGGTGGGGTCCAAAAGCAAGTCTTTTCTGAAGGGCTTCATTTCAGGTATTAGTTCTGTCATTTGTTTGTGTATAAAGATGACAGACTGCATGGCTGTGACAGTGTCAGAGTGAATACAGTTTTTTTTTAATATGCAATACTCCTAATATTTATAATACCCAACTATGCTTCACCAGCATAATATGTCCAGTAAGTTTATACAAGTCTGGCACAAAGCTCTTGATTTAGTATATAGCTTGCATATATGTCAAGAATTTAGTGCTGACTTTAACCAGTGTTCAATACGTTCTATTTCCACTATGGAAGAGTTATACTTCTTTGTGCGCTCTTTTTGTGAAAAAGTTGGAAAATGTACAAATCTCGCGGGATTTCTTGGACAAACATAACATAAACATGTAAACAATATGTTGAATGTCGATGAACAAATCCTAACAAAGTGCAAATGAAATATTTTATTGTTGTGGACTTTATATACACCAAGAGTAGGAATGACAACGATATCAATTTATATCTATTGTTGATCATATGTATCTATTTATCGTATGGTACATCTAATACAATACACATGCATCGGAAATGTCGTATCGTTTAATAATGGATGATAAATTTAGGGTTATCGCTCTCTTACACATATGTCTTTTAGTTCTTCTGTTCTTTAATTGGAATGACAAATACATTTAACATTTAAAATTGGATTGAGATTGGCATGTTTTGTGTTATCTGCAACGCCATGCCTTTCCAGTCAGACGACCAAACTGGCCTCTAATTTTGAAATATTTTATTGTTGTGGACTTTATATACACCAAGAGTAGGAATGACAACGATATCAATTTATATCTATTGTTGATCATATGTGTCTATTTATCGTATGGTACATCTATTACAATACACATGCATCGGAAATGTCGTATCGTTTAATAATGGATAATAAATTTAGGGTTATCGCTCTCTTACATATGTCTTTTAGTTCTTCTGTTCTTTAATTGGAATGACAAATACATTTAACATTTAAAATTGGATTGAGATTGGCATGTTTTGTGTTATCTGCAACGCCATGCCTTTCCAGTCAGACGACCAAACTGGCCTCTAATTTTGAAATATTTTATTGTTGTGGACTTTATATACACCAAGAGTAGGAATGACAACGATATCAATTTATATCTATTGTTGATCATATGTATCTATTTATCGTATGGTACATCTATTACAATACACATGCATCGGAAATGTCGTATCGTTTAATAATGGATAATAAATTTAGGGTTATCGCTCTCTTACATATGTCTTTTAGTTCTTCTGTTCTTTAATTGGAATGACAAATACATTTAACATTTAAAATTGGATTGAGATTGGCATGTTTTGTGTTATCTGCAACGCCATGCCTTCCCAGTCAGACGACCAAACTGGCCTCTAATTTTGAAGAGTTCACTAATGGAAATCAAACGTATTGTAACCAGTTACAAAGGTTACATAACCTTTTCACCGTGGATCATTTTTTTCCATTTCCGTTTTTAATTGGTTACAATGGTTACATTGGTTACAGTGGTTACAAAGTGATACGTTTTTACCTTCATTTTAACCAGTAACACAAGTTACATGCGTAAGCTTCTCATGAACATCAATTACATCATTATTTTTCCAGGGCAGCTTTTCCATTAGCTTGTTTTATTGGACTCTATATATATATAACTAATCTTTTGACTCAGTTTGCACCCTTTTGAGTCTTGAGTTTAAAACTACCTACAATAACTTTAAATGATTGTAAAATAAATTAGCTGACTGTGTTTCTTTCAGAGTACCATGGTTTCAGTATCCCATAATATATGACATAAGAGCAAAACCAAGAAGAATTACATCACCAACTGGAAGCAAAGGTATTTCGAAATGATTTTTCATCCCCATGATTCTTTGAAGTTTCAAGAAATAAAATGAAAAATCAGAAGTAATGCTAATGTTCAGAATGAAAGGAGTGAAAGAAATTTGGAAAAAATTTTTTGCTTTAAGGTTACAAGTGCAAATACTTTCATACAATATTTTGCTTTTATACACACAGATTTGCAGATGGTGAACATCTCTTTAAGAGTCTTGGCGAGACCAGATCAAACATTTCTTCCACAGATTTACAGACAGATAGGCACAGACTATGATGAGAGAGTGCTGCCTTCAATTTGTAATGAGGTATGCTGGAGTAAGACCTTTACTATTTTCTCTCTGTCCTGGAGAGAAAAACAGAGTTAACTTCTGATAATTTCAAAACTTTCTTTGGAGAGGCAACACACTTGGATTTTCATTAAGCAAGCTACTTCTGTTGAAGTTCAAATTCTTCAACATGCAATAAAAGATTTTGTTGCAAATTTTGTTGTTGTTGTTTTTTTTTAAATGAGGATTTGAAAAAAATAAAAAAAAAAACAAAATCATATTAATTGTTCTGCATATTATACCATGACAGTTTTTTCTTTCCATTTGTACACAACTACAGATAACCATTGTATGTAGAATATGTTCAGTTTTCAAAACAGATGCTGATTTTCAACATTTTTTTGCAGCTTTATAACAATAATCACATTGTACATTGTTGTTTCAGGTTTTAAAGTCAGTTGTGGCTAAGTTCAATGCCTCACAGTTAATCACACAGCGTCAACAGGTCAGTATGCTGATCAGGAGAGAACTAACCGAGAGGGCACAAGACTTCCACATTATTTTGGATGATGTGTCTATAACAGAGCTTAGCTTTGGAAAAGAATACACAGCTGCTGTTGAGGCTAAACAGGTAATCACCATTTTTGTATTCTGTCATTCTGTACTGTGATCTATGACTTTGATTATCAGTTTGCCTTGTGAATACTTTCTCATTCTGTTTTCTGGGTTCTTGGCTTAATTTCCTGAATCCCCCCCCCCCCCCCAACCTTTTTACAAAGTTTTAAAAAAATGACTGTGGAAAGGCTAGACTGTGGTTCATTTAATTATGATAAATAATTTTAAAAACAAACTATTTTGTGTGCATTTATAGGTTGCCCAGCAAGAAGCACAGAGAGCCCAGTTCTATGTTGAGAGGGCAAAACAAGAGAAACAGCAGAAAATAGTGCAGGCTGATGGTGAAGCCCAGGCTGCCAAACTTATATCCTTTTGTAGAATTGTTACATGTATATCTTACCAAGAGACTACAAAGTAGAAGTCTATACATCATATGATTATGTACATGTAATTTATTTCTATTTATATGATGGGGAAAAGACCAGCTCGGAAATAAAATGAAAATGCTTAGGTTGAAAAGGAATGGCTGGAAGTATAGTACATATTAACATCTCCAACAAAAATAAAGAACTTCTAATTAGTTTCAGAGTACCCATACTTTTATGCCTGTCCCTGTTAAATTAGTTGATTTCTATTGTGAAAACATGTACAGTCAAACCTCATTATCTCGAACTTGAAAAAAAAACTGAGAGATATCTTAGGATTCCAGATGTTGAGGTTAAAATACATATAGAAAAAGTGGTTGTGATTTCCAACTCACTTTGCCATATGCATGGTATTTAAGATATGATGTTTGAGATACCGAATCATGTTCATGTACAAGGAATCAGAGTTTCCTTTCAGCATGATATTGTATGAATAAACTACAGGAGGAAGTAAAATGTAATATCATATTGTAAATATATTCAGCAACAAGTTAGTACACATATGACATCTGATGATCCTTGACAAAATGAACATAGGAGAGGCTATTCAACAAAATCCTGGCTTTTTGAAACTTAGGAAGATTCAAGCTGCCCAAAAGATTGCCAAAACTGTGAGTATATAAATTTTGTGTCAGCTTTTGCTCACCTTATCTTTTCGATGAAAACCCTAAAAATGGACATTTTAACTCACTTGATCAAGATGAACTCTATTGTCAGTACAAGGTTATTCTTGAGATACTGTAATTGCTTCTTATTCATGTAAATATGTATTTAACAAGAATTGTTTTTTAAATGATTGCAGGATAGAAACATGATGATTTGTTTGTTCTCAGGAACTTTACCTTAGTCTTTAATTTATTTCAGTTGGCGTCTGCACAGAATCGTGTGTATCTACAGTCTGGAAGTTTAATGCTGAATATTACCGACAAAGACTTTGATTCAAACCTAGAGAGTCTTCAAAAGAAACGATAATTGAACAAACTGGAAAAAAATCTGATTTTTTCTATCATTACAGATAAATATTATACATGATCAAGTTATGGGGGCAGTTATTAACTTTCTCATTGTTGGAACATGTATATTCTATACATATGATCATATTGAATTATTCCACAGAGTACCTTTATACATGCCCAATAAACATTGATTGACCGAGTTTGTGAATGGAGGAAAGTAATTCCTTTTGTCATGTTGTGAATAGAAATAAAATGGAAATTAGTATTGAAAGTTTTCTTTTCTGTTCTCATAAAACATTGAATGAAGCTCTGAATATACATAATGTACATGTATAATAAAACCATTGAAAATATCTTTGGAGGATCAAATATACTGTGGTGTGGTCTATTTAGCTCTTCTGAGCCAAAGGCTCAAAGAGCTAATGCTATGGCCATTTGTGCGGTATGCCTAAACATTTTGGAAAATGGGCTATATCTCAAGAACCCCTCTGTCAATTTTTTTCAAATTTGTCAGAGTATCCTTGGCCCAAGGGCTTTCATTTGTACTAAAACTAGGGATGTGTCCCTTAAACTATGGGAGATAATTAGGGAAATAAAATCAAAAGTAGTTGTTGCGAAAAAAATCTTCTTTTCAAGAACCACTGAGCAGATTACCACCAAACTTATATTCAAGGATGAGGATATGTTGTAGATTAAAATTTGCACAGGGAATCACCCTGGGGCAAAGGGCGTGGTCTCAAGGTCACTTCAAAGTTGACAAAAATTTATGTTTAAGTCTGTTTTGCTTAATCTTTTATATTTTGCCCACTATAAGGCCTAGGATCATCAAATCTTGTCAGTTGATGCATCTTCGGACCTCATATCAAAAGTAGGTCATGGTGCCCTACTTTTTGAATTTTGCAGGTATTCATTTTCATTTTCAATTTTGATGCATAACTTGGATACTTTGAAGCCTATGATCATCCAAACTTGTCAGTTTATGCATCATGGGACTTTGAAGTGAGTCAACCAAAAAGTAGGTCAGCGTGACCTACTTTCTGAATTTTATGGCTTATCATTTTCTAAACATTTAAGGTCATTATTTCAGATACTAAGAGGTTTAGAATCATCAGAAGTTGTAAGTTGATGCAGCTAGGGGCCTTAAAACAGATTTATTAAAAAGTAGTCACAGTGACCTACTTTTGGAATTTTACAAGTATTCATTTTCAAATTGTTTTAGGGGCATATTTTGGACACTTAGAAGCATAGGATCATCAAACTTTGTCAGATGATGCATCTTGAGTCCTCAGAGTGTGTCAACAAAAAAGTAGGTCACTGTGACCTACTTTTGGAATTTGATGGCTATTTTCAGATACTTATTGGCTTAGAGTCATCAAACTTTGTCAGTTGATGCATCTTGAATCCTCGGAGTGTATCAACCAAAAAGTAGGTCACTGTGACCTACTTTTGCAACTTCATGGCTAAATTTAAATATTCCAGATACTAAGTGGCTTGGAATTATCAAACTTTGTCAATTGTTGCCATACTGACCTACTTTTGGAATTTCAAGGCTTTATCCTTATATATAGGTTACCAAGAGGCTTAAAACAGATGAGATTATAAGTTGTACAATTTTCAGAAGAGCTATTCTAGGCCCTTGTGCCTCTTGTTTTTTTAATCACCTATCAATCTTTTTTTCTGGAATTAATATGGGCATCTACCAAATTGCTGTATACATACAGAAGTAAGATGCAGTTGCACATCTTAAGTAATTCTGAGCCTTAATTTAGCTCAGGTGGGCTAAAATCTTTTTTGTTGTTGTTGTTGTTGAACACAGTCCTTGATATGTCAGCATCTCCATTAAATTTCAAATCATAGCCCAATGTGGGGCACAATGGGATGTCAAAATTTGCTATAAGAATGTATAGGTAAAGGGTTTTAAAAAACTTTTCTCAAGAACAGAAGAGATATACAATCATTTATTATCACACTGTTATACAATTATCCCCATGCATCTTGCAAGTTTGGTTAACTAATGCCACCAAAGGTAGAATGTAGCCATAATAAAAAAAGGAAGTTTTTAAAACTCTTTTCAATCACGGTCAAGGTAACCTAGTGTTTAAACCAATGGTCACTTGAAAATGTAAACTAAACTATAAAAAAATTGTATTGTAATTGAGATTTAATTTTCCATGGCTTGCATGCCATCTCCTTTACAAGTTTAGATTCATAAATGACCCCATTTTCTAACTTTATATACATCCTTAGTATACACTTTTACAGCAGGTTGAATATGATTTTCAAATAAGGATCTAAATCTTAAGAAGGGAAGTAATTTAGGTAAGCATTGTGATACACATTGTGTCAATTTTAAATTGAACATTATGACCCAACATGATATTTTTGCATAAAACAGTTAAAACACAAGTTTTCTCATTTTATATAAAAGAGTATTGTCAGATATATCAGGTACATTGTAGTTATACAAATGACAGTCATTCTCTTATGGAAATACAATTAATATATATTCATGTATGTGTATATGAAGAGATACTCCTTTACAGAATTACTTAGCATCTAATGAGATACATGTATTCTGTTATGAAAATACAAGTACAAAATTACATATGATGAGACATCCCTAATAAAGATTCAGAATTGTGTACTTATATGTATTGAGACATTCCCTCATGAAGATAACAGATGATGTATAAAAAAAGATAAGAATCATGTACCATTCCTTCATGAAAAGTATTTAAATTACATATGAGATACCCCTCATGAAATACAAATACACTGTACGTGTACCTTTATAAATAACATACAATGCGACATTCCCTCATGAGATACAGAAAAACATGATGAGACAAAGAATGGCATACAATGAGACTAATTACGGTACTTCATGAGATGAAGAATAACATATGCTGAGACATTCCCACAAGAGATGAAGGATCACATGCAATGAGATTTTAACACATCAGATACAGAATTACGTATGATGAAACATTCCCTTCACCTCTTTTTGTAAACATCCAATAAGTAGTACATTTGTAATAACAAAACTACCTCATTTCTACTGAGAATTTTTTTTAGTTGCCACGAAATTTGAAATGAACAATTTATGCAGTAAACAATATTAATAACATGTCATTTCTTCAGTTTCTTTGACTTTCTTTCTGGTTTTTTTACAGTTTGTTTGACAACTTTTGGTTCAGATTTTTCTACAGGAGCTCTGAAGTTGACATTTGCCGATTTCTGAGATCTCGCACTTCCAGGAATTGTTGCAGCTCTACTGTCATGCACACTAACACTGGGCTCGGAGATGAGAGATCTAGGTGTTCTGTTGTCATCTAAATGAAGATTTTCTTCCCAAAGAGGTTTGAGACTTTTTACCATGGCCCAATAATTTGACTGCAATATAATAGTAAGATTTTTAATTCCTGGGGGGGGGGGGGGACCATACATGTAATGAATTTTTATTTAAATATAAGTTAATAGCAATTTGCAAACATTTAGATTCCATATGTATACATGTATTTAAACTTTAAAACATTAAATGTTGAATTATTTTTACAATTCTTGAATTTACCAATAGTTAAAGAAAACTAATTCCATAATACATGTATGAAGTCATTACTTTTACAAATAACTACAAGTACTAGCTCTACAACTTGCAAAACAAAATATCTCTGTAAAGACTGTAGCTCCACTGGTTTTGACTAAAAAATAGTCTTGTGCTTATCTGGCCAATAAACAAAAAATAGGCATATATGTTCCTTGAAGTTCATATTTGGATATATGGTTTATTCTTTACTTAGATGAAAAGAGAGAAACAAAGTAAATAGGATTCACCTTGAAAATGATTTTACAGATGCATAATTTATTTCAGTATCACTGACCACATTATGCAGCAAAAAGCAAAATTGCCATGAAAAAAGAAAAAAAGAATTGAAATTTTGCATTGTAATACTATTTTGCATAGTATGACCAGAGTCCAAAATGTAAAAGGACAAGTGCACTTAAGCAATGCTTAATGGGCCCTTTTCAGTGCCGTATTACTTTAGAATATATTACCATATTGTTCTCTTCTGGTAACAGTTAAACACAAGTGGATATTTCTAATTAAAATCACATTAAAACATCACCTAAATCAGGATGGATTTGAAACAAATGAAGATTTTTAAATGCCTATAGACACCCCAAATCCGGAAAGTCGTATCGAACCTATTTTGAGTTTCGTTTATTTAAATCAAGGGGAGGAGGCCTTTAAATCAGACACTTGAACAATCTGATGGTGGATCATTGACGGGTGCGTTTGCCGAATGATACTTCTTGCGCTATTTTACCTGAGAAAAAAATCGAATGAAGTTGTATAGATGCCTGTAGCCATAGTGATCAAACTAAGAAATTTGCACGCTTGCATTTGAAATAATACAATAAGTATTAACATTAGTTCCTTTAAATTTTAAAATGAAAAAAAAGTGTATTTTGGTGGCTTTCAATACCGGTAACATTGTCTTGCATGAATGTTAAAAATGTTTGACGCTTTTATGTTTAACGACACTAAACTCTCCTAACCCTCCCGTGTTGCAACAACCAAATACATACAAACTTCTCTATGTGGCACGACTTTGATATAATGATGCAAAACGTGGCTATCTTTACAGTGAGCACCTTTTAGGAATGTTTACCTGGGTAGAACTCACGTGACTACCGGTATTTTGAATAATTTATTCCACGGGTGGGTTCAACATAGGTCATACAGGTAAATAGCTCTCGCTTACTATGGGAAAAACACTGAACTTTTCATACATTTTTAATATTTTAAGTACAAGCCTAATCTTGTACAAATTTCATACTTTAATTAACACAAGTTTTATAAATGCATAATGCGTTTTTTGTCATTCGCAGAAGTTTGTACAACGTTAGGCTGACAGTACACAAAAGCTTTGAAATGAATGACCGTCCTCGATTAACTATAGAAAATCACGAATGTTGGCTGACCCCTACCACATTGTGTGGCTGTGCTCTTTGTATGTTCATGAATTTCAGCGATAAAATTTGTTGAATCTTATGGTTCAGATATCAATTAATGATCTGAGATGAAAAATTATGCTTAATTTGATTCTTCATTTTTTCACATTTTACCAGGGCCCATAAGTGCACTCGTTCTTTGCTTTAAAAAAAGTTTCTATGAATGTAAATGTTGTATTTGTTGCACTGTATTGCCATATGGCATACAATGACTGGCAACGAAATGTTTAGTTGTTCATTGATACCAGCACTTAGAAATTTTCCTTCTTTTTACCTGCACTGTGACAGTTTGACCAGAGGAGCTACAAAAACCAACATTACTCCTTCCTGGCAAATGATTTTCAAGAGCTACCATCCATCATTTGTCCATCACCAAGAACTAAATCTTATCAAAGTCTATAGATATTGTCTTACTCAGACATTCCAGTTTATATTGAACTAGGGAAAAAAGGAACAAACATGTAATCATGCTAAACTGTACATACTAATTGCCTGTACCTAATGTACTAAAGGTATAAAGCCTACCCCCTCCCCCCCCCCCCCCCCCCTTTCCCGTCTTGATATACCACATACAGAAACAGCTGTATTCCTAAGGTAGCAGAAGATTTCTAAGAAGGCTCTTTATTAAGCTTTAAGTAACATTCCTGGAATGCACTATGTAAATAATTGTAGAGTTATATTATAAGAGTATTTTGACCTTTTAAAAACTAAAACCTCTCAAATGTAAATTACTCAGAATATATTTCTTTCATATTATGTCATACTTTTTCTTTGTCATTCTGTAATACAAATAGGTTATAATATGAATTTCCATAAACTGAATTCATCGTAATCATATTTCATTAACAAGAGTAATGTTTTACTTGAGTACTTAATATTGCAAAATGACCTAGATGTCAAATTGCAAGAAAATTTCCAGTGAACTTTGATCAAGACATTTTAAATGTATTTTAGCAATATAAATAAAAACATAGGTAATTAAAGATTACCTCAAAGAATTTTATCTATAAAGTAAGGCATATCTCATCAAATTTTTTCTAGTTAGTGTGCATCCCAAGATCAATATCAATGCAAGTTTGGTTTGGGTAGGACTTACAGTTCCAAAAATAGTCCAGTCAGTTTATCATGAAACTTCAAACTCATTGCAACACAGTTTCTTTTGTTTTAAATAAACTCTAGAATGCTCAAAATAAATAAAATCTTACAAAATTGGATGACCGGAAAGCATATTATTTGGGGTTCATAAATTTTCTATGAAAATAACCATGGAAAGGGGCATAACTCTTGTCAATTTAGTAGATTTTGGTTAAAATTTTGGTGCATTTTTCTAACCTGAATAAAGAGGAAATGAATTAAACTGTGTAAAATGACATTTATAGATGCAATAAAGCCTTTTATATCCAGCAAAAAACATTTTTATAGATGTGTTTAGGCTTATTCAGAGTGTATGTTTCATTTATTTTCCCCATAATGATAAAATTTTAGGGCAGACTGTTATCAAAAATTCTGTCTCTAAATTTTTATGGATATGTGCTTTTTTATTATATTTTAGTAAATATGTACTAAATGAAATGATCTGTGCTTACTAAATCTTAGTCGAACAAAAATTTATTTTTTTTATTCTTTTTTAAATTCTGTGATCATTATATATCTATATTTAAAAAATGCTATACAGCTGAACTTCGATATCTCGAACACGGATATCCCGTTTTTTGGGGGGTCCCATCCAGTATGAAATAACAAGGTTTAACTGTGCATTTCCAAATTACCAAATAGTATGAAATTAAATTCAAAATGGCCATTTCAAATTCATATTATTTACATGAAAAAATGATCTATTAAACTGTTTCAGAAAAGTTTAAATCAGAATTAAATTTCAGGAAAAACTGAAATTTTCTTTTAATATTGCTTCAGCAAAACATTGGATGCATTTGAAGAGTTATACCCCTTTTCTATAGTAATTCCAATGGCTAATTAAATCATGCCTAAGTTATGCTTTCTGCCCATTAGATATTCTTAGATTTTTTTGCTGCAAAATTTTGTATATGTTAGATTTAATTTATAACAAAATAATTTATGTTGCAATTAGTTTGATGTTGGGCCCATATACTGGACTGGTGTCGGGTGGTTACGCTCCGATTCCGTGTTCGACCCGCGTGGTTACGACCCAAGTGGTTTCGACCTACTCTAATATATATCCCTACATGTCAATACCTGAGTACAGGGGTATACACTGTGCGGTAAACAAATGGATATCCGGTAGCTGTATATTGTATGGCTTCAGAGATGTGCGTGTCAATAGGTAGTTGTTTCCGTATGTGTAGTCAACATGCAGGTTTCCTAACATTTTTTTCTACTATCGCGGAGCATGAATGTTGATAAATTTGATTTAGTAATGAATTATATTTAAACAGTTTTCCATAAAAATTAATCAAATACTTCTTCAAATGTACCGTGATCACATATGCACTGTCTGAACAATGTACGTTTCTCCTAATTTAATTACATAAGATAATTAACACAAATATACGTGGTCAATATAAAAAAATTGTAGACGAAAAAATAAAATGTAAAACTTTTAAAAGTGTTAATTAATTTCGTTCCGAAGCAATTAATTGTTAATTAATTGCTTTGGAACGAAACCACTCGGGTCGAACATGGATTTGTGTCGAAACCACGCAGGTGGAACAAGTCATCGGAACGTAACCACCCGCATTCTACTGGACTAAAAATTTAACCTGTCCATTCATCCTGAAAATATAGGTCAGATCCAGCATCCAAAGAAAGTCTGGTAATGTGCATCCCTAGATGCATTATCCCTGCAAGTTTGGTATAGCTAGGGCTTATAGTTACTTGGGAATGGACCTGTATCAAAATCTTCAACTTGTTCATCAAATGGAAAATGTAGATCAGTTCCAGCATCCAAAGTAAGTCTGGTAATGTGATTCCTTAGATGCATCATCCTTTACGATTGGCCCAGGTAGGGCTTATTGTTACTTTGGAATGGGCTCGGTTTGAAATCTATAACCTGGTCACTTATCTGGAAAATGTAGGTCAGTTCCAACATCCGGAGCAAGCCCGATACTGTATATCCCTAGATGCATCATTCATGAATTTTAGGTCCAGGGAGGGCTTATAGTTACTTGGGAATGGATTTGCTCCAAAAACTTAAACCTGGTCACTCATCTGGAAAATGTAGGTCAGATCCAGCATCCAATGCATGTCTGTTAGTGTGCAACCTTAGATGCATCATCCATGCTAGTTTGGTCCAGGATTCCAGGTAGGCTTTATAGTACCTATGCAATGAACTTGCTGCTAAAACTTTAACTGGTATGTTAATGCCAATGCTGGGGGTATAGCAAAAGCTCATCAACTTCATCAAGGTGAGCTTAAAATCAATCAATTTTATTTCGCAAATGGTGCTTTTCGTGATGAGTTCTTTAGTATATATACAAATTTACAGTAATCTGAGTTTGAGGCCTATGGACGAAATTGCTAACCATATCATATCAATCAGTTTACACATAATATTATATAGAAATGAGTTATTTGATAGAAAAATCTCTTGCAAAAATTTGTGATTTCTTCAATGTTTCAACAATCTTAAGAATGTATGAAATAATTTGCATTTTAAAATTAAAACTTTTTTATTTTTATTTTTAATTTTTAAATTTTTTCTCTTTCAGAAATATTCCCGTACATAAGTAAACATAAAAATAATCTGAAATAAAGTGCTTTACTCCAATTCTGTCTTTTAGCGTCTCTACATACCTGAAGAGTGGCCAGTCTGGGACTAACTGGGTTGTCTCCCTCCACCTTTAAGTTCTCACTAATTGACATTAAATCCTAATGGAAAAGAAAAAATATTTTATGAAATTTAAGTTATTGGTAAAGGCAGTTTGAAATTTTGATTTCAGACTTGTTAGATTAAGCTATTTCTCATTGTTCCCTTAATTAGCTAGATAAAATGAAAACTTTGGGCTCAAGTAGGTCATAAACACAAAATTACATGATCAAAGTATATTTTAAGTGAAGTGACCTTAAAAAACCTGTAAAGTATTTCATGTAAATGAACTTTCACGAGTCAATAGTATTCCACTTTGCAAAACATAATTTCTTGACATCTTACTAATTTAAGTCATGATTTTTCATTATTGACCAGAACTTTTTTGCACCCCATAATCTCAAGAAATAAGCAAAAAAATAAAGTTTTTGTGGATGAGAACCTGTAAGTATTTTTCATTCCTCTGACGTGCTTTTTCTATATCTACAAGCTCAGTGGTTTGGAGTCTCGTTGCTCTGTTTTTGGAGTAAGCTAAACTGTAATTCAAGTGAGTCTCCCTCTTTCCTACTCTGTAAACAAAAAAAATTTAGTAAAACATATTAAAATTGTGTTATTGTAAATATATAGAACATGATAAAGAAGAGAGATAAAAAAAATGCTAACAAATGGATGGTAAAGGGGAATATCTTAAATCAGAAGGAAATGGCATTATGCACACACCCAAAATAATAATGGTCTTAAGATATGCTGTCTTATCAGATGAATAAGGTCAGAATAAGGTCAAGTATGAAAAGAGGATCAAACGATTCTTCAGCAGACATTGATCAATTTACATTGAACATATGTACTATCACCTTATAACCCTTGTGAAAAAAAAACTTTAATCAGCACACATTATTGTTTATAAACATAAGTAACAATATGTCATGTAAAAACTAGCAAAGATGATGTATAGATATATATTAAACCTATAAATAAAGACAGGTGGTAGCTAGAGATTGAGAAGCTATTGGGGAGAGCAATATCATATGTAAGGAAAAATGTCAGAGTACCCCTCCTGTCCTACCAGCAATGGAGAGGAGGCAACTTCTATTCAAGAATGGTCTTCCTAAGATTTTTACTATCATATATGATGGCAGATGCGATGTAATTTTCTCACTTAATAAATATGAAAAAGTGTTGCACTAGTTAATACGAAAAATCATTTTTAAGCAAACTTAACAAGTTTTGCCTACAAGTATTTCTTTTCTTGTGAAACTCTTCTCAAACAGACTACATACAGATAACAGTTTCTCAGTACATTATTTTGTCTCATTAACTGAGAGGTATAGGAACCTCTATCTACTCTAATCAGTACTACTGACTTATTTTTTCATTACAAAGAAGGACATGAATATGTAGGCATGTCAAATAAACACAACTTAATTTTCTAAACTCAATCTATATCCCAATATATTTACATTCGTAAAAATATTCTCTTATGTAACACTATTTCAGGAATCTTTAAATTTATTAGGTACTGTACACAGGTTCATCACATAGCCATAAATTAATGTACTAATTTCTCAGTTCTGTCATAAAGGATTCAATTTATACTGCTGAGTTTCGAAAAATAATACATTTCATGGGTTTAAGAATAATATTACAGTGCAAATATAACACTTTATTATGATGAAAACACAAATGTAAATACAGGCTTTAAGGAATTTGATCACGTAATAATCAACCCATATCTATGTCTTGATAGATGTTTAAAAGTGATACAGTATTTCTTATGCAAATGATGGAGCACTTTACAATAAAGTGATATCACAAGTGGACTTCAGTGTTCTGTATCTACACATGCTTTGATGTGAATGTTGTGAATCACTCTAGGTTCACGTCAGATCATGGTTTATTATATATTACTTCTACATTATGGCATTCACTAGGAGATGCAATACAAACAAACAAAATAATAGGCACACAGTCATCAAATGAAAAACATTTAAAGTTTACATCAATAATTTACACCCCTTCCCTCGGCTTTCTTTCTGACTTTTCAACATCCATTATTTCATCCCAAACCAACCTAATAGTCTTACATTTCCTCATGTAATCGAGACAACTGTAACTCTCTGTCTTTCCATTCAGCTATTCTTGAAGAATACAAGTTGGTAACTGGCCTCAAATCCATTTCAGAAGTGTCTTTCATCTTCTCTCAGCTTATTATAAATCACAATTTTTCCAATATTATAGGCTACTTCAAAACATGTCAGAGCATAGAAAATAAGGAATCAGTTGAAGCTGACAATCCAACAAATATGAAAAGGAAAGGTTTAGTTTACACAGATCGTAAATACGCTCTCCAAATTAATTATCCATAACCTTAAGCTGATAGCGACTGTGATACCGATACTGCGATCATAGCGTCTTTGACGATCAATCCGGAAACTAGGTTAAACTAATTTCCAAACCAAAGTCGGTTTATTGTCTGGAACCCCCCCCCCCCCCGACCAAAACAAACAAACAAATAAAAAGAAAAACAAACACCCCCCCCCCCCCCATAAAATAAATAAAAAAGAAAACAAAAACAAAACAACCATAACAAAAGAAAAGCCGGTACCCGAAAGAAAATCAAAGATCTATCAATTTCTAAACCTTGGGGGGGGGGGGGGGGGGACTAACAAAACACTAGTTATAAGTATTTCCGCGCGCAGAGAGAGAGAGAGAGAGAGAGAGAGAGAGAGAGAGAGAGAGAGAGAGAGAGAGAGAAGAACCAAAAGAACCATTTTCTTTGAGGGGCTTTCTTTATTTACTAGTATACATAAAAAATGTCAGTTTCTTTTCGTTCTTGGTGCAAAGAACTAAGCATAATCAAGGATTTCCCCCCTGGAAATGTTATACGTTTTTATATCCATCAACAAATCTGTCATCTTCGCTAGCGAAGATGCAAATCTGTTTAAATATCAGACTTCATAAAATGTATTTCCTCGTTTGATTCGTAGCTACAAGTGTAAAAAGGGGTCCAGCTTTACTCAGATCAGCTGATCATTTTTTAAATAGACTTGGTAGCCATTGTCAAATTTGGGGGAGGGGAGTCCCGAATATTTTTCCAATATAATAATACATTAAATAAATAAATAAATAAATAAATTAATTAATAAAATAAGATAACTAAAATAAAATAAAATAAATGAATAAAATAAAAACTTATAATGATAAGAAACAAATATTAAATTCATTAAAATTAATAATAAATGAATGAATAAATAAATGAATGAATGTATTATCGATCGATCGATCCATCGATAGATAGATAGATAGCATTTCCTAACTATGACGTCACAATTAGAGCACCTAGCTGTCTTGAATAGTGCTCCACGCGAACTTAGGCTTTATAACAGAAATATGATATCTCGCCGATTTTCTTTCTAAATCGCAGACATTTTATTATTATTATTATTTTTTTTTAAAAAAGCTACTACTCATAATCAAAATGAAAAAAAAATTATAGTTTTTCATGACATTTTTCCTATGCTTAATTATTTCAAATTTTCTTAAAGCTATATCAAAAATATGGTAATGTATGAATAAAATTTGGTTGTGAAAGGAATTGGAACCTACCCCCCACCCCACCCATTTTCGAGTTTGGCTATTTTCCTTTTGTTTCTGGTCTTTCAAACTTTTTTCAGGTATGTGGTCATTTTTTGTCCCCCCCCCCTTTTCAAAACTATACTACGTGTCTGTTTTCTATGAGTTTTCAGAATTTTAAAAATTAATTTGTGTTCATTACATGTAATGATAAAGAAGGTAAGTTGACATGTATGGTCCTTACTATTTCTGTTCTGAATGAACACTTCAAGGCCCTCTGAATGGGGTGGGTGCGATCGCACCCCTGTCCCCACCGGGTGACCCACCCCCTTTTTGACAAAGAGTCAGTCATCTCTCAGATATAGCAAGTTTTACATGAAAAAGACTTCCATAATTCAACAGAACTTCAAAAACTACCCATTTCTTTAAAAAAGAAAAATCTGGTTTAGGGGAGGGTATACCCCCCCCCCCCCAAAACTCCCCTGCACCCCTTTTTCCGAAAAAAAAACCCCACAAAAAACTGGTGATAGCTTAATGCGTCATTCATGTAGAAACTATGTAATGAAAAATAAAAACAGGAAAACCTCCCAAACAGTGAATATTGTAGTTAAAATTGGTTGACAGTTATTGACCCCCATAAAAATTGCCTCGCCAATACTACCCGTAATTCGGTCACAGACCTTATCAATCTGCAAATGTCATTTACATGTCGCGTGAAATATTTTTACTCTTATATAGCATAATTTGGAAGTAATTGCCACTTAATAAACAAAGAAAGAAAAGATGACAAGAATGTTAATTGCGTTATTGAAGTTTTAAGAAACAATTAACTCTTGGTAACGAACTTATTTAGGTCACCCGGTGGATTCCACTTCACGTGTGTGTACGAGGGCGTGCGATCAACCGAGGTAAGAGTTGCAGAGTATCACTTCTGTGCTGAAGGCGGAGAGAGACTCCGATGTTTTTCTTTAGGCGAATGCACTAAAGAGAGAACGTTTGTTTTCTTCTTCACAGAGCAAGTCACGGATCGTTATTAGCCAAGAGTCCTCACGGTGGGGGAAAGTTTGCACCTCTTTTGCGGAGGATGTCTGCTGCTAAGTCGCTACCCCACGGGCTGCTAATAGGATTAGTCTTTGTGTTGCTCATTGTTCAGGGAACTGTGAATGGGGAGTCTTCGGTAAGTCGTATAATTGTGCTGTAATTAAACTATTAAATTACGCAGAGTTGACAAAAATGAATGGAAATATCCTTTTCTCTGGATGTTAAAGTCAACGGACCACTTGATCTCTTTGGCTTTAAAAGCATTTAAACTTTTCATTCACAGAGTTTGCTTAGGTAAAACAAATTTGGAAAAATCCGTCGAGCCCTTAGCGACTGTGTGCATTTTGCGCATACTTCATAATTTTCGCTTAGCCAAAAGATCGCTCTTTCTCTCTTTCTGGATGTTTCTGTTTTTTGGTAACCTAAACTCTAAACAATTTTCTGTTGTTCTAAATTACCTGTCAGGTTTTTGATGATTAACACCTGGTGTCTGAAGGGGGTATTTGTTTAGGTATATTAGTAAATATTTGTATAAATATAATTACCCTCCTCTAAAAACACAAAAAATGGAAACTTTTTACTCTAAAGGTGATATGAATAAATTTTGCAACTATGATATTTTTTTTTCAGAGGCAATTAGTATTTTAGTGTAAACAGATCATAGGTCGCAAAACAGTATTGAATGCGATTGATTGTTAAACTTATTTTTTTTTCACTATTAGCAACTTTAAATGGGGAGCATAGTTAAGAGGAAGGGTAATATTTCCCAAATGTTTTAAATAAAATGTTTCCCCCCTTTCCTTAGAATAACACTACGCAGTTGATAATTAGGGCAGTATTCTTATAATGCACAGCCTAGAAAATCGAAATAATGGAAAAGGTGAAGTAAAAATTAAACCAACAGTGTAATTGGCTTAATAATGTAACATGCTGAGTTGGTGTGGTCTAGAAGTAAAAAACTGCTGGTTAAGCATCTGTTTTCTCTACATACAACTAATTTATAACCAGTGGGGATACCTGCTGTAGTAAAAGCTAAATAGAAAAATATATGTATTTCCAATATCAATAAAAACTACAAGAGTTTACCAATAAAGTTATTTATCTTGGAAGAAATTGCGTCTGGCTGAAAAACATGGAAAGTAGGAATGTATCGCTGAGCATTTAGGGGAAAGGGGCCTTGTAATTTCAGGAATAGCTTCTGTTCATGAAAAATAAAACTTCTTAGATATGTTAGATACAGTGCTTTACAGTTAAAGTTAATTGCATGTTAAATTATTTCCGAGGGAGTTTAAAAGCAAAAATAGTATTTTCATGTACAGCTTTGCAAATGTCTTAAAATCAAAGAGCAGAAAAGTTCTCAATAATTTTTCTCTATATAGTCACAGTTGATATTGGACCTTGGAATTGTATTCAGGTTCTTCCATTTCATTTGCCCATCCTCCCCCTAGTCAGAACTAGAATTCCCTTACCTTTTACTGTGTTTAATTTGTTTATAATGCTTTTTGCTTATACATGTATAAAATGCACCATGATATAGTAGACATGAATATTGGAGAAGCCAGTAACGTTTCGCAATATAGATCACAACTGATTAACTTATTTTTTTGCTTTTCGCGTTGGAAATGGAGGGACTATAAGGTTTCCACTCTCTAATGAGAATTGGCTGAGGTGAACAAACCAGTTTCATTTTCACTTAACTCAGAAGGTTTATTGTACCAGTGGGATTGTAGACAAAATGCCTACCCATTTCCCAGGCATTTTCAGATCTATGTACCATGAAATTGTTAAATGATCTGTGAATTGATGGTCAACCTATAGTGTGACCAAAGGGTTGTAAAACCAATGCGATGACCACACCACAATGCCTGGGTCCAAAGATCAATTTATAGTTGCCCACTTGCCAGGCTTAATTCTCCAATACTTGTTTTATAAATCTGTTATCTGACAATCTTATCAGGTAATTTACTTATCTTTTTGAATAAGAAGCTGATTTGATAAAGGGAGATGGAGTGAAAATTGGAGAGAATGCCAACTTGTTTGTCCTCTGGCATATGTAATATCAAGGTAGCATATATTTTAGATCAATTTTTCATAAAATATACAATTTGAGAAATGATTAAAAATTTTGATATAAGTAGGAGGATTAGGAATTTTAAGGGTATATTAATGCCAAAGTGTTGAATAAATGTATGTTGAGAAGAATCTTAAGTTAGATATGCCATAAAATTCTTGTATATCCCACACATTATATAAGAGCTTTAATTTACTGTAAAAACCACAGAGAACGGGTTTTCATATTTGTGTAAATTCTTTCCATGTTCCATTGATGCTTCAGAGTATAGGTTTGAGAAAAATTTTAAAAAGTTGAAATGGTGTACATCTATATTGATTCCGAGGAATTCCCATGAATGTACTTTGAATAGAGGGTTGGAAATAGAGGCAAATAAAATGCTCATTTGGAGACCTCTTCTGGAGCAGGTCTTTGCATCTTGAATGATGGCACTATCTTTGATGATATTGTCAGATTACATGTACATGTATACTTGAAAAAAAATCTTGTGGATTTAAATGTCATGAATATATTGCCTGTATGTTGTTGTAGATAACTTTTCATAATTTCAGTCAAGTGGATAAAAATGCCGATGTTTTTAATATTAAAGACTGGAGCCAGACAAAACAGCTATTGAATGAGTAAATAGATTAGTCATCTGGTTAAGATGCTGTGAAGATATAAAGTAATGTGGAAGCAGGTCTGACTAAGCTTTTAATTATTTTTCTGTTGACGATGGGGTAAAGAGATTGAAAAGTGCAGGAAAATGCAGAGCTAGTTCAATCCAGGTGTCTTGTGAAACATAAGCATATGCCAAAAAAATGTATGATTTGCAGGTGTGTTGCTATATTCCAGAAAAGACACTAGGCTATTAAAGTGAATTTTAGGTCAGAAAGGATAAAGAAAACCTGCATGCAATCTTTTCCTCTTCATTTATTATAAAAGATAAAAACCAAGGAAGCTATGCAAAGTTTGAGCCTGAGAACCAGTTGCAAAATATATAAACGTGATGATCGTACATGTGGTAATTTAGGGACGAAGTTTTTTTTTAAAAAAATGATGGTTCAACTGGTTTGCTAAAGTTGCATTCTGTAATTTATCTTTATGCCTTGTCCAGCTATTTACCTCATATTTCACATTGTTGTATACTTGTGTACCAATGAGGGAGAAAAATGCAGTGGATAAGTACAGGATTTGACCCTGGGCCCCCTTTAACACTATATAGTCAGGTAGCTATCTGGCCACCATTGATCAAATCTGCCTGAATTCCACAATCCCCCCTCCTTGAAGGTCTTTGATCCCCCTGAAGACACTGACCCAGGCTCTTCCCTGGCAGATCTTTTATCTATCACTTCCAGGGCATGGCACAGCACACCAGATGTAACTGAAGAGAAGAAAAAATGTGATGGACCAGATCAGGATTCAAACCTAGGCCCCATGAATCATTAGGCAGGTGCTCTACCAACTGAGCTATTTGGCCACAGGTGATTCTGAAATTCTGGTCTAGTCTGTTGCATTCTTCTCCCTTGTCTGTTACACTTGGTGCCATGCCATGTCCTGGAAATGACAGGTGAAAGACCTGCCTGGGAAGAGTCTGGGTTGGTGTTTTTTGGGGCAAAGATGTTTAAGGAGGGAGGAATGTGATGGTCCTCTCCTGTTACAATTTTATAGTGTTTCATGACTTGACCCCAAGTCATTTCAGATAGGTCAAGGTGATTGTAGCTCTTGAGCTGTATTTTCAAAGCCATGATAGATGAATTGATACTTCGCACCAAAGAGTTCAGTTTACATGATCTTGATGCAAAGTCACCTTTCTTTGGTGAACATCATTGTTTACCCATTGAAATAAAAGATGGGTACTGGTGGGTATGGGGATGGATTTTTTCCTGTAATCAATTCAATGATGACTTTCTAACTTTGTCTTAATCTTTTGTATAGGAAAAGGACTTTGAGTTTGATGATGTACAAGTTGTAGTCCAGAAGAGATCTGTAGAAAATACATTGAAAGATGATGAGGATTTTTTACAAGATGAAGGTTCAGGTGACGTGGAGGGCAGTGGAACTGGAACCCTTGTGCCTCCAACAGTACCAGGTTAGTTTTACTACATTACCTTGATGATATAGAAACTTACCACAGTACCAAGGTAGTGTAGCTACCATACCATCATAATACAGAAGCTTCCCACAAAACCAGGCTAGTGTAGCCACTACCACAGTACCAGGTATAACGATTTATCAGAGTACCATGTATAGCCACTTACTAAACTACCAGGTATAAACACTTACCACAGTAACAGATATAGCTACACAGTACATGTACGAAATATTTCCACTTATCACAATACCAGATATACATGTATCTACTTACCATATTGGAATAGTACCAGATATAGCCACTTACCAGAGTGCCAGGTATAGCCACTTACCACAGTACCAAGTATATTTATTTACCATATTACCAAGTATATCCACTTACCACAGTGCCAGGTATTATTAGTTATCCAGGTCCAATCAAGGGTGTATGGGGATTTACCCCGGGTTTTTTTCAATACACCCTGAGGCCAAAGTAATCCCTACACCCTTGATTGGACCTGGATAAAGAATTTATTTCCTATGTACCCAAATAAATTCTTTGTAAACAAGTCCAATCAACTGTGTTTCAAGCTATCGATAAGATTTACTACGTCCTACAATGCATCGTGACGTCATATTATTGCTTTTTATCATAGAGAAACTATGCATTGTGATGTCACGTTTTTTATCCCAGGCTCAAGTCGGGTGTGTGGAAATTTACACCCGACTTTGTAACCAATCAAAGCTCGTGTTACAAGCTACATAGGAAATAAAGATACTCACCTCAGGACATGTTGTGTGTATTTACTTACTGTAGACAAATCAGATCTGAGTAATACCCTTAAAAATACAGAAAAATGGAGATTCTCCCACATTTTATTGTTACTCTTTGTCATGGAAATGTCTAAAACAAGTGGTGTATTTTTAGTGCTAATGGAGCATTTGTCTTGGAATGATACTTCTTTCATATAACAATTGCATAATTGTTGCATACAGAAAAACAAGTCACTCTTTATTGGTGGCATATGTGTTTATGATGGCTTACAATACTGATATAGTGAACACAAATGCTTATACTGAAAGGTTTGTTTTGCTAGTTTATCAAGTACAAGGCTTATAGAGTCATTTATTTTTGACAAAATACTGCAATATGCAGATGCAAAAAACCTAGCGATAAACTGTATGAGATGTGTCAAATTCCAGATAAGAGAATTTGCCTCCGAGAATCTAGGATGCAAGGATTAAGGGTGATAAATCATTCACCTGTTCATATTGGCAGTATAGAAACACCAGGTTAACAGATTAACATTGTGATATTTTGACTCTTATCTTTTGATGGCTCATCAGACAGTCTACCTGGGACAGGGAATGCTCCCTGAGTCTCCGTCAGCCTCGTACTGGCCCCCTTAAGCATTGGCTTATGACCAGACCCAGCATTTGTTTATATACCTTGCAGGTTAGAAGATAAAAAGTGTACAGTTTATGAAGTTTTAGTAATCTCCTTAATGCTTCTCTTTACACAAGATAATATATGACTCCTTGACGTCCATCTGATCTTTGGGGTTGCAAAAAATTTATTGCTACTTACTATGTTGCAAGAGTAATTAACAAGATATACTTGTTTGTGTAGCCAAGCTGCACATTCGTTTTCATCACCCATGATTGTTAACTGTGTTCTGCGTCGATCAGTCTAGCAAAAAATACGGGAATATCTTGTATCTGTAGAACGAAGATGTCTGAATGTATTTTTCCATGCAGTGGCTCTATATGTGATTAAGGGCTTTGAAATGCCTTGGTTCAGGAAACTCCTTTAATCCATTAACCGTGGTACTTTGTGTAAATCTTTTTTGAAACGTAATCTAGGAAATATCTCTTACAACTGTACAATATCAAAAGTAACGTAATGAAAGATTAAATAAGATTGTAGATGAGGGTGCATCTATTAGAGAGTCACCAAGGACAAACAGCTACAAAGCAGTATTATGACTAATTGTAGTGAGAAAGTACTTAATAAATATATCACATACATACTTGCCAAGGAACCACAGATAATTTGCAGTGGTAATTAATATAAACAAATTTACATGCAGGTACAGCTGCAAGTGATAATTCTTTTAGAGGAGTTTATAAAAAAAATAGCAATAGAAATTGAATTTATATAGCCAAGAACATATAGATTAAAATTATTTATGCCATAAATGCATTTTTTTTTTTTTTTTTTTTTTTTTTGGATACAAGGTTTTATTGTAAAGTGCATTAGATAATTTATATTATCAAAATAAAATACCTAGATATGATTTTCATTAAGCCCCTAATACATGTAATTTACAATCTGTGATCATTCATTTAATAATATAATGAATTATGAAGAAACTTGAATGTGACAGAATGGCTAATGAATATTTTGAGACTCCTAGCTCTGACACAAATACCCTCCTACTAGATGACCCTCCCCACACATCATAATATAAAAGCAGGAGTAAGAGTCAGGTTAATTAATGGTCCTTCTACGGACATTTATCCTCCCTCTCTTCTCAAACAAACAAAAGCTATGATTAGCTCTGGAGTACTTCTTCAAAATAAATTTAGCAAATCCCAAATTCATAAGGGGAAAATTTGAAAGGAAACAATCTACTGTATAAATCATAAAACAATGGTGTTTTTTAATTAACAAAATGAGGTACATATAATATTACAGATGGCCTTATATGTATAAATGTTACATTTTATGAAGGTTTGCAAAGGAAAGTGCATTTTGGCTAAAGCTTGTCCACTTTCTCTAAAGAGAATATGAATATGAACTTAACTTCAGGGTCAGGTATTACACTATATAGTATTCAATCTTACACCTTCTGGTAAAAAAAAAAAAAAAAAGATCCAGCTTTCCTTTTCATATAACAGTAAAACTCAGTGATAAAAAACTTACTTAATAATGAAATCTTGGTTAGGTGACATTTCACTTGGTTTCTTACTTTGCTATGAAGAATTTCAGTTATAAGGAAGGAAAATTCGAGTTCCCAGTGACTTCTATATAACCGAGTTTTACTGTATAAAGATTTATTTACTAGATTAATAAGGTATGCATGCATGAATAATGGTTTTAAAATTACCAAAAAAATACACATTCTTTCTTTCCATCACATCATAATCCATGTAATTAAGATAAGTAATAAGCTTGATTGACACATGACAGCCTTAATTTCTATTTTCAACTTGGTAACGAGACATGCACTTGAGTATGCACAAAGAATTCTGGTTTAGCAGCCAGAGATAATTAGCTGATACTGCTGCTGAAATCAACTCTATTTAGAATCCCTCAGCAGTCAATTTCTGATAAAAACCTTTCACTTTCTGTACACATACAGAGGTTATGATAATCCACTATATTGGGGAAGACAGATTTTTTTTTTATCAGTGAAACTTGACAGGTACTAGCATTGGAGTTCAGGTTTCATAACATTTAAAGTAGTCTCCTTGTATTTCAGCAAAATAAGGACCATATTCTTCTTCAGAAACCCTGCATGATATTTGTGTTTTTTCTGATGCTAACACATTTTTGCAAGACATATGAATTTTTTTTGGGGGTGGGGAGGGGGCGTATCAGAAAATATTTATTTCTTGGGTTTTAAATGTACAGTAAATTTCTCAGTCATCATTTTAATTTGTCAAAGTTTAAGAATCATACATCCGGCATTTTTCAAGTTTCAAAATTTGTAGACCACATGCATTTAAGTATTTGAGGGCTCAAACTCGCTGCACAAATCAGCCAAGTCTGGATGCTTGGCAGTTAATAGTAAATGTCATGTAGCTCTATTCATAAACTCGATAAAATTTTGAAGTGACTTGTTGAATAAGATTTCATGAAATCCCTGTATTGTCATATGTCTAGACAATCTATTCATGAGAGAGGATTTTAAAAGAAAATATAAATTTGAGTGCAGTTTAGGTATCTGTGATCTTTAATAGATAGTCAGGTGCTATAATTGTGTCATTATATACAAATGCCTGGGGATCAGATATTAAAATAAGACACCTTTCCATTTTACACCTGTTGGTAAATTTTGGTCAGATTTCTATATAAAAAGTTGAATCTACAGTGTAGATCTGCTTTAAAAAGGAAATTTTTTAGATCGTAAAATAACTTGATCTAAATTCTTGTAATTTGTTGATTTTGGCGTAAACACTGAAAAAATAAGTGTCTGAGCATGTTGTTAATTTAAGATAAACGAAATTGAAGAATTGTTATGACTAGCAATTAGTGATAGTAGTGAGTCCTTGGGGGGGGGGGGGGGGGGGCAAAACTCCTTTCAATACATATCATTAGTGACACAGGTCTTCATGAGTTTTTGAATTTTCCTTGAAGGTATGACTGTATAATTTTCACCCAGGCAGTAGTATGTCTTTGTGAAAAGTATCATAAACTTTTGAAACTGAAATACAATACTTACTTTTCCAACTATTCATTTATTTCATTGAAATACACAGATTTGACAAACTGAACTAGGGTTCAATTTTTTTCCCAAATTTTAGAGTAGTGCCATATGGCAGTATTACTCATCAGTTGTAGTACTTGAAGACATGAACTTAGAATTTCTTTCAAATAAATCTAAACGAAAAAAGAAAAAAAGCATCTTACGTAAATATATGTCTTCATTGACATGAGGTGCTCGCTCTGTGTGAAATAACAACTTTTCTAGTGAACATTTTTATATAATTAAATTTTCTTATCATGATGGAAGCAGCAAGAACTCATCAAGATCTACAGAATGATGTCTTTTTACAATGTTTACATTTCTATATATTTTTCCTTAAGATTCTTTGCAAATTAGAATTGAACTACCATGAACTACCATGTATGAGCATGAATATCTCCATTGTGAAGTCATAATACTGTACTTGGCATCAAAACTATAGTGAAAATTGTTTTATTTCAAAAATGATAGTTGAATAACAAAAATTTGTGGCAAGTCATCAGATAAATAATGTAAATATAACTACGACTCTTCATGCTTGCATATTTATCATAATGTGCTGAAGCGTTTCATGATAAATATGCCAGCATGAAGAGCTGTGGTTCATGTCCTCATGAATTTTCAAAAATTAAATTTATTTCTCAAATAAACAATTGTTTTAGAAGGTTATTTCTCACTGTTTTAGAGGAGTAAATTTTAAATACCATGTTTGATAATTCATAAAGTTATTCTACTATAGTTCATATTTTAAAAACAAATATTTTGTTTTTGATTTCAGAATTCTTCCGAGCTGTGATAAACATTACCAGCGAGTTTTACACAGATGACCTTGGGGACCGTACATCAGTGGCTTACAGGGATTTGTCCGGTAAAGTTACCTCGGCCATAGAACTTCTGTACGAGAATGTTCCAGGACAGCAGACTATTGTGGTGCTCGAATTCAGGTACGGTACTTTACGTTTCCAGAATATTTGTCCATGCTGTCACCAAACCATGCAGGCACAAACTAAGGATCAGGTCCTAAAACTATGACAGCATCTCACCAACAAAATTTAAAAATTAACTTCTTATTGAAAGCTCTTTTTTTTTGATCAGAACATTTTTCTGATCAGTCGTATTTGAGAAATACCTACCAAACAAATTGTATAAGAAGAAATAAACTAAAATTGAAAACTTCAGTAATCTGTAAAATCGAAAGAGCAAATTTGGCTTTTGTGTATTTCAGTACTCATGTTCTTTTTTTTTTTTTTATTATGTGCATGTATTGTCAAGTATTTAGGTCTTTAATTTTAAATTTGGGAAAAAAGTTTACTTGTATTGTAAAACGAATATTTTTTTTATTCTATTTTAGCCCAGGATCATTAATGGTGACATTTGATTTGGGATCACAAGGATTTAATGATCGTTCTGTGTTATTTGATACACTTAACAATGCCCTACAGAGTGGAGTTATTTCCCCTTTCAGTGTTAGTCCAGTTGGATTTGAGTTCAGGCCCTTGCAAGGTAAGGTATACATGTGTTTCAGTCTCACTAAAGTATGAAATGTAGAAAGACACAGGTTCTTTTCTTTCACCTCAGATGTCTTTTTAGAAGGGAAAAGGATTTTTATGTTTCTTCTCCAGTGTACATTGTTGTAAAGTGTTTAATAATAGTCACATGTACTAATACAAAGTTATAACAGTATCTCAGCATTTTCTTTTGTTTTCTGTTTTGTTCTCCTTTGTTCATCTTATCTAGATAATTAAATGAGTTTTTGTGTTCAAATCTTATCTAGCTCTTATTAGTTTCTTTTTGTGTATTAAAAACCAGAGAAGCTAAATTGCTTAGCCAAATTAACCAAACTTTGCATGTTTTCTGGGATAAAGAGTACAATGAGCACTCATTCTGGTACCACTAGGGAGGTCCAACCATCCAATTTTATACTCTTGGATTACTCTGTGAAAACTGTGGTACATGTCATACACTTTATTGCATTTAAAATTTTTTTAATTACAATGAAAATTATCCATGTACATTTTAGCTCAAAATTTGCATCACAATAAAAAACACTCACAGTAGTTGTCCAATCTAATTAAAATCAGACTTCTTAGATCTGCGCCATATACGGCGCAGATCTAAGAAGTCTGATTTTAATTGGATTGAGTAGATGTTAAACCTCAAGGGTAATTATCAACCCTGCAGTTCATGTGTAAGAAAAGTTATGCTCCATGCACGTGGTAGGTGCAATAGACAGGGTATTTGACAACTAGAGTTACTTGATTAAGTAACAAGGTACTCACTTAAAAGGAAAAATGGCATTTTACCATTTAAGATTTGACTTATTTGACAGTCTTTAGTAAAGTGAAATCAGTTTTTTTTTTAATGAATGGCAGTGTGTTGCAGTGGAAATTGAGATGGCAGTCAAAATGTGGACCAAAGATTTTTTATATGTAGTGAAGGTTGAAGTTTAATCAAATCATTTTAATCTATTCCCCAGCTAGAAATTCAGAATGAAAATGCAAGTAGGACAAATGGTCTTCAACAGGAATATAGGAACAATGGTGAAGAATTTACTTTTCAGCAAAAAGAAATCTAGAAAAAAAATTTATCTTAAGAATAAAACTAAATACTGTCAAGTCAAATTGTAAAATCTTGACATTTGTTGTACCAGTACAATGAATCCAAAATCTAAATATTTATACCTTTAGGTAGGAGCAAAATGACTTAGTAGTTGTAGGTGAAGTGTTTGGTCCATGGGTCATTGGGTGAAGTTTTTTTGGTGAATTTTTTGTTTATGGATCTCTTGTTTACAGTGATTTATTAGATTTTGTTTTTCTTTAGTTATAATAAAAAAAAATATTTTGCAATTTAGACATGTTAGACCCCAAATCACATGTGATTCTTCAAGGTTTGTACAAAGTTTGGCCATCTGACTTGGTTTTTTTTTTCTGTAACAAATTTGAAAGGTGTACAACTTTTTTCCATTCAGAGAAGTGCATTTGATATTTAACAAGACATGTGCTGCAAGACATTTCGCAATAACTAATGTAATATGGCACAACATAACTTTGAAGTTTATTAGCTGTTTGGTAACTGTTTTCCACCGCAGTAGTTGGGATTATTTTTAGCTACTTTGAATGCTAACTGAATGAGGTGTCTGTCAATTCTCTCAAAACATTGGAAAAAGTGAAGCAATTTCTTCATGGTTCAGCACAATTTTTCATAATAAGAAAAAAAAATCACTTCCTGACATAACATTCCATTTTTTAAAATCATTTCAAAGAAGTTCCAAATTCGACTTTTTTAAAATCTTATGTTACTTTCAAATTGGATCTTAAACCTTTGCAATACATTGCAGGATTTTTATTTTGTTTCAGAATATAAATTAATGTATATCAAGAATTGTGGATTGTGAATTGTACATTGTGAATGTGTGCTGTTTTAAATGCATGTACATGCATTTTATTTTTTTTTTTAAAGTAAAACTGAAGTGGTTTGGATAGAGTTTAGATTAAAAAAAAAAAGTTCTCATGAACATGATATTGAATTTTATATGCCTGATATAAGCAAACTTGAAGCAATGAATAAAAAGTCAAAATATGAGTAACAGGGGTCTCTTGGTATTTTACTGTGCATGTGAATAATTTGAGATAGGTTCTTTGTTTTGAATGTAAAGATAGTTAGAATAAAAATATGGAAAATTGAATGTAACATTATATATTTCAGGTGTTAGAACTTAAAGCATTTTATGTAGGTATTTTATATTTTAAAAGACTCCATTAACTGTAGCACCTTTAGTGTCATGATAATAGTTGAAATATGAATTCCCTTATAAATATAACAGACCTAATCTGTGATTGCTCTAATTAGTCTATAACCTAGAAATGTGGTTGATTTTGAATACACTAAATAAGTACATATATACTATATGGCGTGAAGTTTTATTATTTTCATTATTATAGATGGCAGTGTTTGTCCATCTTATGTTGGAAGAGACCCAGAGCCGCTACCCAGAACTGGGGACAATAGGGCCAATTTTCTCATCAACAATATCTTTCCCTGTCGTGGCTATGTCATTGGCTGGCAGTATTATAGAATCATTCCACGTTACTCAGGCTATGTGGGAATTTGGAGACAAACGGATGACTATAAATTTACCCTCATTGGAAAAACAGAGTTGCCGGTAAGAAACACTGTTGGAAACATCACGGTGACCCTCCCGACCCCCATCCTGGCTGAAAAGGGGGACTTCATAGGTATATTCTACCCCCGAGCAGTTGAGGAGGGTGTGGTAGCTAGTGCTACTGATGAAACCCCAGGAATCTCCATTAGGGAACTCTATATAAACTACTATGCTACTGCTTATGATGAAGATTTCACTGTTGGATCAGAGTTTAACCTGGAAAAAGTCACATTTGAAGAAACCAAAGCTACTTTTGCCATCAAAGCCATTATGGATTATACTTCCATAGGTGAGAAAACTTTTTGGTGATGTATTAAACCATGCCCCTCTTGTTTTGGTTTCCCTTCAGAGTTTGTTGACCCTGGATTATTCATCAAAACAAAAAACAGAAAAGAACTTTTTACTCAAAAATTTTTCTTCATAAGCCAATTTAACTCTTTATCTAGGTGTTGAATAAATATAGTAAACAGTGCACATTAAATCTGTTCAGGTATAAGATATGAAACACAAGCTATAAAGACTTTGCTGTACATTATAGGAGCAGTTCCCAAGAAATGCCTGCCTGATCAGTTCCAGTGTTCCAATAGTGAGTGTATAGATGGCAGATACAAGTGTGATGGCCAGGACGACTGCTTTGATGGATCAGATGAGAAGAACTGTCGTATGTATATAAGAAGCACAGGAATATAATTAAAATGATAATTCACTAGAGGTCAATGTGGATTCATAATTTTTTTTACTAATGTTGAAAACTAGGATTTATGTGGCAGATGGATGGTTTTTAATTTAAATTAAGAATTTATTCATCTGGATACAGTATTTATCTTGGTGCAAATTATGCATGTTGTTTTCTATATAATTTGAAACATGAGGGAGTGGGGTTGGGGATGGGGGGAGAGGGTCTCGATGAAAACAATCAAGAGAGAAGAAGTAATGAAAGCTACAGTCACATTTACCAAATGTTCAAAGGCAGATATGCTACTGAACATGATTTCTGAGTATTAATGTCGGGCAGTCAGACAGGTTCATTAGCTACTGGTCAGATAGCTCTGTGTAGCACACCTTATCTGGATATTAGGGGACCCAGGTTCGAATTCTGGTCAGGTTCATAGCATTTAATCCCTAGCATAACCGTAACCTAGGTACATGTATATATACTGGTACTATTAAATTGCTGCTTATTATTGGTGTCATTGATGTCTGCAGGTGAAAATTTTTGAAAATATGTTGAATTTCTGTTTTGGACTATATAAGTGTAGTGTAAAGTATGTATATTTCATTCATTTTTACAAATTACAAACATGGCAGCTGGATGTTACGTACAGCAGTAGCTGACAAAATGTCATTTTTTATGCCCTCTTAAATGGAGATATAGAGGGTATTTTCTTGATCTTTATTACTTTGACTATGGTCATAGTTGTTGATTAAATATTGTAGTTAGAGACAGTGGAGATGAAGGTTTCATACCAGGTCAAGTGCACAACTGACAGGTCAAAGGTGCAGTTTTTGTCCCCAATGTTCACAAAAAGCAGGGACATTAATTTGAGTTTGTATGTCTTTCATGCTGTATGTCTGTACATGTAACACTTCAATTTTTGGATGATATCTCTAGAAATCCTTTAACTTTTGCAATGAAATGTTATATTTAACCTCCCTATGACTTAAAAAAGACCTCTACTGATTTTAAGGTCAAGGTCAAGGTTAGAAATCCATTGGTTTCCAAATTATAACTTTTGGTAACTGTAGTTCTCATCAACTTTTTCAATACAATTTTATGTCATAACTTCATATGACTTTAAGATAACCCTTGCAAATTTGAAGTCAAAAGATTAAAGGTCAAGGTCAAAAATATATATTACATAAAATGGTTTCCAGATTATAACTTAATTAAGTCCACTTTGAGGTTAAGCAATATGACATTTAAGGAGATGACTCTCTCTAACTTAGGAAAGACCTCTATTGAATTTAAAGCCAAAAGATAAAAGGTCAAAGCCAATAGTTCTTTTCTTTCTCAATCTGCATTTTTTTTTAGGTGTTCCATATACTTATCTTGTCCTTTAGGGACATTGTTTGTCTGAATTAGCTTGTTCTTTTGTTGGACTTTGTTTTTTATCTAAGACATTGTTTACTAATAGATCTTTGCTCAATCACAGTTCTTGTGAACAGATTTAAAGCGATATGAGTGGAATATAAGAATTGTTCCTATAGTATGATAAATATCATCTTCAGATCATTTGGTAAAGGTCAATATGAAAGGCTTTCATGCAGATTCAGTGTTGTATCATTAGTGAATCAGAAATTTATGCTTCTTTTCTTTGTGTATGTGAGTAATTTGAAAATATGACTAATATTGTGTAGGAGTAAGTAACAAAAAAAAAAAATACTTAATGGCCAGAACACACATGGTGTGTTATTAGGCACATCTAGTTAATTGCTTTTGACATTTTCATTTGTTGGAAGGGTATAATTTCTGTGCACCTGTCATGTTAATTTAGCCCTGCAACAAATATCATAGTAATAAAAATGAGTCAAATGTAAATATTATTGTCATAAAAATTACGAAGGAACATTTATGAGACTATTAAGAAAAAAATCCAAGATTATAGAAGAATGAATGAAAATGAAACATTTATAAGACTAGATAAAAAAAATCCCAAGTTTTCAGAAAATTAGATATACAGTACATGTACATGCATTTGTTATTTAATGAAAGGAGAGAAAATACAAATGATGAGCTTCTTTCTTAATTATCTGAAATATTTTTACGACCACCTGTTGTAGCTGTGACGGTGTGTGCCTCTGATGAGTTCAGGTGTAGTGATAATAGGCAGTGTATTCCTGCGGCCTTCCGCTGTAACCTCCAGCCAGACTGTTTAGACGGCAGCGACGAGGAGAGATGTGGTATGTGTGACCAAATCATGTCTGAGTGTCGGACGCTCTCTCAATATATACTCGAGGGTTTCAAAAGTATGATTGAGAGGTGCTCATTTTCATGTGTTTTATTCTTGAAAATAATGCATAGATTTGAAATTTTAATATAAATTTTGGGGTCTTTTTCCGACTTAAAAATATGAATTTTGGGGTCTTCTTCTGACTGAATAACAAGAATTAACTCTGGAGAAATTCTCTGTGTCATTTTTTTCCCACACTGTGTGGTATAATAGAATTTGGCATAAAGGAATGAAATGGCAAGTGATTCAGTCTGGCAAACAATCCTGTAAACAAACTTGGAATAATCAAAGCTTTGTTGTTTTCTGCTGTAGAGCCGCAGTGTAAGGCACAGGAATTTAAGTGTGATGACGGGACCTGTATCGATTCTGAGTTTAGGTGTGATGGCGTGCCTGGCGATTGTCCGGATAACTCAGATGAAGCTCGCTGTGGTACTTGTATAGATAATGATATCACTGTATATAATAAAGAAAGGAAATTGTCTAGATTAAAAACCTGTATAATTCTAAGATTGTCAAAAAGGGTTGTGACAAAATCCTTGGAGAAAGATTGATTAGAGGTTTTAATGCCTACCAACCAATGAAACCATTTCAAACCAAAAAAAAATTGTGTGTTTAATATTATCTTGTAAAATAAACAAATACAAATAAAAGATAAAAATTCATAGAAGCATTTTGAAAATCTAAGATCTTTATACTTTATTAAGATATAAAAATGATTTTAATAAGTCTTTGGGGAAAAAAGTTTTTATGCATACATTAAAGAATGAATTTCTTGTGATCATTGGATATGCCATAATATTTAATAATTGTACATAGTTACACACACATTAAGAAAATTTTGGTCTCTTATATAGTCATGTAATTTAAAAAAGGCCTATAATTGATAATTGTTTTCTTTTCATGCTTCTTGTAATGGGAGACTGTAAACATGGAAATTTATGTGTGGAATGTAATTAATTTACACTATAAACACATGATAAGAAATCTTTTGCTGAACATTCCTCAAGTACCAATATTTGTGTACATATTTTATTCAGTATTATCAATACATTATATTTGTATGTGTATAAGTGGAAATAACCCCGATGTGTATGGATTTTGCTATTAATTTGTGTAATTAACAACACATGTAAATGTCCACATTTATAGTAAATGAAGTCTTAGTACTTGAAGAAAAAAGGCCATATCAGAATACAGAGTACTAGACAAAGTATAACTTGTTTTTTTAAACAGGGGGTACATCTCAGTCCTGTCCTGAAGGCCTGTTACGATGTGATAATGGAGATTGTGTCGCAGGAAACAGATGTGACGGACTCCCAGAATGCCGGGACAACTCTGACGAGAAAAACTGTGGTAAGCTGAAGTGGAAACAACTCTTATTCCTTTTTTTATGGAGAATATTAATGGCACTACATTTTGAAATGTATGTATATTTTGGAGATGTAAGATACAAGATGTATTGCTGTTTGGGTATAAAGTTGCACTCGCAGTATATAGATTCTTATATTTGAGCTGTGTGGTTTAACTTGAAGTTGATCCATAATCCTAAGAGTAGAATTATATATGTTTCCTCTATAAATTTGGGCACTTTTTCATTAAGATACATTATTTACATAGAAACCAGCACACTCCCTCCAACATTAGCTCCAGAAATCTGCACAGAAACTGAGTTCCGATGTAACGATGGAATGTGTATGCCAAAGGACTTGATATGTGATGGAACCCCGGATTGTGACGACCAGTCAGACGAATCTCAGACATTATGTGGTGAGCTCATATACTGAGGACCTTGAGAACATTCGAGGAATGAATTGAAATTGTATTTTCACTTATTGATACTCAACCATATTGATTTTATAAAGATTTACCCAAAATCAAAGTCTTTCACTTTCTCTTTCATTGACAATAGAGCAAATTACTTATATGTTCCCTCTAGAGCATTTAATTTTGCTACTTTTTACAGGTGAATTTACAGAGCTTTTGAGATTAAAAAAAAATAGCACATGCATGTACATACACTTTAAGTACTACCATTCATGATCCCTAGTGTTTACCCATAACTGTTGAAGCTAGCATAAATTATGTAATGTTTCAATATCATTGCAAAATGTCATTTCAGGTTATTTGCCAGACATTCACCATACTGGATAGATTCATGCAGACTTTTTAATGCCAAATAGTTATGGCTAATTATTTTTATTGTTTTTTACTTAATTAACACCCAAAGTTTTATTTGGTGTAAAACTTGAAATTGTAGGAACTTCTACTGTCTGTCCTGAGGGACAGTTCCGATGTGACAATGGGGAGTGTGTGAGGACGGATGCACCCTGTAATTTTGTCCAGGACTGTACAGATGGCTCAGATGAGGCTGTCAGCACCTGTGGTAAGTGTAACACAAATAAGCAGGTATTGAGTGTTCTTCATTCAGGTTAGATATTCAGTCAAGATACCCATGAAATCTAAAGGGTAGAGTCACAAAAAAAAATGGAAGAAAGAATTAAATTACCAAATTTGAAATCTTAGTTTTACTCCCTGGTGGAAAGCAATAATGCACAGCATTCACACTATCATGCATTGAAATTGGGGATTACATCAGAATTATTTATGTTATTGTTGAGGGTTTTTATCTGAAATATCACTTCACTGGAATGCCAAGTAAAGTGGAGAAATACATTATTTTGTTTACGTATAGGTGTACGTGTTCAACTTGATATAACCAAGTCTCAACAAGTTTACAATGAAGGAGAAACTGCTGTCTTTAACTGTGTAGCTACAGGAAATGTTGGAGTCACAATAAGATGGAGGACCAAGGAGGGGGTAGGTATTTTTGGGAAAAAAATTTGTATCCTCAACAGTGGTATGCTTATAGTACCACCGACATAAGGTAAATTGAAGTTAGTCCCAAATTCAAAGTTTTTTTTTGTCCATTCTTTTTCCACAAATACAAGGCTGTCTGCTGCAAGGTTCACTCATTCTCATAAATTTTAATGAGAAACATTTAACCAATGGAATAATTATCTGATGCTATTTTGTCGAAAACCTTTGTCCATTGAAAATGATCAGTCTATCCTCTGTTTGGATGCAATTTGATTTTGGAACAATGTCAGTGTGCAAAAGTTTAACCTCTCAGGGATTGAGAGTATAACATCTTTAATCATTCCATAACTGTAAAAGAGAAACATTAGTAACTCATGTCTGTACTGCTAATAACTATATAGTGCTGTCATGACTTGACCTAGGGTAATTTCTGAGGTCAAGATCATGAGCATAGGAAGTACAAAAGGTATGTCTGGTCTATAATGATATATATAAGAAATAAGAGAAGCTAATTTTTGACATAGGTATTACTTATGACTGGATATATGTCATAACTTTAAATTGAGGTCAATTAAAGGTCAAAGGAATTGTAAAAGTTTGATGCACTATTTCAAGCATGAATTATTTAAATGTGGTATGTGGGAAAGAAAAGCATCTGGTCACCTAACATGAGGAAGTTAAAACTTAGCTTAATGATGAGTCTACTGTGTCCACAATTTATAGTTGAACTTCCATATCTTGAACATCGATATCTTGAATACCTTACCTATGTCAAAGTGATTTGGAAGTCCCAACCCCTTATTCTTTTAAGTATTTTACTCTCCACATCTCGAATCCTTGTATATCTCGAAGTTTTTTTTCAGTCCCATTAAGTTTGAGATAACATGGTTTGACTGTAGTTATATCTGTTTCTCTTGCATGTTAATGTATATTAAAACAGAATTACTTTAGTAAATTATATTTACACCCAGGCCTTACCTGCAAAAGCTGTGCTACAGAATGGAAGGCTGTCCATTCCTAATGTGACAATGAATGATGTTACCGACTACATCTGTTACACAGACACAATACAAGGGGTTGGAGAAGCTACAGTCGATCTACTTGTCATACCAGGTAAGAAAGACCTGCAGGGCTTGCCAATATGAATGCTGTGTTGGGCTATATAAAATCCTATACATAATTATGTACACTTTTTCATTTTATTTAAATTCGTGATAAATAGGTTTTTAAGATTAGTAAAAAAGCATTTGATTTGTGTGTAAAATTATTGTTAGCATATCAGAAAAGCACTATTTGCATGCAATGTAGCTGGTGGAGTTACAATTGAACTTCAGTATCTCTAACATTGATATCTTGAATATGATGGATAAGTCAAAATGATTTGGAAGTCCCAATCACATTTTCTTCAATATGTACATGTATTTTAACCTCAGTATCTTGAAGATATCTCAAAGTTTTCTCTTGATCTCATCAAGTTCGAGATATCAAGGTTTGACCGTACTTTATTTTTTTGGGTTTTGAAGATATAAATGTAGACTGTCTATATGTGTGTACAGTTTTCAACTGAATTCATTATTCCTAAGTTTGGCCATTATTCTCTGTGTACCAGTACTATTGTCCTTGCTTTGCATGCCTTCTTTGTTTTTGTGCTAGCATGTAGGGCTGACCAGTTGCGATGCAGTGATGGGACTTGTGTTGACCGAGCTTATCTCTGTGATAACTATCCCGATTGTGTAGATGGTGCTGATGAAAGAAACTGTAAGTCATTACTCCTTTGTCGATTTATTACATATCACTGTCAACTTTTGCTTTTCCGTATAATTATTTCTATCTTTAATTATTGGATTTGAATTTTAGAATTTAAAATTTCGGAATTTTAAGCAATGTTGGTGTTAGAAATTTATATATAAAGAATACTATATGGAATAGGGTATAATTATTTATCTGAAGAATCAAAGCTTGATTATTTATTTTGTATGTCAAAATTGATCGAGATGTTGAAAACATAAGCCTAGAACATTCATTATGCCACTGTCTGTTTGGAAGAAAACTGGGGAAAACAAGAGGTCAAAGTTAAGTTCTGTCAAAACAGTGGACTAGGAATATGATGTGTCAAAGCTTCCCTTTACAAACATTCAAAATTTTAACTCCCTGGGATCAGTACTGGACTACATTTTTACCCTGAAAAAGTATTAGGGATTGATTAAAAATTTAGCAGTCTTGTATTTCATGTACATGTATTAAAAAAAAGAATCTTTTACAATGCTTATTAAATTACTATTTGTCACATAAGATCATTGCAAGCTACATTTTGAGTAAATGTACCATATGGATAGTTCTAATTTTACAAAGTGAGAAATCAGAAAAAAGGAATTTACTGTTATTTTAGATGAAATATTCTTCAAGAGTGCTAACAAACTTCATAAAAAGAATTTATTTACATGTAAACTGAAGGATAGATGTACTTTTTTTTTCATGTTTGTCCATCTGTCTATCTGTGACCACATTTCTATTACAAATAAATACTAGCTATGACTTTATACTCTTTAAATAAATTTAAACTTTATCATCTTATAAAAATGTTGCCCATGAATCCGACTCGAGGTCATGAGGCATGGAAATGATACATCTCAAATTTTGTAGAGAAATTATGTCAGATTTGTTACTTAGTAACTCTTCTTTGACATAAATCTTATAGGTAACACCACCACAGACTGTCCCCAGGGTCAGTATAAATGTGATGACAGCACTTGTGCACCCCCTGGGTCTAACTGTGATAGAAAGGTTGACTGCGGAGATGGTAGCGATGAATTCCCGAGATACTGCGGTGAGTGAGAAATGGAAGATGCTGCACATTTACTTACTTAGCATTTTCAAAAGTTAATGCAAATACATGTAGAAGTCGTGGATTTTGAATTTGTGAATTTAGTGTTTTTAGCATTACTTTGAGTTAGCACACAAACAGTTTTCCCAAAGATATCAAGATGCATATGTCCCTATAGAATATTGAGCATTTCTACAGATTTCTTTAGAATTATGCATAAAGTGTATATTCAGGAATTAAAACCATTTCATCTACGAAAATAATGGAATTACAACTTTTTTACTAGCATAGTACATAAATCAAGTATTTCATAGGTAGGGAAGTTCTTCATAGGGTAAGAAGATGGAAAATTATTACCATTTGATTTGCTTCACGAAAAGACTGAGAATTTATATGTTGTTGAAACAATAGGTTGTCAGCTTGGAGAGTTTATGTGTGCTGATGGGAAGCGGTGTATATCAAAGGCCGAGGAGTGTGATGGAAGAATCAACTGTCCAGACAGATCTGATGAGCATTCCAATTGTAGTATGTAGATTATTTATCCATCTACGTATAGAAAGAATCCAACTCCATTTTAATAGATATAGAATCTCTTTACCATAAAAGCTCAGATACTGTATCATTTGATAGGTCTCCTTATAAAGATTATATATCACTGTGCCTGTGTCATGATATTAGATTAACTTTCTTTTCATAACTTTTCATTCTGAAATTCTTTTATCACAAACTTTAAACTATGTAATGTTTCTTGTTTAACCAACTTCCATGAAATTGCAATTATAACATCTTAGGATAAAAGAATTGTGAGAGTAGTGTATTAAACTCCAGTCGAAGTTCATTATCTCGAACACTGATATCTCCAATACCAGGGATACGTCGAAGTGCATTGGCAGTCCCAACTACTTTTTTATGTTTTTTACCCTCGTTTTCTTTAATCCTTGGATATTTTGAAGCTTTAAGTTGGTTCCCACAAGTTACAGATAACCAGGTTTGGCTGTTACATAATCACTAAGTAATAATTGATTTGATATTGCAGCTGTAGCCTGCCGAGCGGACGAATTCACCTGTCAAAGTGGACAATGTATTGACCGGGCTCGGCTGTGTGATGGGTATCCAGACTGTAATGACCGGTCAGATGAAGAAGATAGAGCTTGTCGTAAGTTTCAGTCCAACATTGTTGTAAATTTCAGTCCGAAATTGTTGTGAATTTCAAAGATTGTTTTAAATTTTGCAAAAATTAGTTTTATCTTAATTGACATCTGATGAAGGCAAATAAAATTTAGATCTTCTTTGACATAGATATTTGATTAAAAATATTTTGGCAAGGACATTTTCAAGTAGATTATATCTGTGAAAAAAAAATTAAGGAGAAATTACTTATTTTTTTTCTTTTTGTTACCGCTGCAAAGAGTGCTTTGGATTTCAGTTAACTAGGTAGTAATTGTTGTAAGTATGTAAATAAATCTAAATTGAAAAATATTTTGGGATTAGGAACTGTCTGAATTTGTCCACTTGTAACTTGTTAGAAAACATTAATTGATATCAAAATGTATCGCTCAATCATATGTATCTCATTTTCAATCTTGAACTTACTTGAGTTTTCTCTAAAGTGATATTGAAATTAAATTTTGATATTATTAAAAGGATATGCATATTACAGTATATACATGCAGTTAAGGAAATTCAAATAGAGTTTGACTTTTGGGCCTCCTATACATTGTATCATATTATCTTCTTTTCTTTATTTTAGCACATATTTATTGAAAATTGAATGTTGTTTTACACACTTATATTATTTTAAGCTCCAGTTAATTGTATCTCGGTTTTTGATCATTGTTTGTGTGTAACTCCTATCTAGGTAAATGTGACAGTGGTTCCCAGTTTACTTGTCGTTTTGAACATCAGTGTGTTAATGTCTCGATGGTTTGTGATGGGTTTGCCGACTGTGTAGATAAGTCGGATGAGATGAATTGCTGTAAGTGTCTGCCTGTCCTGAGTCATGTCACACCAATAAAGTTGTACTTTCACTTTCAGTTTGAGTTTTAATTTTTTAATTAACTTTATATTGCTAGATAAATAATGGCATGTTGTTCATTTGTTTTCTGAGAGTCAGTTTTTCTGTGCTAGTATTTTTAGTTTTCATTACCCAACTTATGTGTTATAATGAGCAAAACCTAAGAAGTACAAGTATAAATATTGTATGCTACTGGCACAAAGATTAGAAAATACTCATTTTTAGCTCTACTGGTCAGAAACCAGAAGAGCTTATGCATTAGTAAGGTGTCTGTTATCTATCTGTCCATCTGTAAACAATTTTTCAAAATGCTACTCCTCCTACAGTTTTGGTCCAATTTCAGTAAGACTAGGTACACAAGTAGACTATAGTAAAAATACATAATTCTCTTTATTGGTTTTTGATTTTGACAAACATGTTGCCATGGTTACTAAAAATAGAAATTTCTTTGAAATTCTTTCAAAATGCTACGCCTCCTACAGTGTTGGTCCAGTTCAATAAGACTTGGTACAGAAGTAGACTATAAGACTATACTTAAGGAATAACTGTCTAGTTAGTAGAGTATGCCAGGGCATCAACGATAGTTGGAAACGTGGGATAATTTGCATAACGGGCGAAGCCCGTTGTGCATAAATTATCCCATGTTTCCAACTATCGTTGATGTCCCTGGTATACTCTACTAACTAGACAGTGATTCCTTATATTTCCATTTCATTTTGAAATAAAATTGTAAATTTAGATTTTAAAAATGTTGACTAATAGATTTAAATTACATAAGGCCTCACATGTCAATTTCAATAGTCCCCACCCACTGACGTCAAACACAAAGACAGCCGCACGAGAATTACATGCATATTAGGCCTCCTTAGAGTCAGACACAAAGACAGCCGCACGAGAATTACATGCATATTAGGCCTTCTTAGCTACTGACCTTTCGCTTGGCAAAATTTGCATTCCGTTAGAATGATCAAGAAATCAACTCTCCTAACTTTCAAAGAGTTATCACAGAGAAACAAATAGAAATGGAAATATTAAGATATATAATGCTGATTATCGTTTTGTGGTATTGACGAGCAGTGTTGCCATGGTTACTAAAAATAAATTTCTTTGAAACCCTTTCAAAACCCTACTCCATTTATAGTTTTAGCCAATTTCAATTAGACTTTGTACACAAGTAGACCATACTTAGATACATAATGTGTATCTGTTTTTGATTTCGACAAATGGTCTTGCCATGGTTACTAAAAGTATACACATGTAGACTAAATTAAGATACATCTCTATTATGTGCATGCACCAGTAGAGCTAGTCTCGTCAGAGACTTCTGGTTGTCCTTCGTAACTGTTGCTTATTTGAATTCACTTTGTTACTCATACGTGAGCATCAATCTGAGAAACTTTCCATAAAAAATACAAAGCTTTTACTTGGGAGAAATGGGGGTGTATTTAGGGTTTGTTTATACATGTACTGAAGTAGAGTTGGTACTGTGTGATCTTAGCTTAAGCTTTAAAGTTGGCTGAATTTGTCTTGCTGTGTTAGTGTGTTCATTGCATTTCTGTCTGTCTTGTTCAAGTTTAGCATGTGATATCATAGGTTTTCTACCAAGCAGTATCAATTTATTTTCCTCAAAGTAAAAGCATGCATTTAGAGATGAGTCAATCTCAACATTTTGTTTTTTACATCTGTATTTATAGACATTTGTCATGTTTCTCTGTGTGTAATACAAAAAAAAAATTCTTTGCTCCTCTTAGGCCTTTTGTGAAATCACTAATTTTCATGGGTTTTTTTAAATTTCTGTTGATTTCAAGGTATGAAGAGACCCACAAATTCATGTTCTCCACGAAAATGTTGAAATGTCAAACTAGAGAAACATGTTTTGTTTTCAAATCACCACAAACCAAATATTTTCCCCCAACCAGGAAAATCTGGCCCCATGAAAATAAACAATATTACAGTATATGCTGAATCATTCAGTGTTGATCTTTATACATGTGTACATTTTGTACAATGTTTCTATATATGTGGGTACTATAATGAGTGACATTGTTTATTACAGCCTGTAGTAAGTCCACAGAATTTACATGTGCAAGTGGACAGTGTATAGACATTAGGAGACGATGTGATAGGATCAGAGACTGCTTTGATGGCTCTGATGAACGAGATTGTCGTAAGTTCTCTGTCAATTGTATAAAACATGATGAATATTTGCTTGAAAGGGGGGGGGGGAGATAAAATTATGACAGGTTTTTAAGAAAAAGGAGAAGGTTTGATGATGTAGTTTGAATGTATGTCAGATTTCTATTACTGCTATTCATGGGAAAATGATGAACACGCTAATAGCATGTTTCCCCCAAGATGTCTCTTTAAAATGCAAGTTCGGGTAAATCTCAAATTGGCAACAGTGGGCTTATGGTCTTTTGTACTAGATTGTAAATCAGCTCAATTTTTCAGACAGATTAAAAGCTGTTCTTTTGAGAATCTTTTTATGGACTTTGCTGAATATATTGATTACAATTTTAGCTTGTCGTGCTGATGAATTCAAATGTTTTTCGGATGGGAAATGTGTACTGCGATCTGACAGATGTAATGGGCGGAGAGATTGTCAAGATGGCAGTGATGAAACTGACTGTCGTAAGTATTAAACATATTTTTGTCTTCATTTGCACTATTTTTATTTTAAAGTATTTTTAGAGGATGCAGACAGATGATCACCATTTCATTATGTAAATTAAATGAATAAAAAGTTTACATTTGTTAGTGTACCTTTACCTTGAACCCCCCTTGTAAACTCTTCATCCAAAAGAGCTTGTATGGAAAATAATATGAAAAAAGCAGTTTGCAAGGATCATTGTTAAAAATGATCATAATTAAGTACATTTACCAGTATTAATAGTTGTGTGATTGTTAATATTAATGCTTTTTTGCACCTATAGTTTGTCATATCTACACATAATTCACACTTCATGTTTATTAAATCCTCACAGTGTACAACATGTAACTAATTGTTTTCATGTAAATCATAATGAACCTGTGTCATGTTAAATGTGTCCATGTGTTTTGTGTCTGTAAGAAGAGGAGCGCTGTACCCCCTTCGAGTTTCAGTGTACAGTAGGGGGCTGTGTGGAGGCTATCAAGCGCTGTGACGGTTTTTTTGACTGTCCTGATGGCTCTGATGAAATTCTGTGTAACTGTGAGTAAGATGTCTTGAGTAGGTTTGACTCTGCTGTTCTGTTCTATGTGTATGTCTGCTCTAAGACAGAATCTGGGTCAGTGTGACCTAGATTAATTGTCTTACCTAGATCTGTCTCTTCTAGGTTCCTCAGTTAGTTAAATTTGATTGTAAATTGTGTATGAGTAAGAAATGGTCATGTGTGTGTGTTTTGTTTTGTTTTATTTTAATGTGAACTGCCTCTCTGTCAATTTTTTTGTTATGTGTTAAAGCCCCTTTCACATACAATTTATTGTAGTAAATTTAGAGTGGCTATGAGAGAAAAATAAATGGTTGTTGTTTCAAAAGAGGAAATTGTATGCTGCCTTCACATTTAAAATACATGTTGTGAGACCCTTAATGGAAAATACTGTATGTCAAGATTATTTGAAGTTAAATATTTAAATGTTCCCATGATAGTCGTGTGATTCTATCCTCAATGATCGTCACAAGAAAAAATTCTATGACAAGGATCCCTGACATTTTTTCATAGTTAGAATCCTAGATTTGTGTATTACACACCATTATGACTGTCCTAGGAACTATACCCATTTTCTGTTGTAGAGATGTTGTAGACTTGTTGTTGGACATATGTGAAAGGGGCTTAAAGGACTATATGTGGGAAGGCTAAATTGATATGCTATTTTGATGTAAGGATATTGGCATAAATTTCAAAAAATAGAAGTCAAATGCACAAAACCGTGAAGAAATCTTGCTCAGAATTTATTTACTAGGTATTTTTAAATTTTGTAAAATAAAAACAAGTGTGTGTTGGCATGCACTTTGTGTTGCCAGTCAAATTAGTTAACGAGAATTTTTTTTACAGGGATGTGCAGGGCATGCATTGTTGCATATAGTCCATTTGGGTTGACTTCAGTCTCTGAGATACCATTCATAAGTTTTAGTGTCTGTTGATTAACACAGCAAATTCTAAACTTTGTAAATTGGTTGTAGCATGTCTGTCTGTCTCTGTGTGTGAACTCTCTTTCTCTCTACACCTTGTTTCTTTTTTTTACTAGTGACTGAATTCTTGTAAAGGATCAGAGGAGGGTTGGAGATTTTGAAGGAGGCATCTTAATTGTCAGATTCATTGAAAAATAGAAACGATTTCTGATGATTTTCCGTATAATTGTGGTAGAAATAAAAAGTGCAGTAAAACATGCTTATAAAGAAGTGCCAGGGATGGACAACTTTGCCTCATTTTAAATATAATTTAAATCTCCGTGAAATTCACAATTTACTGTACAATTTATTTTAAAGCCACAGAGAATGAAAATCACTTGACTGTAACTGTGTCAATTCATTATAAGCGTGTTCACTATAAACGTTTTACTGTGCATGATATAATTCTATTCACTTCAGTAATAGACATAAATGACAAAATGACCAAGAGGATGACTGAAAAGATATACATGTACATTCAAATATTATGCAATTACTAGAGATACTTAATTTATTTACTTTTATTAGAATATTACTTATCTCTTTTAAGTAGTTTATTAGCACATAATTTTAGTGTTTTGATGAATTGTGTATTATTAAAAAAGCATGTTTATTTATGGAGTACGTGTATTTGCACTCAGTTAATTAACACTATAGTTGCATATAATTTACTGATTTTATTTTTAAAGTAAGCTTCACTGCAATTTGTCTTAATTAAAGTTTGACATTTTTTTTCATACATTTCAACATCACAATTTCATAATGGCTTCTTATTTAAATTAATTTGGCCTAAAAAAAATATCAATTCAGTTTAAGCTTTAGTCAAATCACTCCTTTAGCATTATCATGCAAAGTAAAATTTAACTGCTTTTTATTTAACTGATGATACTGTATTTAGCCAAACACTTAGTTTATCATACTAAAGCTACAGTTTCAATTTTATTATCCTTCTTCAATTAAAATTCCATTTTGAGCCTCATTTATTGATATCAGGTGTGTAATTTCCTATCAGATATCATGGTTTACAAATGGTGACCTCTGCTTGAAATGAACCACCATTTAGGCAGAAGACATATTATACATGTATATTCCTTTTTATATGCATGACAGGTTGATATTTAAAATTTTTTCATATTTTCAAAAAGAGTAGCTTCAAAGGTTGAATACAGATCGACAGTTTATAACCAAAAAAAAAAAATGGTCTGGATTGTAAAAACATTGTAATCAACATATAGACTGTGACGTTATTGTTTATTTTCTCATTGGAAAGGTCTTCAGTGTAATAATTTCATTGCAGTGGTATAGTGACCTGATATGGAAAATTACTGCGTGAGAAAAAGAAAATATGTATCAGGACTTGGCTTTAACATGCACAATACATGTACAGGCTTTCTTTTCTTACCCAGTATATTTCCAAACCAGGCTTCTAACTAGATGCATATATAATAATATTTTATACTAATTTGTCTACAGCCCCCACTCCTGCTCCAACCACAGAACTGCCTGTGATTGTCCGAGTGGCCCCCTCCAGCCTGAGACTTAGGGAGGGACAACAGGCCTCATTCCAATGCCAGGCCAGTAGATCAGTCCCACTGCGCTGGAGTCGACGCAGCAATATTGGGGTACTTATTGTACTGTTCTATGGTCATTGTTTTATGGCTGTCAAATAATTTGGCTTTGGCCAGTGTTGTTCGTCTGTCTTCTGTCAGTGTTTCCTCTTTGGCATGGCATTTAGGATTAAAATATCTGATAAAATATGACCTTGACCTCATATCTCTTAATTTAAATTTCAGTTTTTTTGCTATAAAACTCTAGAGAATAATTTTATGTGTCTTTGAATGAAGGCAACTTGGCAGTAGTTATTTAAAACAATATGAGCTGTGTTTTTGACAATTTGCTATAAAAATGGGCTATTACGTGACTGTATGATTCAGCATGTAACTTAAAATTTTTATGATCAGTATTAAAGACTAGTCTAAGCATTCAATTTTATCAGAGAAAAAATTCTGTACTTTAGAATGTTATTTTATATAACAAATTATTTTAATATAATAAGAAATAATATTATTTGCTTCAATCAGAGCTTTTAAAAAGTTTTTCCAACACAAATGTGAATGACAGAAATTTATAAACCTTCATTTTTTTCTGATATTAAAGTAGTTCGTAACATTTTTACAGCAAAAATTTTGGATACAGTTCATATTCCATTAAAAACTGTAAATATGCCTTTGTAACACTTTGTATTTCTATGTCACTCAACTAAAGCTCAGTTGGTTTCCATGTTGTATGTACAAATTTAAAATCGATGCTTATATTAAAAATTCTGCAAAATATTCCAAGTTTTGGCACATGAAAAATGTGTAGTGAAAAGTATATGCAGTATTTTCATATTAATATGGAATGGGATAGAAAGGCATTATTACATCTTGACTTCTTTTCTTTCCTGCAGTCTCTGCCTTTTCAAGCCAGAGTAGAAAACAATATTCTAATAATTCCACAAGTTCGGTCTGAAGACTCAGGATCTTATGTGTGTGCTGTGGTAGGACAGGAACAAAGATACTATGCCATTGCTTCACTGGATGTACAGTCCTGTAAGTTCTCTTACTTCACTAAATGTACACTCTAACTTATAAGTTCTCTGATTACTCTTGATGTGTAGTCTTGTAAGCTCTCTGATTACACAAGATATACAATCCTGTAAGTTAACTGATTACACTAGATGTGGTAGTCTTGTAAGTTCTCTGATTACACTAAATGCTTGTTTACCATGAAGATTAGGATCACTTAACCATGTCAATTTATGCATCTTGATTGGATGGTGCATCTCAACCCAAAAGGTCACTATGACTTCATTGTGCAGTCAAATATGTTTATTTTAATTTATAATGCTTTCTGGATGATATGCACTAACACAGTTTCATCAAAGTTTCTCAGTTTTTATGCCCCGCCATGAATATGGCCGGGGCATATAGTGTTTGTCATGTCCGTCTTCCGTCCTTCCGTCCTTCCGTCCTTCTGTCCTTCCGTCTGTCCTTCCGTCACACTTTGCGTTTAGCTCTGTTCAAAGCTCAGTTTCAAAGAAACTATCCAAGATATTTTTATCAAACTTCATATGCTGATAGATATTGATGAGAGCTATGCAACTGCATCAACATTTTTTGACCTTGACCTTTCCTTTGACCTTGATCTCACTTTTCTTAAATAAGTGTTTAGCTCAGTTTTAAAGATATCATTCAAGATAGTGTAATCAAACTTCATATGTTGATACATACTGATGTAAACTATTCAACTGCATCAACATTTTTTGACCTTGACCTTTCTTTTGACCTTGACCTCACTTTTCCTAAATTAGTATTTAGCTCAGTTTTAAAGATACCATTCAAGATAGTGTAATCAAACTTCATATGTTGATACATACTGATGTAAGCTATTCAACTGCATCAACATTTTTGACCTTGACCTTTCTTTTGACCTTGACCTCACTTTTCTTAAATTAGTGTCAAACTTCATATGCTGATGCATACTGATGAGAGCTATTCAACTGCATCAATATTTTTGACCTTGACCTTTCCTTTGACCTTGACCTCACTTTTCTTAAATAAGTGTTTAGCTCAGTTTTACCATTCAAGATAGTGTTATCAAACTGCATATGCTGATACATACTGATGAGAGCTATTCAACTGCAGCATCATTTTTTGACCTTGACCTTTTTCTTTGACCTTGACCTCACTTTTCTTAAATTAGTGTCAAACTGCATATGCTGATACATACTGATGAAAGCTATTCAACTGCATCAATATTTTTTGACCTTGACCTTTCCTTTGACCTTGACCTCACTTTTCTTAAATTATTTTTTAGCTCAGTTTTAAAGAAACCATTCCTAATATTTTTATCAAACTTCATATGCTAATACATACTGATGTAACATTTTCAACTGCATCAACAATTTTTGTCCTTGACCTTTCCTTTCACCTTGACCTCACTTTTCTTAAATTAGTGTCAAACTTTATATGCTGATACATACTGATGTAAGCTATTCAACTGCATCAATATTTTTTCACCTTGACCTTTCCTTTGACCTTGACCTCACTTTTCTCAATTTGTGTTAAAATGTTGTGTTACTAATATACACTCGGCGGGGCATTCATGTCCTATGGACATATTTCTAGTTTGTTGTTTTTTTTTTTTGGAGGGGGGGGGGGGGGGGGGGCATTGCTGTTACTTGCATTTTTACTATGGAATAATTTAAACTGTACATAAACCAGACAATATATTCTTAATTTAAAGTGGGTAGAGATTTTGCAAGTCATCTACAATATTATTCATGTACACATAGATACATGTAAAATGTGTAATTATAACTGAAATGAGCTTATAATTTAACATGATGTTTGTTTCCTTTCACAGTACCAACTACTACTGTAGCACCACAGCGACCCCTTATCATCACAATTTCACCCCCCAGTTTGAGACTGAGGGAGGGGCGACAGGCACAGTTCCAGTGTCAGGCCACCAGATCTGTTCCTCTTCGCTGGACCAGACGCAGCAGCAATGGGGTACTGATCCTGTATATTATTCAGTTATTGTAGTTCTGACAAAGTGAAAGCATATCTCATTTTCATTGAATTCAAGAATTTATAATTTTGACCTAAAGTAAGGATACTGAGTACTGGGTATTTTGTTTTGACTGAGTAGAAAGATATCAAGCTTTGACTGAATTTAAGTTTATGTTGTTCTAGCTGGTGTATTTTTAGCTCTTCTGAGCCAAAGGCTCAAAGAGCTAATGCTATGGCTATATGTGCGGTGTACAGTGTGCATAAAGTTTTAAGAATATGGGCCATAACTCAAGAACCCCTCGGCCAATTATTGTCAAATTTGTCACAGGGTATCCTTGGCCCAAGAACTCCAGTTTATACTAAAACTAGGGTTGTGACCCTTAGACAAGGGGAGATAATTAGGAAAATAGAAGCAAAACTACTGATTGCTAAAAAATCTTCTTCTCAAGAACCACTTGGCAGATTATCACCAAACTTACACAAAAGGATGAGGATATGTTGTAGATTAAAAATTGTTCAAGGCATCACCCTGGGGCAAAGGGCGTGGTCTCAAGGTCACTTCAAAGTTGACCAAAAATTACATTTTATTAAAATGTTGATATTTTGTTTACTATAAGGACTAGGATCATCAAATCTTGTCAGTTGATGCATCTAAGGACCTCATATCATGTTGACTCAAAAGTAGGTCACGGTGACCTACTTTTTAAATTTTGCTGCCATTCTTTTTCAAAATGATTTAGAGGCATATTTTGAACAATTTAAGGCCTATGATCATCAAACTTTGTCAGTTGATGTATCTTGGGTCCTCGGAGTACATCGACTAAAAAGAAGGTCATCTTGACCTACTTTTTGAATTTTTTGGCTAATCTTTTTCAAAACAATTAAGGTCATGAATTCGAATACTGAGAGGTGTAGAGTCATGAAATCTTGTAAGGTGATGCATCTTGGGGCCATAAAACATATGTATTAAAAAGTAGGTCACAGTGACCTACTTTATGAACTTTGCAGGCATTTGCTTTCAAAGCGTTTTAGAGGCATAATTTGGACATTTTAAGGCCTATGATCATAAAACGTTGTAAGTTGATGCATATTGGGTCCTCAAAAAACGTCAACTGAAAAGTAGGTCACCGTAACCTACTTTTCAATTTATATGACTATAATTAAATATTTCGAATACTATTTGGCTTAGAATCATCAAAATTTGTCAGTTGATGCATCTTGGGTCCTTGGAGTAGGTAGACTGAAAAGCAGGTCACCGTGACCTACTTTTCAATTTATATGACTATAATTAAATATTTCTGGTACTAATTGGCTAAGAATCATCAAACTTTGTCAGTTGATGCATCTTGGGTCCTTGGAGTATGACAACTGAAAAGTAGGTCACCCTGACCTACTTTCGAAATTTTATGGCTGTATTTAATATTTTGGGTACTATTTGGCTTAGAATCATCAAAATTTGTCAGTTGATATATCTTGGGTCCTCGGAGTAGGTTGACTGAAAAGCAGGTCATCGTGACCTACTTTTCAATTTATATGACTATAATTAAATATTTCGAGTACTATTTGGCTTAGAATCATCAAAATTTGTCAGTTGATGCATCTTGGGTCTTCGGAGTATGTCAACTGAAAAGTAGGACACCAGACCTACTTTTGAAAATTTATGGCTTTAATTAAATATTTCAGGTACTAATTGGCTTAGAATCATCAAACTTTGTCAGTTGATGCATCTTGAGTCCTTGGAGTACGACAACTGAAAAGTAGGTCACCGTGACCTACTTTTGAAATTTTATGGTTATAATTTTAAAAATATTTTAGGTATTAATTGGCTTAGAATCATGTTGGGTTTTCAGAGTGTTTCATCTAAAATGTAGGTCATGATGACCTACCTTTTGAATTTCAAGGCTTTATCTAAATATACAGGATACTTAGAGGCTTCAAATAGAAGTGATAGGTTGTACAGTTTATCAGAAGAGTGATTCAAGGCCCTTTGGCCTCTTATTATTTCATGTGTGTGTACTTGTATGCATTTTATTTCTTTATTTTATCTAAATCAGACAGCCCTACCTTTCCGAGCCTCAGTAGAGAACAACATACTCACTATTCCAGAGCTTCAGTTATCAGACTCTGGATCTTACATGTGTTCCGTGGTAGGGCAGGAACAGAGATACTTTGCTATTGCTACACTAGATGTACAGTCATGTAAGTTTTTCCTGTACACTATACGTACAGTCATGTAAGTTTTCTCTGTACACTACATGTACAGTCATGTAAGTTTTTTTGTGTACACTAGATGTACAGTCATGTAAGTTTTTTTGTGTACACTAGGTGTACAGTCATGTAAGTTTTCTCTGTACTCTAGATTACATTCATGCAAGTTTTCTTGGTACACTAGATGTACAGTCATGTAAGTTTTCTCTGTACACTAGATGAACAGTCATGTAAGTTTTGTCTGTACACTAGATGTACAACCATGTAAGTTTTCTTGGTACACTAGACATACAACCCCATGTATTTTATCTTGTACCATGTACTGATAAATATATTTGGAAAGCTTGGTCATATTCAATTATATATACTTTTATAAAGGATAAGGATACAACAATTTAAATACATTTTGTTGACAAACTTTTTCTGTATGTAGTGGTTCCCCCTACTCTCCCTCCCACGGGAATCTGTCGCCCCGGGGAGGCTGTGTGTCAGAACCTACAGTGTATCAATGCGGACTACCGGTGTGACGGGGACCAGGACTGTGAAGACGGCTCAGATGAAGATCCAAGCATTTGTAACTGTGAGTATCAAGAAAAAAATGAGGACAAAATAAACAAAAAATGTTATCGTGAATATCAAGCAATAGCTAGAGGGCAAAATAAACAAAAAATAAAAATAATTACTAACCCATTTCAATCCTTTGAACTTATTGTGATGGTATGTTTTTAATTGTTTGTCAAAAGCCATTAGTCCTGACAAGATTTTGTACTGTGTGCTTTATTTATATAAAATTTAAAATACATTTACTTCTTCATAAGTTACTTTGTAATTGTTTTAGATTCATATGTTTATCAAATGAATTTAATGAATTTGACGTGCATGTACCGAGTTGATGTTGATATATATCATGTTTTGAATAGATAATTTATATTTATACCTATTCTTAAATATTATGGACTTGCATGTTTATTTACAGTCGAGAAGTTGTGTGAACCAAATGAATTCAAGTGTTCCAATGGAAGATGTGCTATGAAGATCTGGCGTTGTGATGGAGATAATGATTGTGGAGATGATTCCGATGAACAGAATTGCCGTAAGTTCTGAACGTACACATCATAGGCCCATCTACTGTGGAATCATTTTAATTCATTGGGGTCAACGTTCGTGGGCAAGCAAAATTTTACTTGTTCGTGGGGATGAAATTTTGTGGGATGCTCGTTTATACGGTAGATTCAATGAATCAATATGTTTACAAAATAAACGTTTGTGGGGGTGTAAATTCGTGGGTAAGGGATATATATAAATTCCACGAGCATTGGTTCCCCTCCTACAATTATGATTCCACAGTATACACTGCACACTAAAGAGTTCTAATCATATACATTGTAGTATTTTTATATAGTTAGAGTTATCTGCCCTTAGATCGAACATGCATTTAATATAAATTGGGATCTACAGTCCTTTACTCAATCTGTAATCAATTCAAGCACACTTAACATTTTGTTAGGCCAAGATAAATTAATTGAACACTCAATTTGCATTTCCCCATGTTAATAAATGACTCCAAGATAAGCTCTGTTTGTGTTTTATATCAGCCACCCGACGTCCCGGAGACCCGTGTGATTCTAAGGAGTACCAGTGTACATCCGGGGACCAGTGTGTGCCAGCCTCGTATCAGTGTGATGGAGAAATTGACTGTCAGGACAGATCAGATGAGATTGGCTGTGGTAAGGATAATTTCATTACCACAATGTCAATAAATGCTAAATAAGAGATAAAAAAATTTCACATGTATTTGAAACAATATTTATATTGTTGTTTTTTTTTTGTTTTTTGTTTTGATAGATGTATTCTAAAGAATTTTTTGTCATTTGAATGAATTTATTTGTTTTCTTTCATGTGTTTTAAAGAATTTTATAGCGATTGAATTTTTCCATTGATATCTTTTAGCTGCACCCACTATAAATGTTGCTCCTCCCCCCAATATCGAGGTAGAAGTGGGTGGCTATTTCACCATTATTTGTGAGGCTGTGGGTGTCCCCACCCCACTGATTGTGTGGAGATTAAACTGGGGGAACATTCCAACAGGGGACAGGATATATGTCTCCAGTGTCAATGGACGGGGTAACCTCACAATCACAGACGCCAGAATAGAGGATTCTGGGGCCTACACTTGTGAAGCCATTAACGTCAGAGGAAGCGTATTTGCATCTCCTGATGCAATCATTATTGTAAGACGTAAGTACCGGTGTAGACTATTTTGTTAGGTAGTGTCATTTTTGGTGGGCTTTTCTACATTAACAATTAATATTCTCTATGTATCTTAGCAAGGTGGTACTTTAAGCTTGAAAATTGGTGAAAATTGAATAACACAGTGATATAGAAAAGTTTTTTTGTGCAGATATAAGTATTTAATAAATTGACTTTATGACCATATCATTGAAAAACAGCAAAGCATAATACTCTGCTTACATACTTTTCCAAGAGAGAGGTCAGAAAAAGAGTTCATTGTAGGTAAAGAGTATGTCATGACATTTTCTTTCAGAGTTTGTTGTGGTTGGTGAGAAAAAGGTCACCGACCTTTCTCGCCAAGAGTACCAAGGTAATGTGGGGATGGGCTCATCTGGGTGAGGAGAATATGGCTGCCATACATGCTTTAAAGTTTCAGTCTTTTTGTTTGGGTTATTGTAAGGTTTTGTGTTGAAAGTTTTGAGAAAAAAATCTGTGCTCTGACAGGATTGGCTATATTTTTTAATAAAGGGTATCTTGTATTCATTTTATTGGAGAGATAGATTTGTTTATTCACTATTTCTACGCAGTTGGTATTTTCATATGCACTGTATAGTGGTTGGTTATGGTTGGAGATGATCTTAGGGAAATGATGCTGTTTAATATTAAGGTATTAATGAATATGTCTCTCTCCAATCATATTTACACAGGACAATAGAATGGCATGATTAACTGGTGTATATGATCATGTATTCTTCTCAAAGGTGCAATTATAATATTATTAGAAATTTAATAATGGAAGGCCAAAAAAATCCTACATTTTTAATGTCAAGTCATTTTAAAACAAAATGTGTAATTATTTTGAAACATGTTTAAATTTTTGGATGATACTAATGGAAGGTGTTTATATCAAACTATTGTGTTCTTTTCTTCTGCTTGGTTGACATTACAGATATGTCATGTGTTAAATTTTTTTTTAATAAAGTTATAGAATTATATGGCCACATTGGATATGATCATCATCACCATGATCTTAAACAGGGTATGTCTATATTACTCTCAAAGCGTAACAGCAACGGAAGAAAAAATGCATTTCAAAGATGTAGATATGACAGTTGATTATTTAAAATAAAACAGATAGCAAATAAGAAAAACAATACTTCACGATTATTGGATGGACAATGGTCTATAATTTTTATATTATGTGAGGTTGACTTTTTTGTAGAAAGAGTGCAGGAAATTGTTGGTTATGGTAGATTTGACACAATACGGTGTCTGTCTGTACATGGGAAACATCTGGCCTGTAAAAGACTTTGCACCTGGCCAAACTGTAAGAAATATGTAACAGTGTATTGTGTGTAGGACCATATTGACATTGCTGGTGATGTAGATGGTGTAAGCTTTTGTTGATCAATATCAGATACATGTGGAGTACAGTGTTGCTCATCATTTTCATTTCATGGTTATCCTTTTGGATTTGTAAATGTTTCAGACTGGGTGATTTGATTTGTGGATCTGGTTTTATGATTTATAGTGTTAGTTATGTGTCATATATACATTCTGACATTTTGATGCAGAGGAAGATTGCTAGCTGGTGAATGTGTGATAACAAGGACTTCTCAGTTTGAGGCATGCCCTTGTAATTGGACATGGTGTTATACAAACACAACCCTTTCTAAGAATGTATGCAGAAATACAATACTGTATCCTTTTTTTTCTCAGTGAAGTTAGTGAACATTGGGCATAATCTTGTGCTGAGTGGAGATGATGCTAACTTTTTAATCTGCTTGTTACTTAATTGTTAAATCAAGACAATGCTTGCTTTTCCATATTCCAGTGTAAATATAAGATTTCAGCTTCCAAGGGGAAAATTAGAAATAATGGAAATACATCTTGCTTGAAAACATAGAAAACAATATTTATGACAAAGAAACTCATACTGCATAGATACCAAATTATAAGCCCTGATTTTAGGTACCCCACAAGGTGTTTGTGAACCTCCTAGATTCAACGTGGAAGCCTCCATTGACACAGACTGCATCAACTGCTTCTGTTTTGGCCACACTACCCAGTGTTACAGTTCTGATTTACAAATCTCAAAGGTCAGGACCTCTTACTAAGAAAATTAAGTCCGATTTTTAGAATATGCTGTCAACTTCATTGAAACACTTGCTGTATGGATGTTGTAGATTGATCTAGTGGGTGAACTTACGATGGTGAATGTGGACTCTTCACTACCTATTGACTCTCGGTATGTGGAGTACCTTCCCTCAGGGGAGTATGGTGGCTTCTATCAGGTGGGAGATGGACTGCGACTGGTGCCCCCAGGGATCTACTACTGGTCACTTCCGGGAGAGTTCCTAGGGGATAGGGTAAATTCTGGAATGTGTTAATTCTTAGCGAAGCAATTTTTGTGTAATACCCTTTTTCATGAGTTTTTCAATGCAGGACTACTTAAAATGTTTTATTAATTAAAATGTAATATTTTAGCTTACAAGTTATGGAGGGAGTCTTCAGTATGATATTTTCTATTCCCTCGGGAGAGGTCAGTCTAAAATTTTGGATCAAGCAGATGTGGTTATGAGGGTAAGTTGTACCTTTTGAATGAGAGAGGAGGATATTGATTGATGACTGACAGACTGGCAGGTAATCTTCATGGTTCTAATTTTTGATTTTCAGGGAAATGGCATCACAATCTACCACAGAGCGTCAACCATTGCCAGACCAGAGGGACTGACTCGCTTTCAGGTTCCTCTGCTGCCGGTAAGCCTTGTTTTTCAGTATTTTTTCTTTAATCTCAAAGATTACAATTCCATGAAAAAAAAAATGAGTTCTTCAACCTAGTCTGTGATGGGTATTTCAGAGTGCTTGGACAAAAGGTGACATGCCTCGAAGAGGGGACACACCTGTGCTGGAATATGCTTCCAGAGAAGACCTCATGATGGTACTGGAGAACCTGGAATACATCTACGTTAGATCTCACTATGACTCGAGCATGGCACTTACAAGGTATTGAAGACAGACAACTTATTGTGTGTTAAACTGATAGAATACCAAAAATTTACATTAAATTTCAGGTTTTTGTGAAAAGATAATAGAGGAAACATTTTTCGCCTTTCTTTACGTAAGCAATTACATAGGTTTATGAGAACTTGATTTACTGATTTCAGGATTGGCAATATAGAGTTGAGCAGTGGTGCAAGGGAATCAACAGGTCTTGGTAGAGCTGTGTATGTGGAGAGTTGTGAGTGTCCTCCCGGCTACTCTGGACTCTCTTGTCAGGTAGGTCACTGTCAGAGAAAGTGCTGACTCCTCCTTCAAGTTGGGTGACTCTCAGAGAAGTGTGAATCTGTATCTGGAAACTGCGGCCTTTCTTTTCAATCAGTTCACTCTCTGCAAGAGATGTTTTGTACTTATAGATAACATGTTTGATTTAGAATAAAAGTAATCTGTTAATTGAGAGTTTGTTTGGTTATAGGACTGTGCCCCAGGTTACACAAGAGTTCAGCAAGGTCCCTACCTGGGGATTTGTACCAGATGTAACTGTTACGGACATTCAGCGGACTGTGATCCCATCACTGGAGCCTGCAGGGTGAGTTCTTATGAAGGAATGTCAGTCATGGCTGTTTTCTAGATTTCTTTATGACTGTATATGAACGGTGTATAATGTTAGAGGTAAATTTCATTTTAGTTCTGTAATCACAACACTGAAGGTGCACAATGTGAGCGTTGTGCTGTTGGTTACTATGGAGATGCCACGCTTGGAACTTCTGATGCTTGCAAGCCCTGCCCTTGTCCATTAACCACACCAACAAACCAGTATGTAATTGTAAATACTGACACAATGTTATAAAACATCCATTTATTTTTGTGTGTTGATTTTTAAACTACTGTATCAGGGTTATTTTGGCCCCATGTTATTTTTGCCTCTCACAATTGCAAATAAGAAAACTTTTATTGAGGACCTTTACAGTCACATTTGGCAGGAAGTTGCTTAATAAATTGGGTCACTAAAGCAGGTTTGATGCACTTTCAGCTCATAAATTTGTGCACTCATAAGTTAGAGCTGTTTGCATTTTTTTTGTGTCAGCCATGTTAGGTTTTATCTTCTGTTACAGGTTCAGTGAGACTTGTGTCCTGAGTTCTGATGGCAGACCTACATGTACCGCCTGTAAACCAGGCTACACCGGGCGAAACTGTGAGAGATGTGCAGAAGGATACATTGGCCAGCCCAGTATCATAGGAAACTACTGCCGAAAAGTCAACTGTAAGTCTATGGCTGTGTAAGAAAATAAGGGAGGGGGTGAATGTTAGATCTCAAGTAATGTACAGTAAAACCTCATCATCTCAATCTCAATGGTACCAAGAAAAAACTATAATATTCAAAGATTTGAAATGTTGAAGTTAAAATAAAATACATAAAGAAAAAGTGGTTGGGACTTGAAACTTACTTCAACATATCCACGGTATTTGAGATACTGATAAAATATTGATGCATTGCAGTGCCTGATATATGTGACTCCAGAGGCAGTTACAGCAGACAACCAGACCCTGTGACCGGTGTCTGTAGATGTAAGGTAAGGTCACCTGTTGTACTCACTTAAAAAAATATTGCCAATTCGGAGTCTTATTATGAAGCAGTCTCGTCTTGTGATCTGTATTTAAAGCCTGTGTTAATTACTTTTTATTTCAGTCTAATGTTGTCGGTAAGAACTGTGACCAGTGCAGGGAGAACACGTTTCATCTGGATGCTGCCAATCCTTTTGGCTGTCTGCGTTGTTTCTGCATGGGAGTCACAACCCAATGTACCAGCACTTCTTGGAATAAAGCTCAGGTAGTTTGTGTGCCAGACTTGCAGAACAGCTTGTTTTAAAATGAAAAATGGGAAGATTGCAGTTCATGTCCTTACCACTTTGTAACGCATGAAACTTGGTGATTTTTGTTTTATTGTAGGGCCTTGTACGTGTATATGAAAATGTTAATTGTGTTTTTTTTCAGATTTTATGTCAGTTTGATTCTTGAATTATAATAAAGATTGAGAGGTGATTGATATTTAAGTTTAGATGCAGGTGAAGTTGCATTTCTTTAAACACCCAATTTTATGTTAACGCCCCCAAAATCTACCTAATTCAAGATCAATAATATACCGCCTGTCAATCATTAAAAAAACAATAGCTTCTGATTTGATTGACGGGCCAGCTACGAGGGCTACCTGATAATCTGAGTTTGCATGTTTTGAAAACAATTACCTGGTCACGCGTCAAACGCTTTCATGTGCCGCATGAATGGTCGCTTTGTATACACTTTGGTTAAAAAAAAAAATCATGTCGCTGTTATATTGGTTGATAATTTTATTTTTAAAAAATAATTGAGAGTAGATATATAAACAGTGACTTCGTGATTTTTTTTTCAATCTCCACTGCTGTTTTGTACTTGTTAGCGGTATGACGTCCAAAATAACTGTAGAACTTTTCAAAGAAAAATTAGCGGATATTCAAGCCCTCTCTTCTTTCATGCAGTAACTGAGATCCGGAGAGAGAGAAGAAGTTTCTGTAGTAACACAGACCGATAATTCTTCCGAGCCCCTTATTCAACCCGTGCCTTGATTTTAAGAATGTATGTAATGCACTTGTCGACCTTGCACTTGGCTACACAGAAACTCAATTCGCTGTAATTAGAAACAATCGACCCCCTCCCCCACCATTGAATATTATAACAAAATGCAATGGATTAAATAAGAAAAGATGTTTATACTAATATAAATAAAGTATCTTGTATCTAACGCCATGAATTACGAAAGATTCTTTTTATGTCCAAATCTGTAAACAGGGCACAAGAACACGGACCCTCGGAAATGGCGAATATTTGGACACAATCGTTCGCCAGAAAAGTAAATAATATTCCGATGTGGTAAATGTTCACACAATAAGTGGAATCTTTTTATTTTAATATTCACACTTAATGTTTTATAATAATTTCTTTTATCAGTTTATTGGCGATTAAAATATTGATATGATTGCTTCGTAGTTTTCACCCGGTTTTTTTTTTTTATTATTATTAATTTTACGATTTTTAAAAAAGATATGTCTTTTTAATTTTTTTTTTATTCAAAAGATAACAACGAAAACGCTAAGTCTACAAATTTTATATTTCAGTACCTAATTTATTTTAAATATTTTCACTCAAAATTATGCACAAAACGCGTAATGTTGACCCTGATTACCAAAAGCCGGACTTCCTGTGTAATGCAGCGTGTATAGGGATTTTTGACATCTTGAGTATTGGGGCTCTCCAGGTAAATAACACCAGTACTTCCTAGACCACTCCCCCTTCTCAGGTAACCGTACAGTAAAAAAATTGGGTCTTTAACTTTTTGGCTTAGGGAGGATTGGAGTGGGGTGAGGCATTTAGCCAAGATGCAGCCAGAATGAAGGTCCAAATGTATATATGATTTTATTTGTTGATTGAGATTATCAGTTAGAGCAGTTTGACATAAGTTTTAAATTGTTTTATTTCTAGATTGGTTCCTCATTCACAAGAAACAGCAATGGTTTTGTCCTGACAGATCTACTTCAAAGGGAGACAATTTCAGATGGCTTCACGGTCAACAGCAATGTCAGGGAGCTGGTTTATCGGGGCTTTAGCAACCAGAGAGACACTGTGTATTATTGGTCACTTCCAAAGCGTTTCCTAGGAGACAAGGTCAATATGAGAATTTAGATCAAATAAGTACATTTTAAGGAACAATATCAAGTTATTTGAACATTTGCTCTGAGCATTCATTATTGTTGAGATTATGAACATTGTAGATAGCATTTTGAAAACTTCTGTGAGGTCAGAAACTGACTTGAGTTATATGCACATGGTTTTCATAGGTGGTGTTATATGGAGTTGACTTTAATTAAATCTACTATATATTTATAGGTGGTGTCCTATGGGGGTTACCTGAGATTTGTATTGGTGTACCGGCCGGGACAAGATGCCTCACCCAGTCAGCTGGACGGCCCTCTTGTGGAAATCATTGTAGGTTTTGTGATCTTCAGATATTTATCAAAATTTGCAAAAACAAAACAAAACGAAAACACTAAAGTTTGAAATAGAAATTTCAATTTCTATCAATTTCAAAATAGAGATATTCCAAATTTACATGTAATTGAAAGTGTGTATCTTATGGTGAAGAATTGCTGCTCCTAGTATTTCAACAGCAATTAATGAATCATTTGTGATCAAGCTATTAAAAATAAAATTTTGTGCTCTAGGGAAATGGAGTAACATTGATTCACAGATCTACACAGGAACATCGACCAAACACTCCCTCTTCCTACAGAGTGCCATTTACAGAGGTAGGTTTTTGTCAAGAGTAAAACAGGGTCAGCATGCACTAAAGATGAATGTGGTTACTGCAAACTTGAAAAAAAAAATTAAAAACCTTTCATCATCAAATGTTTGATGTAATATAAGATTTTTAGCTAGCTACATAATTGTCTCTGTTTTCAGTTTCTAAGATAAAAAAGAATGTTACATTTAAATTCATTCAGGTAAGATAATAAACATGTAAAAGAGTTGTAAGAGTTTGTTTTGTTTACAGAATGCTTGGACTGGTCTTGATGGATCAAGCACATCAAGGGAATTTCTGTTAATGGCCCTGGCAGATTTGGATGCTATTTTGATCAGAGCTACATTCACCAGAGAAACAGATCAAGCCAGGTAATATATTTTTAGATTTAGAGAAAAAAAGGAACAGATAATGTGGCTCAGAAAAGAAAACATGTATGGTGAACACAGGTGACCACAAAGGCCTACATGCCTCTCGTTGCAAACTTGCTGATGTCTTCATAATTTGTTGACAATACTACTGAAAAATTAGATTTTTGAGAACATGTTTGTAATCAAGTACAAAACATTACTTTTTCAGTATACGTGATGTTGTCATGGATATTGCAGAAGACCGAGTGACAGGTCAAGGTCGTGCATCCACGGTTGAGCAGTGTCAGTGTCCCAGAGGTTACAAAGGACTGTCCTGCGAGGTAGCAAAGTTTATCAATTCTGTCTTATGTGTTTTCCATTATAGTCTTTAAATATGAGAGTGAAGGAGAGATATTGCTGTCCTTGATTATTTTAGTGAATATTTTATTTCAAAAGTTTAGTGAGACCTGTTCATTTTCTTCTAGATATGCTAAATTCTTGATTGAATAGAGATATTGTATACGGTATTTTGAAGATCATAATATGTTATTTACATTCCTACCTTTAGATGTTGAAGATAATATTTTAAGATTTTTAAAGTGTGAATGATGAGTTGTCATATGGAGCCCTCTTCTGCTTTGTTAAAAACCATCAATAAGGATCATTAACAACAAATTCTTTTCAGTTTGAATGAATTAAACATTGTTGTTGACATCGTAAGTTGAATGCTGGTGTCTTATAAATATGAGAAACATTGCCTAATCCATGTATGCTGTCATGTGACAGATGCCACAAAACTCAGATCTAAAATGCAGCATCTGACTATTGATACACATAACATTTGTACATGGAATTTTTTGTTCTACCTTTGGTAGGACTGTGATGTGGGTTATACACGTCGTGGCGATGGTATTTATCTCGGGACTTGTGAACCATGTCAGTGCAATGGCCATTCCAGTGAATGTGACCCTGATACAGGACGCTGTAGGGTAAGTCTCAAAATCTCTTTTTTGAGAAATTTTATATTTATTATAAAATTTGATAGTAACTATTGTTGTATGAATTAATTTTCATTCATATGTAATGATGTAAATTGAGAAATTTAAGATAAAAATATCTTCTGTCAGAACTGCCAACATAACACTGATGGAGAGCAGTGTGGCCGTTGTGCCACTGGTTTCTATGGTGATGCCACCAGAGGTACCCCAAGTGATTGCCAGCCCTGCCCCTGTCCCCTTACCCAGCCACCCAATCAGTAGGCTCCTTGTTTCAATTAATATACATCTCTAATATGTAAATTGTCTATCAGATACATCATTTATATGAGGTACGTGCATGTTGTTTGCGTTTTTCAGTTTTCATAGTTGTACTTTAATATGAATGAATTTATTGACAGATTCAGTCCTACATGTGAATTGGCAAGAAATGGACAAGTAAGATGTACCGCTTGCCCAGCAGGGCACAGGGGACTCCGATGTGAAAGGTTGGGCTATGACTGTCAACTTTTTTAGTCTTTTTTTTTAATAGTGCAAACTTTCTATTTCAAGTAAGATTGCATTATTTTGTGTATGCAAGTTAAAACACAGTTTTTGTCTCACTGAAAAAAGGTTATTGCAGTGATGCTTCTGATGATAGAATGTCTTTAGGGTTTTTTTTTACAATAAATACATGTACATTGCCTTTGTTACAGCTGTATTCAGGGATACACAGGAAATCCAATACAACCAGGGGACTACTGTAAGATTTCTACAGGTAAGACATTGTTTCTGTATGTTGACAGCCTGGAGATTTCTGTAAGATCTCTATAGATAAGACATTGCTTATATACATCATGTCTACAACAAGGAGACTACTGTAAGATCTCTAAATATAAGACATTATTTGTCTACAACCAGGAGACTATTGTAAAATCTTTACAGGTAAGACATTGCCTATATATGTCTATAGCCAGGAGACTACTGTAAGATCTCTACAGGTAAGGCATTGGTCTCTATATGTCTACATCCTGGAGACTGCTGTAAGATCTCTATAGGTAAGACATTGTCTCTTTATGTCTACTGTCAGGAGACTTCTGTAAGATCTATACAGGTAAGATATTGTCTCTATATGTCTACCGCCAGGAGACTAGTGTTGGATCTCTACAGGTTAGACATTGTCTCTATATGTCTACAGCCAGGAGACTACTGTAAGATCTCCATAAGAAGACTGTAAGGAAAATTGCTGTTCTAAATATAAATAAAAATCTGACTGTAAAAATGAAGACTCTATTGTTGATAATTTTGAAAATTTAACATGTTTACAATTTGAATTGTTAACTGCTTCAGGTCCAGATTGTCAATGTGACAGTCGAGGAACAGTTCCCAACACCCAATGTGACGTAGTGACAAAGCAGTGTCAATGTAAAGTGAGTATTAATTATTGTGTTTTAATACATGTTCATGATACTTATCAAGTAGTTGGGAATCATAAGCTCAATTCATAAATCACCTGCATGATAGGATGACCAATAAGTGTTCATTTAAAATAGATACAGTAATATTATCAAATTTCCCCCATTTCCTAATGAGAAAAGCAGGCAGCAGGTGCTAGACTTGTACCATTCATTGTATTGATTCATGATCTATCTGCAAATATCAATCCAATGTCTGTTAACAAAATTGCTATTTCTTTAGGCAAATGTTCGAGGACAAAGATGTCGGTTCTGTAAAGATCGCTACTTCCATCTGAGTGAGGAGAATTCCCAGGGCTGTTTGTCTTGTTGGTGCTCAGGTGTGGCCACCCAGTGCAGCTCTTCAGCTTTTTATAAAGACAGGGTCAGGACAACAGATTTTTCCAAAGGGACATTTACCAATTTAATTCTTTAGAATAAATGGGAAATTTTCATAGAGCTTATTTTTGTATCATTTTCACCTTGAACAGATCTATCCAAATTTGTCTGGGGCTGACACCCACAACTTTGTATTGACCAATCGTCGTCTGTCTAACTCTATCACGGATGGCTTTGACATCAATACTGACAGAAATGAGATCACGTTCAACCAGTTTTCTGGAATCCAGAGAGAACGCGAGAGCCTCTTCTTCAGTCTCCCTCCTAAATTCAGAGGAAATAAGGTCAGCCTCTCTTCAACTGATTAAGACGAACTTTACATGTCAAGTAAAGAGATGTATTGGGTTAATCAAAATCGCCTTGAAGCATTTCCTTTTTGGGGGTAGAAGGAGGGTGGGGAGACGAGTTGAGAACAAAGAGTTGTCTTTTCTTTTGAATAACATAACATAGACATTTAATGTATGAGGAGTTCTTGAAGTTCAAAATTCTGCCTTGGTAATGTACATTGATTGTAAGTGAACAATATGATTAACTAGGTCACTTCCTATGGAGGATACCTGAGTTTCACCCTGGAGACAGTTGTGGCTTTGGATGGAGGCAATACTTTCAGAGATGTGGACTTGGAAATTATCGTAAGTCATATTGTCTTTCAAATGAAGTTATTGGGAAATTCAGATAGTTTAATTTTGTGTGTGTTATTTTCATAAATAAGTACATGGATAAATTGTATTTACAGACACCAGGCCAACAACAAAGAATGTATTACTTGTTTAACCCTCCCCTACAGCCTTATCAACCAGAGACTTACAAAATCCATCTTGTAGAGGTCAGAATTTATTGTCAAAGATATAAATATGATAAACTTGTAGTTGAGGGAATTATTTTGTCGACACTTCTATTGTAAAGTGACTTCATGTGTAATTCTTGGGTTTTGTAAGATGATGGATAAACTTGTTCTTTAGTAATTCAGTTCTTTACGTGACATATATATTAGATACCACAAATATATGTCATGAACTTTCATTTTGTTTTAATGCAACAATCATCATTTATCACTGAATTCAAATGACTCAGTAAGGATGTTGAAAATCATGCAGCAGAAACAACTTCAGAACCTGTAAAAGCATGATTTAAAAAGTTTGTGGAATATTGTCCTTACAGAGCACATTCAGAATGCTGGATGGCACTTCACCAACACGAGAAACCTTCTTGTCTGTTTTGTCCAACATTGAAGCCATTCTGATCAGAGCCACTTACCACACCGTTATGGGTAGCGCCTCGCTGCGTGATTTGTACATGGAGACCTCAACTACTACTCCTACCACATTTGGTCGCATGCCACAGGTGGAGAGCTGTCAGTGTCCCGAGGGCCACACCGGTTCCTCGTGTGAACAGTGTGCCCCAGGTTACCTCCTACAGGAGGATGGGGTGGGGAGGAGATGTGTCCGCTGTAGCTGTAACAACCATGCCGACTCCTGTGATCCTGGCACTGGACAATGTCTGGTAGGTGCCAAGAGTCAAAAGAAAAAAAAATATATAGCTCATTTTTAGCTTCCCTGAGCCAGATGATGCTATCTTAGCTGATCAAACATTTTACATTTACATGTATATGAAAAAAATTATGAAAATGTCTTTAAAGAATAGCAAGGCAATAATAGTCAAATCAAAGCATCTTCATGTAGTGTTGATAAAAATTTACTCAAAACGTGGCCCCTAGATTAAGGACAACACCACAATCGAAAAGGGGTTATGAAAACTTCAAAAATATTACAAAATTTTGAGATGTTATACAGTTTACAATATTGTAATTTGTTTTTATAACAGAATTGTCAGCATAACACGGTTGGTGACAGGTGTGAGAGATGTGCAGATGGTTTCTATGGAGATGCCACTTCTGGAACTGCCTCAGACTGCAGGCCCTGTCCCTGTCCTCTGACCGTGCCATCCAATCAGTAAGTCTGTTATAACTTAATAAAGACAGTGAAATTATTGATTTGGTTTGTTTACCTGTCAGTTAGAACTAGGAGGGAAAAGTCATATCTTAAAGATTTTTTATAATTTCCTCAAGGACAATAAAGTGCAATTTGAAAACTTCATATGAAGCCTCAGTATGCTGTAAATCAAAGTTGTTTTAAACAGAATCATAAATATTTGAATTTTGTGCAAATACTGTATGTATTTTCAGTGTTCAAGAATTTTACATGAACTACAAAAAATTTAAAACTTCTTGAATTCACACTTTTTTTTGAAAAAAAATTTCATAAAATCTCAGATATAGACAAATGACACAGCTAGTAAAAACCCCCATTCTGTATTTTTGTACAAAGTGTACTTGCTGTTGTATTAGCAATATGTAACATATTATTATAGATTCTCCCGTACTTGTCGACTGGGTTCAGATGGCTTACCGACCTGTGATAGATGTCCAGAGGGTTACCTTGGAAGGGACTGTGGAACGTATGTTATAAACTATGTCAAGACTACTGAAGCATGTTTAGTACTCCTTGTTTGAAGTTTTTAAAAAAATGGGTATAATTGGACTATGTAAATGTTTGACGAATATATTCATTTTGTGTAATTATTAAAGGTGTGATGCTGCAAGAGGTTACACAGGCAATCCCAGAGTTATTGGGGGGTCATGTATTGCTGGAGGTAAAAACAGTTTATTCATGAATAATAAGTTCTGCTCATTGACAAAAACATGAAAAATGATCAAAAAGAGGTAAGATTTGACAGAATTGCTTAATGGATGATGAATTTATTTTTGCACAGCAACCTTGGAGCCAGTGGTGGAGGTCAGCCCACTGAGGGTGGAAGAGCCAGCAGGTCACACAGTCGTATTCACCTGTGAGGTCAGTGGCCCTGGACCAATCACAGTTGTGTGGACCCGAGCCAATCGTCAGCTTCTTCCATTACGAGCCAATGTAAGCCCTCGTCACACTCTGACTATCAGAGATTTGGTGCAGACGGACTCAGGACAGTACATCTGCACTGCCACCAATAGGCATGGAAGTACCAGACGAATTGTGACCCTACAGGTCACAGGTATTGATGTAAACATTATAAATATTAAAGCATACATGTACTTTCCATTTGCAAATACAGTATCTTTTATGAAAAATTTTCTCGCTAAAAATGCTATGAAGAACTTTTAATAAAAGACTTAGTAAAAATATTTCTGTACTGCAGGTCGTGAACAGCCCATCCGTGTGAGAATTGATGAGCCAACGTCTGTTGTCAAGAACCAGGGTCAGTCAGTTCGCTTTGTCTGCACAGCTTCAGGACCTAACACAGTAAGCCTTTAGTAGGATGAATGTATCAGGACTCAGTTTGAAGATGGCAAATTTTTAGAAAATCTACTTTAAATTTACAAACAATAAAAGAAAATTATCTAGTTTATATTCGACCTTGACATTGAGTCAATGATCATAATATTAAATGTTTCTTAACTTTTTACTGATCTTACAAATCAGCCACATTTTGAATACTGTAAACTCCTGTAGTCCTATACATATATATGTATAAAAATTAATGTTTTGATTATCCTTTGTCAGATGACCTACATACTAGCTTGGTCCAAACAAGGTGGCACCGTTCCCTCTAAAGCGACGGAGCGTAATGGTGTTTTAGTGATTCCCAATGTACAACCAGAAGATGCTGGATCCTATATCTGTACAGGTTCTGACATAACTGACACAGACACAGCTGTAGCTGTCCTTACTGTCAGTGGTAGGTACAATGTCAGCTCTGATAAACTGTCTCCAAGTTCTCTGTCATGAAATGTCAGCTCTGATAAACTGTTTCCAAGTTCTCTGTCATTAAATTGTTATGCAAGAGAGTAAGATTGAATTAACTATTATTCATATACAGTACTAGAATGTAGTCTGCAAATTTAAAATTAATACATGTATATATGTCCTGTCTGTTTATCTATGGCAGCCACGGAAACTCCTCCTGAAATTCGAATTGAGCCCCGCTACCAGACTGTGAAGGAGGGAGAGGAAGTAGAATTCCGTTGTTTGGCTACTGCTGGCAGACCAACGCCCACACTTGAATGGAGAAGGAAGGAGGGCAGGTATCCAATGAGCCAAAACGCAGTTCTCAATAATGGTGTCTTCAGACTTCCACGAGCAGAAATGACTGATGAAGGAGAATATTACTGTAAAGGTACCAATGTTGCAGGGATGTCAGAGATACGCACCATCTTGTATGTTCAGAGAGGTAGGTCCCGTGTTGGAAGAAGCTTAAAGCTGTCTTGGTATATTGAAAATTTGGCAATAATGATGAAATGGCTGTATGTACAATAGTTGATTGATTTGTTATACTTTGCAGATGAGACCAGACCAGATGTTAATGTGCAGGTCAGACAGGTAATTGTTGTTGCGGTGTCCGGAACCACTGCCGAGTTGGTTTGCTATGTAGAGGGAATACAGGCACAGTTAGTGTGGTCCCGACAAGGTGGCCTCCCTCCGGGCTCCACACAGACAGATGGAGTTCTCATTATCCCCAACATCCAGCAGTCAGGAGCCGGCCAGTACCTCTGTACTGCAATCACACCAGTCGGTGATAGAGGCACAGTCACTGCGTCCATCACAGTCAGGGCTGATAATTTACGTAAGACCAAAGTATTATTTTTCTCCATTACACACAGCACTGACAGCATTTTTTTTGGGCATTTATAACTCTCTGGCTATTGTCAGCAAGAGAAAATGTGTGGTTTAAATTTGGTACTTTTTTACTTATCAAGTTGACTCATTGCTTCTATTCAGTTGTAAGCTGTCCACAGAGGATTTGCTCACCATATTCTCAAGACATACTGATATCTTATAGAGCATCTTGATTGCATTTTAGTATGTGTATCTTTTTCCATCTTGTGAATGATTTGTATTTTAAAAGGTGTAAACTGCTAAGGACAGCCAAAATTGACTGATTACTGTACACAGGATTATTTCCACTCCATATGTAATATTTTCACCCTATCTCTCTCTTACAAATGATCTAGCCCAGTATTAGATTTGCCCAGTTTTGGTTAAGAGAAAGATAACTCTGTTGAACTCGCTCCATATTGAATTTTTCTACTAATGATGAGTATGAAAGGGACAAAATAAAATGGGGGCAAAAATCCTCTACATACAGTTGTTTGCTTCCATATACATGAATCAATGCTATATCCTAGGCCTGTGCAATAATATCAATATTCCGATATATTGCGATTCGTTAACAAAAAATATCGTATTGCGATACGTTTTTCCAATATCAATATACTCAGCAAAATCTAGAACTTTTTTGTTACCACATATTTATAAAAGTTTTATGCACTCTGCTTATAAATGGAGGTTAATAAAATAAGAAAAGAGCATTTTAACTGTTATAATAAATATTGCAATACATATCGCAATACAGTTCCAAATATCGCAATACGAAATTTTCAACCGATGCTCAGCCCTACTATATCCAATTAACTGCCCAATATTTAGCAAAAAATATATCTTACTGTAAATCAAATCATGTTTCTGATTTAACCATGCTCAACATAACCCTTTTTGATATTGACATACTTAATATATGTGTTTGTAAACAGCTGTGAGGCCAACAGCAGAAGTGAATGTACCAGAAAATAGACTGACTGTAGACCAGGGCAGCACAGCAACCATCAGGTGTGAGGTAACGGGGACGCCGCAACCTACGATCACATGGAGCAAGAGTCGTGAGGAACTGACCAGCAGGCACAGGGTAAACAGACCACATGCTCAGTAATGACTGAACATTATTAATGGAAAATAAAATGTTTCAGTAATTATACAAAAGAAAAAGATGCTTGACATTACTTTTGTAAATTTAATCTCTGGACAATTTGTTACACCAAATTCAAAAAAGTTAAAAAGGAAAACTGAAGTGTTAGCCTTTGACATAAAAATTTTTGTTCTTTAAACTATTGTTTAGATAGTCATTGTAGAGTAGAGAGTTGTCATTGTAGGTATCTGGAGGAACCCTGAGGATTGTGGGAGCTCAGGTGGAGGACCGAGGAGTTTACCTGTGTGTGGCAGAGAACACAGCCGGGTCGGACCAAGCCTGGGTCATTGTGGAGGTTATGCGTAAGCTATCAGACTTTTGTATAAGGGTATATTTTTAAGTTCAGGGTTTTCTCTTCGGTGTCCTTGAACTGGAACAAATATTATTAAATAAAATTGCAGTATAATGAAGCATTTGAGTAATTAATTTTATCTTCAGCCTCTTTTTTATCCCCTTGCAACAAAGCTCAAGGGGATCGATATAGTAAGGCACTTTTGTGTGTGTGTGTGGGGGGGGGGGGGGGGGGGGAGTGAGTGCATGTGTAATTGAAGTTATGCAAATAAAAATAAGTATGTTGGGGTCAATGTGCTCTAAATTGCAAGGGAATGTTCCTCTTTTTGTGGTGCCCTTGTTCAGTTTTTATTATTTCTTGATTCAGCCCGATCCAAACCAACAATAACACTGTATCCAGAGGAAACCTCTACCACTACTATAGGAGGGAGTGCCATGTTTGTGTGCCGAGCCTCGGGAGAACCACAACCAACAGTCACATGGACAAGGTTTGTACTTAGAACAATGCTGAAGTGTTGTCCCATTGTTAAAGACCTGAAACGTTATGTCATTGTCTCTTTGTTGTTTTTCCAGGGCTGGTGGTGAATCCTTTGAGAGTGGAACAACGGAACTGAAACAGGAGGGAACATTACTGATGTTCTCCAGGGTGACTGGGAAGGAACAGGGCAGTTATATATGTACAGCCACCAACTCTATGGGATCTGTTAGTGCCACTGCAACCCTGCTCATTGCAGGTACTTGATATATTCATTTTTTAGCCATTTTGATTGGGAGAAATACATGTACACCCATTACTGTAAACCAACTTCCTTTGCAACAACTTTTATTCTTAATTCGTCAGTTTGAAATCTATCTGCGATGACTAGCCTTACCACTAGCAGTTATTTGACATAAATAAACAATGAAATAAATAGTTTGCTGTGGGAAATATTTGAGTAAAAGAATGCTGGGAAACTTGCAATTACTTTTTTTCTCACAGACAAGTACAAACTGGTTTTCAGTAAATTGCTCTTTAAAAAAATGTATATGCTTAACTTTAATACATTATAAATACAAATAACTGTAGAATGGAATAAAGAAAAGCATAATTTTAATTATAGGTCAAAGGTCATATATTTCCTCCATAGAAATTTGCTATCATATATGGCATTTAATAGAGTACTAGTATTCTGCAAATTATTGATCAAATAGCATTAGATTTAGAACATTCTAGAGATGTCAAGTTTCAATATCTCATTTAGGACCACCGAAAGTTCTCATTCAACCCAGCCGAACAGTTTATGCAGTTGTTGGACAGAGAGTTTCTTTAGAATGTGTAGCTCAGGGAGTTCCAACACCAACCATTTACTGGCGATACGAGGCGACTCCAAGCAGAGGAGATTTGCCCGTCTCTTTGGACGCGGATCTCGGACCAGGTTCAGCCACCCTGACCATAGAGTCAGTCTCTAGCGGTGACAGTGGCAACTATGTGTGTGTCGCCACAAATGATGCTGGATCTGTAGAGGAAACTGCCCAGATTATTGGTAAATACAGCCTACTCCACTTATTTTGAAATATTGATTATTTTGAAGTAAAACCAAATCCCCAGTCTAAGTTTCTCATTATCTTTGCAGTAAAATATATGTTAAATTGAAATCACTTAAATTATTGGTCCACTGAGATGATAATGAGTTGTTTTTATAATGGAAAATTGAAGTCCTCCTGGCCAGTTATCGTTACAGTTGGTGACATTGTAATTTGCAGATAGATGATAAGGTGTCAGTAAATATATTTTGATGTAATGTGTTTTCATTGCGTGTTTTTATAAGAAATAAATTACTGAGGGATATCTTGTTCTCTCAGATCACATATTGATGGCGCTCTTGAACAGAGCTGTTTAAACACCTGCTTGTGAAAATGGGTAAATCACAAGAAAGATAGATAAACTTTAAATAACGAAAATGAATTTATGTCTGCGACTGCCTAAGAAAAATTGTGAATTTTAAATCCAAATTAGCAAAGGATAAATCTGGCACGCGTACACTAGCAATGATACACATGTACAAATCAGCAGTGTGTCGTTTTTGAAACCCTCGAGTCCGTGCGAGTCTGGCGACTTTCCCTCACTGATAAAGAATAAATACAAGAATTGAAGAAATATACGAGGTTGAAAAATGTCTGACTTTTTCAAAAATAATTTTAAATGAACAATTTCCTTTAACTATTGAAGTGTCATAAATTTAACTGTGTAATCTTTATTGTGATTTGGGTTTGTCTTCGTGTTTTAGATTGGGATCAGGACTTTTAAACATCTAATTGTAGACTAATTTTACTTATTTTGAACTTCAGTTTATTGAAAAAAATGTGCTGGTCCCTTGAATTTCAATATATCTGAAGTAGACTGTATTGTCATATTTATAGATTTCTGTATTTTATGATACATACCTGTATCTTAGTAAATCTCTGTCTACAAAGCTAACATAATTCATATTGTCTATGACACTATAGTTTTACAGTACACATTATATTTTGTAGTGCGTGAAGAGAACCCTAATGTGCCTGGAGTTACGATTTCTGGTCCTCAGAGATTATCTGCCACAGAGGGACAGTCAGTGACTCTGAGATGTGAAACACAAGGCAAGTGCTTCAAAAAGTATAAAAATCAAATAAAATGGAAATTTGGGGATTTAATCCCTATGTTATTTACAATTATATCATCACCTACCATAGATAAAAAGATTAAATTTAAAAATATGCTTTCAAGCAAATTTGTTGTAAATAAAAGAATCTTCTTGTACATGTTAGATTTTCAGTATTGATTATTGCTTTAGGCCTAAATAATGCTGTTATCCAGTGGAGGAGAAGGGAGGGTCCATTGCCCCCCAATCACAGCATTCAGGGAGGAACCCTGTACATTCCACGCTTCCAAAGAGAGTACGCCGGGGAGTACATCTGCACTGCTACCACACCAGTTAGAAATTATGAGACCTCTGTTTTTATCATTGTGACAGGCAAGAAGTTTGACTGATTTTTTGGATATGCATAATATGAACATATATCCCATAAATGTACAGAGTGTCACTATATTTTTTCTGGATTCAATGTAGAGAAGTCTTTGAATATCATTCTAATTTATAAAATAGATTATATGAATCAGGAAATTGTAATGCCATACTGACAAACTAGCCTAATGTTGCAGTGACCCCAAAGTTGAGCATTTCACCAGCTCAAGTAGAGGCCAGGGCTGGTCAGAGAGTACAACTCCGATGTCAACCCCAGGGTCAGGGACCATTTAACATTGAATGGGTCAAGTTGGGAGGAGGATTATCCCCCTCAGCCACCCAAACTGTGGACGGAATCCTGGAGATCCGGGCGGTGACTGCTGCTGATGCCGGACGGTACCGCTGTGTGGCTACCAATTCTGCAGGATCCTCAGATGGCATTGCCATTGTCATAGTGCAAGGTAAACTATTGCATTTGATATGAAAAAAAGAGAATAAAGTATGAGTCGCTCTGTGGTTTTAGCAAATAACTGTTCATGATTTATTTTAATTGGCCCTTTTTTTCCCCCGCAGTACCCCCCACAATAGTTGTTTCTGACAGAGATAGGTCTGTACGTGAAGGTGATACAGTAACACTTCAGTGTCAGATTACGGGGACACCACAGCCACAGGTCACATGGGAAAAACAGGGCAGTGCTCTCCCCTCTAATTCCGACATCAGGAATGACATACTTACGTAAGAATATAAATAAAAAATACATTGAAGTATTGTTAATGTGCTTTGCAGCAAGTGTTTGTTTAGATTATTTCAGTACTCTGAAAAATGTTAAATTTGAAAAACAAAAATTAAGTTATCAGATTTTCAAAGATGTATTGCAGCAGGTAATACTAACAAAGTATGTTTTTATTATTAGTATATACAATGTGAGAAGTGAGGATCAAGGCCGCTACATCTGTAATGCCAGAAGTACAGCTGGGTCTGCCAGGGACTACATCATGGTTACTGTCCAATCAGGTCAGGCGTAACATAGGGCCTCACATTGAACTCTGTTGGTTTGACGTTATCTGTCATTGAATGTAGTTGAGTACAATCAGTTTATAAAAGCTTAGATTTTTTTTGGCAGTGTTCTTGACACCAGTTTGTGAGATTCTTTCACTGTTGATAGTGTAGTCTTCTTTCTGTATTTTTTAGTTAATGGTGGTGGTTCCATTCAGTATGACACACAGACTGTCAATGTGGGAGAAAAGGTGGAAATGGAATGTGTCACAACAGGTACTGTTCCTGTTTCTGTAGTACAAGAAAACATACTGGGACAGACAAGCAGCTTCAGTTCAAGATGTTTATTGAGTATTGAGGCCACCGGCCCAAAGTACAGTCAATAAAATGCTATATTTATATTACATATACACATCAGGATCATATATTTAAACTTATACAGTGTGGGAGTGTATCATTTCTGACAAACAGGTACAGTGTACTACCATAAGAGGCCTGATTGATCTGTTTGTAAATTACCCACCATTATATTTTTAGAACAGTAAGGTCATGGTTCTCTCTCTCTCTCTCTTTTCCTGTTCGATGTCCACATCTATTTGTAAATTTATATCTGTAGCTTTAAAGAAAACAATATTTAATAGGATCCCCTCAGCCTACAGTCAGCTGGTCTAAGCTGGAAGGTCCTCTTCCACCCACTGCCATTGTCAATGATGCCTTCCTGGTCATTCAGTCTATAAGATTAGAGGACGCGGGAACCTATGTTTGTACTGTACAGAATATTGTGGGAACAGTCGAGAAGAGGGTCACCCTGTTCGTCAGAGGTAAGTGAATTGCCATAATAGTCAAGGAAATTACCGTATATTTTTAGATATGCATTGTACACAGGGATTTATTCTTGTGTTAAATTTCTCAAGAAGCACCACTTGTGAAATAAAATTATGGTACTTGTTTTTATATATACATGTATGTAGCTAATCAAAAATATATGTCAATACCCTTGCTCAACAGTCCACTTCTAAATTCAGTTCCTCATGATTTAATGTCTACAAGTCATTTGCGATATTTAGTACTCAGTGACACACAAAATCGGGAATCTAAAGTAATATTCCAAATTGTTATTTTACTCTTGTAAATAAGATGTGGTGTAGGTTCTGGATGACTATCATCACCTTTTCCCTACAGCTAAACCCATCATTACTGGGGGTAGTGAGTCCCTGACAGCAGCCCTGGGGTCCAGTACATCCATGTCTTGTGAAGCCGTGGGGTACCCCCAACCAGAGATCAGCTGGTACAAACGAGAGGGAAATATGCCAAGGTAATAACATATGTAATATTTCTGAGATCAACAGCACCAGATTTATCTTTTTATAAAGAATATTGGAATAATATATTAAATTAAGATAAATATTTATTAAAGTATGTTGTACTGTTATCATATATCATTTGTTTCTTAGAAAAATTAAAAAGCAAGTTTGTCTCAAACCCCCCAAAAAAGTCAGAAAAGCAAATAATGCGAAGATGTTAAGCAAACCTTCATGTCCTTCTTAATGAAAAATGCACCTATCCAGAATAGCATATTCATTCTATCACACATCATAAGCATGATAAAGCTGCTGAGCAAATTCAAAGTACAAAATTAATATTTATATACATATCTAAAAGCTTGCAATCTCCTTGAATAATCATTTATTTTATAGTGTATTTTAATACAATGAAGTAAACTGCTGTAAAAATTTTGGCACTGTTAGGAATGGTATCATTCAAGATTACATTCATCATGCAGCGCTTCTCACCATTGTGCAAAAAGACCTACATGTATCTCATTCGGCACTTCAAAAATGAATCTTTTTAAAAATAATTTTACAATTTTTATGTTGTAATGAAAAGAAGAGCTAGATATTCAATTTGCTAGAAATATACATTCTAATACCTTTCATTTGTGGAGGAAAAAAACAATACCTGAACTTAAAATTATTTTCCGTATATAATTTGTTGATTTCCTGAAGAAATTACCTGAACCATTATGAAAATAATCCAAGCTCTGTGCTCTCGCTTGATTTATAGAGATTACTCAGTCGATGATGGTGCATTGAAAATAGATCGCTTAAGACCAGAAGATGCAGGCACATACATTTGTAATGCACAAAATGATGTGGGCAAAAATGAGCATTCCACCAATCTGTTCGTAGGGGGTAAGGCCTCACACACCTCAGTCTGTCGCTTGCTGTGTATCAGTGCTTGCAGGGTCCTGGATTCAGTGATCTCAAATTAAACAATGTTGTGGAAATAAAAACATAGTTCTCAAGTAATTAAAGGAGCTGATATTAGTTTAATGTAACAGTTATATTTTGAAATATTTTGTTAAAAAACATTACAATTTAAAATTTTATTAATCTTTTTAAATTATAAAGTTATTATATCATGAGGAAGATTAACACTATTCACTCCCTCATTTATAAAGTCACTGGATCCGCCCCATGCTTTTTCACCTTGATCAGCTTTGCAACAGGTGCTCCCTCTATGCAGGACAGGAGATCTGGAGTTGTCTTCCCTGTTTCTTACTGTTGTCTGTACTTTTCAGAGATTACACAGTAGATAACGGAAAACTGGAGATTCCTCGTGTTTACCCCGGAGACCAGGGCACTTATGTCTGTCAAGCCCAGAATGACTTCGGTCAAAATGAAAAAGATTATAACCTAACCGTTGGGGGTATAGTCTATTAATTTTATTTGTTGTACATGTATATTAGCTGCTATGTATGGTTAGTGTTGTCAAGTGGATGGGATATTACTTATAGATATACAATTTACAGATATGGCTAAGAGTAATGCACTGCTAGTATGATAATGTAAAAGTCCATATAGTACACATAATTTAAAAGGCAAACTCACAAGCTGAGAATTGCTTGGTGTTATTGAATGTATAGAGAAAAATTATTATTATCATTCTTTATTTTAGATGTTATTGAAAGTACATCTTTCACCATAAAGATGTTGCACATTTTAGAAACACATGTATGATTGATATATTCTATATTTCTATATAAAAGTTTTCTTTGTATTTCAAGGCTTACCATATTTGATATTTATATATAGCCTCATAGCTTTTTGTTTCATACTTTTTTCTTTTAATCAACAACACACTGACATAACTGTGAATGAAACAAGAGAAGAGATTTATGCAGTGCTTGCTTCCTTATACATTCACAATTTCTATATTGGATATTTTGGTTTAGAGTTTCACTGATCTTTCATCAAGAACAAATTCCTGTAAAATACATGAGTTAAAAACACAAAAGATATTTACAGTAAACCATGACAAAATAACAGTATTATTGATGAGATAATAAAAGAAGTAAATTAAAGTACATTATTTAAAATAAGATTTCCCATTCAAGAATTAATACTTTCTGAATCCATGTATTTACATATTTATTTAAATTTAATATGCCCCCTGTTTATTTTATGTAACTAATCAATGTCCCCATATGGTGTTGCACAGATTTGGTTCCATACTTTGATCAGGAACCTACATCATATATCAGCTACCCTCCCATTGAAGATCACCACATCAACTTTGAGATTTTACTCTCATTGAGACCAGAAACCACAGATGGTAAGAAACCAGAGCTGCTTCAAGATCATGGCCTAGCCACTACATAGAAAAATAAGTGTAGCTAGGCTAGCTGCTATGGTCTTGAACGCAGCTCAGAATTGTGTAGTGCAATTCTATTCTGAATCTAGAGAGAATGCTGTAACACTTAGCTCCTTCCTACTTCAAAATTTTGCAGTTTGGATCAAATAAAATGACTAATTGTGGACTGTTTTATAGGTTTGGTGTTGTATAATGGACAGTATGATAATGCCAGAGGTGACTATGTCTGTCTGGGAATGAGAGGAGGCTACCCAGAATTCACCTTTGATGTTGGTTCTGGACCTGCTCTAATACAGGGCAATCGAACTCTTCCTTTGAACCAATGGAATACCATCAAACTCAAGAGGGAAAATTCTGTTGGTGAGTTTTACTGTGACATGTACAAATGTACATGTAGCATCAGATTTTACAAAATGTTTCAAGCACTGTTACATGGAAATGTTGACTCAAACAGGTTGAAAAATACTTTTGGAATGATTTAAAAGTGTCTGAAATCATGTTTTATTTACGAGAACTGAATTTTGCAATTTTGTCTTGACATGAAATTAAAGTGGTCTATAATTACATAGTTAGGGGCCTGCATCAAGATGTGGGAGCCCTATATTAAGTACTGGGTTCTTCTGTAAGGCACTATGACAAGATAATTTGGGTACCTTTTCACCTCTGGACCTCATATTTAAGTTACATGAAATTCAAGGGATTCAGTAATTCTAGTGTAGTGGGCTACTTCTTTTTATGTTACCGGTACTTATCTAGAGTGTGTTCACAAAGGATGAAAATAGCAAATACATAAATTGACCAAATTTTACAGATCTAGTGGCTATGTGTTCCTTCTGTTGAATGTTTTCAATATTGGTTATTTCTAAATTTACAGGAAGTATGGAGGTTAATGATGAGCCAGTCTACACTGGTTCTTCACTGGGACAGTTCAGTGGTCTGGATCTTGGTCAGAACATGTACCTGGGTAATGTGCCAGATCCCAACAAGGTACCAGAGCCAGCCAGACACTCATCTGGATTTGTTGGTAAATATACTCTGTAACATTTTGTTGGCAATCTCTTCATTCATGCAGATGTACATATATATGTAATAGAAGACCATTGCTACAAAACCTGTGCTCTGTCCTCCAAAGGTGCTGTGAGTCAGGTGATTATTAATGGCAAGGACCTGAACCTGGGGGCTGATGCCATCGAGCTGAAGGGGATTGAACCGTACAACGCTTGTAAAGACCGACCATGTCTGAACCGAGGAAGATGTCTGCCAGCCAACTCCAAGTATGGCTACAAGTGTGACTGTCCATCTGGGTTCACAGGAAGTCGATGTGAGATCACAGGAAGAGGCTGCTATCCAGGTATCAGAAAGGGGAGAGTTCAAAAGAGTTCTTAATCTTTTACATCCAGTTTATAATGTGTCAGTAGATTGAACAGAGAGAACTTGTATGGTATATGGGCAGGTTATTATGTCTAAATAAAGATTCTAGCAATGTATTTATTGAAGAATTTTTTCTACAATAATTTAAAAAAGAATATGATTATTGTTATGCAAGGAATCTGTGGACCAGGAGGAAGATGTCGTGATGTAACTGGGGGCCACCAATGTATCTGTCCAATGGGAAGGATTGGTTCAGGCTGCTCACAGAGTAAGATCTCTCTTTCTTTCTCTCTCTCTCTCCCACTCTCTGGTGACTCAAACTACCAATAAAACAATCAGAAAAGTTTCTCCTACTATTTTGGTTATTCAAAATGGAAAAAAAATTCATTTTTTCTACTCCGTTTACAGCTGTGCAGGTCATCTACCCACAATTCAATGGGTCTTCCTTTTCATCATATGATCCAATCAGAAATGCTCGCTTCCAGATGAAGATTGAATTGGAGATCAAACCCCAATCTCTGGATAATGGACTTGTGTTGTACAGTGGACAGAACGAGGATGGATCCGGGGACTATGTGGTCATCCTGATTAAAGATGGCTACCTGGAGTTCAGATACAACACAGGATCTGGTACAGTGCTGTCTTCTGACCTGTATTATTTTGAAAATGCACTTGGAAAATATCTGTGAAGTGTAATATTTTCCTACATGTATCATTTAGGAATTATCTCTGTTGTAGCTTTCTACATGTATCATTGAGGATTTATCTAAATACATTTTGAAGTAGCTTTCTAGATGTATCATTGGGATTTAACTATGATGTGCATACACCTGTATATGTAGTAGCTGTCTGTCTTACTTTTTAGGTCACCTGAGTCACTCAGGTGACCTATTGCTATCTGTTTTCGTCCATCGGCATGCAGGTGTGCGTCGTGTGTAAACTTTTCACATTTTCGACTTCTTCTCAAGAACCACAGGGCCAATTTCCACCAAACTTGCCACAAACTATCCTTGGGTAAAGATGATTCAAGTTTGTTCAAATGAAGGGCCATACCTTCTTCCAAGGGGAGATAATTAAGAATTAGTGATAAATTAATGGTATCTTTTAAAATCTTCTTCTCAAGAACCACTGGACCAGGTAAGATGAAACTTATATGGAAACATCATCAGGTAGTGTAGACTCAAGTTTGTTCAAATCATGACCCCCAGGGGTAGGGTGGGGCCACAATGGCTGATCAAAGTTTTACATAGAGATATATAGGAAAAATCTTTAAAAATATTCTTCTCAGGAACAGCTAAGCCCTGATTGGTCATATTGATATGGGATCATCCTTAGGTAGTGTAGATTTAAGTTTGTTCAAATCATGACCCCTGGTGGTAGGGCGTGGCCACAATGGATGATCAAAGTTTACATAGAAATATATATCAAAAATCTTTAAAAATCTTCTCTTCAAGAACAGCAAAGTCGTGATGAGTCATATTTATATGGAAGCATCCACAGGTAGTGTAGATTCAAGTTTGTTCAGATCATGATCCCTGGGGGTAGGGTGGGGCCACAATGGATGATCAAATTTTTACATATAGATATATAGGAAAAATCTTGTCAAAATCTTCTTCTCAAGAACAGCAAAGTCATGATGAGTCATATTTATATGGAATCATCCTCAAGTAATGTAGATTCAAGTTTGTTCAAATCATGACCTCCAGGGGTAGGGCAGGGCCACAATGGACTATCTAAGTTTTTCATAGAGATATATAGGAAAAATCTTTAAAAATCTTCTTCTCAGGAACAGCTAAGCCCTGATTGGTCATATTTACATGGAAGCATCCTCAGGTAGTGTAGATTCAAGTTTGTTCAAATCATGACCCCTGGGGGTAGGGTGGGGCCACAATGGATGATCAAAGTTTACATAGAAATATATATCAAAAATCTTTAAAAATCTTCTTCTCAAGAACAGCAAAGTCGTAATGAGTCATAATTATATGGAAGCATCCTCAGGTAGTGTAGATTCAAGTTTGTTCAAATCATGACCCCTGGGGGTAGGGCGGGGCCACAATGGATGATCAAAGTTTTACATAGAAATATATAGGAAAAATCTTTAAAAATCTTTTTCTCAGGAACAGCAAAGCCATGATTGGTCATATTTATATGGAATCATCCTCAGGTAGTGTAGATTCAAGTTTGTTCAAATCCTGACCCCCCGGGGTAGGGCAGGGCCACAATGGAGGATCAAAGTCTTACATAGGAATATATATATATATATATATATATATATATATATATATATATATATATATATATATATATATATATATATAGGAAAATTTTTTCTCAAAAACTGCTAAGCCATGATTAGTCATTTTGATGTATCGAAGTTTTACATAGAAAAAATCTTTAAAAATTTTCTTCTCCAGAACCACTGGGCCAAGAAAAATGAAACTTATCTGGAAATATCCTCTGGTAGTGTAGATTCAAATTTGTTCAAATCATGATCCCCAGGGGTAGGGCAGGGCCACAATGGATGATCAAAGATTTACATTGGAATACATTGAAAAAAATCTTCTCCAGAACCACTGGGCCAAGAAAGAGGGAATGTGGAAACATCTTCAGGTAGTGTAGATTCAAGTTCGTTAAAACCATGATCCCCAGGGGTAGGGTGGGCCACAATGGACAATGAAAGTTTTACATTGGAATATGTAGGAAAAATCTTGAAAAAATTCTTTTCTCAAGAACAGCAAAGCCATGATTGGTTATATTTACATGGAAACATCAGGTAGTATAGATTCAAGTTTGTTCAAATCATGACTCTGGACTCTGGGGATAGGGTAGGGCCACAATGGACGATCAAAGATTTACAAAAGCTCCTTCTATCAGTTTATTTTATACTCTATGGATCTTCTATGGATTGTTGTTTTATACTCAGGTGACCGTTAAGGCCCTTGGGCCTCTTGCTTTACTTTATGATATTTCAACTTCAGTCTTCAAATTGTGCATCATCTCATGAAAACTGCAGTAACTATCACTCTATTTCATTGTTTTATTAATTTTATTGAGCAGGGGTTCATCACGGATAAATGCTTTAGTGTTTACTGTCATTCACTAAATTGCATTAACATGAATCTGTGTTACGTATCATTAATGGAGAATGTTATGTTGACTAGGTCCCGCAGTGATGAAAAGCAAGAAGAAACTTGTGTCCAACGAGTGGGTCAGGATCACCGCCACCAAGTCTGGACAAGAGGGTAGCCTCATCATCAACAACAGGGAACCAGTTAAAGGTAGGTAACTCTGGGCAAGTCCGAGACTGCTCGTCCTGCATGAGGAAACAATACATGACTGCCGCCTCTTAAACATAACCAAGTACACTTCAGTTTTAAATTCTTACAGAGGATAGCTAGGAGTAGTTTGTCATTGACAGAATAGCCATACTATAGGAAGTTCATGGTAATTTACATGCATAGTTTTGCATAGAAAATTAACATTTTTTACTGATATCTGTGAAAATATTACCTGGTAAGTCATTGATGAGGTTTAATCGACTTTGACTCTGAAATGGGTAAATTTTAGTGTAAGTTGAAATATTTTAATTTTTTCCCTTAAAAAAAAAAAGTACATGAAAATGACCAGGTTATGTAATGTATAAACTTTTTGCAGTGAAGTGAATGAGCCATTTACTGATCTTGATATTTGATTGGCATGTTTACAGTGTAGCTTTTCTGTTACAGAACATTGTCATTAAATTTACTATTCAGAACCAAAATATATTTTCCATTCTGATTCTATTTTGTACATCTCAAGCAGATAAAATTGATGAAACCTTATTTTTGAAAAAAGAAAATTGAAATATATATGGTTTTAATTAAGATTGCTGAAGCTTTTTTCCCAACACAAAAGTATACTGTATTATTTTTAGGATCATTAATATTAGTTTCAAACAAATACTTTTCACTGCCAAGGGTAACAGCTAATGTCTTGTCTCATTTAATGAAACACTACTTTGACTTTAGCTTGGCCATGGAGTTACACCAACAATTTGCGCAACAACTACTACAACTATTATTTGCGTAGACGATATCGGTACAGGCGAGGTAAACAAGTTGCAAAGGAGGCTTGGCGTTGCTAGTTTGCTCTGTGTTGCCAGCATTACTGTTTTTTCAGCAGTTTTACTGGGTGGCATTATTCTGCATGTGTCTAAACATTCTGGAGACCATTTTTCATACTTTCTGTTCTAACCTTCAGCAAACACATGGTTTATACTCTCACATGCCGATATTTGTATTTTTCACTCTCATTTCACATACATTGTACAACTCGTGCTTTCCATACATACTGTGCTCTTTTGCTTTCTGTTGCTGACATATTGAGACCATTGAACACTTGTGGTCCTGTACATCTTCATGATTCTGTAATTCATCATTGGGAGATTCTGTAAAAGCCATTCATTTCATTGTGAGGTAAAGGAGGGAATAAGTATATGTGTCTTGTAAGATGTATGGTGATTATAAACAGTTAAGTTATGCATGTTTTTAAGTACTGGAGTGAATTAACATAGATTTAGAATTTTCAGATTTTAATCTTTTATTTTTACAACTTAATGATGATTATTGCTTTAAGTAGACAGAATTGTTCCTATGTCCAAATGTTAATTAGTACATGTAGCAGCGTTTTCCTTGTTTCACCTTGAATTGTATTTAATGCTTTATTTCAATTTCCATTCACTGTTGAAAATTGCTTGCCTATAAAATGTATGCACAATGTTTGCATGAAATAATGAATATAATTTAAGAATTTAGTTACATGTATTTGTGAAATTGGTCTTTAATTCACAAGTAAAGTAAAATTCTTAGAAACAAGTAATGTCATTGTCATAAAAAGTAAATAGTAAAAAAGTATTTTCAGTTAGTTACAATTTTTGCTTGATTCTTCAGGAAATCGTTCTTTTATATTTATGTCTACATAAGAATTTTTTTAATACAAAATGTAGGGGATTTAAGACGTTGCTTAGAGTTGAAAATGGCTACATTTTATGTATATAAATTACATTAAGTAACTAGTTGTTAATACTGTATTATGACATATGATATACAGTAGCTGTTGTATTTCCGACTTATAATTAGGTATTGAAGTACAAGTACTATAATTACAAGTACTGTTTCTGAATGTCAGTCTAATTTTTACCTACAACAGACTTACTCTTACAGTGATATGTAATTCAGTAAGTATAACTTTATTTTTCGCTTACTTTCAGATACATCTCCAGGGACCCACATTGGTTTGGATCTGAGAACCAGGTTATATTTAGGAGGAGTGGATCCAGATAAGAAAGTTCCTGATGGTGTGGAGGTCCAGAATGGATTCTATGGATGTATAGCTGAGGTTTGTGTAACTTCTTGCTTCTCTGGAAGAGGGAGATTTTAAACATCATTAATTATGTATTTGCTTCTTTCCAATAGAGATTTTTTTGTTAAAAATTTATCATAATTAACTTACTGAAATTAAAAGAAAGTATGTTCTCATATGAGGAACTTGAACATGTGTTTAAAAGTTGTATATGTTATGTATTAGGTTAATAATAATACACACAAATATACATTTGTATGAAATAAGTAAACAATTTTTTTTGTGTGTTTAGTTGAAAATAAACATGCTGTCTACCAACCTTGTCAAAGATGCCATAGAAACACTTGATGTGCGAGATTGTGAAGAAACGGACATCTGCAATAGACATCCCTGTAGAAATGGGGGCACCTGCCAGGGGGGTACTGCATCCTCCTACACCTGTCTGTGTCCAGCTAGTTACACTGGTGAAAAGTGTGAGGTGGAGATTAATCTGTGTTTGACCCAGCGACCATGTCAAAATAACGGAGTCTGTAGCGTGACCAACACAGGATACAGGTGTGACTGCCCCTTAACATTCATGGGAAAGAACTGTGAAGCAGGTAATTAATAGGTCAAAAATTACAGTTTTGCTTTACACACAAAGGTGTTTATGAACGTGATTGTAATCCAAATTTGATCCTTTTTTTGTCATTTTTTTTCCATTACTGCATACCTCCAAAAGTTTCAGATCACATGTTTATTGGTTCCAATGACTGATACATTGTAATTATGAAGCAGATTCTGAAGTTTTTAAACGAGCAATCATTGGAAGAAATGTCTGCAAAGTGAGTTTAGAAAAAAGATGTGGTAGATGGATGCAGAATTTTATTTGCTGCATTGTAGTAATCAAGCTAGGAGAGAACATTGAGGTGAACCGTGATGGCTTTGTGGAATTCTCCAAAGATTACCTGACGGCCTCTCCCCAGCAGGAAGAAAACATGAGGTTTACCCTCAAAACAACAGAGAGCAATGGTCTAGTCCTGTGGAAGGGTCAGCGCATGCCCCTACAAAGGTCAAGTAGTGGAGACTACCTGTCCATCGGATTAAAGAATGGTTATGTCATGTATAGGTAATGGAAAGTTTACAGACTATTGTTCACTGGGTTATTTTTGACCCATGTTATTTTTTGACCCATGTTATTTTTGGCCCTAGTATTACAATTGCAAACAATTTTGCCTTGTTTTGAATATGCACAAGACATAAGTTGAATTTAAAGGGAGATAACTCTGCCTCTGTTGAATTTGTCCCATTTTGAATTTCTTCTTTGGACAACAAAGGCAAAAATAAAACAGAGCTAAAATTTCCCAATATACAGTACAGTTGAACTTTGGTATCTCGAACACTGATATTTCCAATACGATGGGTATGTGGAAGCGATTTGGAAGCCCCAGTCACTTTTTCTTATGTATTTTAACTTTGATATCTTGAATCTTCAGATAGGTTCCATCAAGTTTGAGATAATGAAGTTTGACTGTACATGTATTTGATTTTTTGAATTCCCTTTCTTATCAATTTGAACCAAACTGATGTAACCAAATAACTTTTTTCAGCTATGACCTGGGAAGTGGTCCATCAAACATAACGTCACCAATCAGAGTCAATGATGGGTATGCACATATCATTGAGGTAACCAGATTAGGTCGGCAAGGAAGCTTGACCATTGACAACAATCTGTCATATTCAACTTCTGGGCAATCCCAAGGACCGCTCCAGAGCCTGAACACAGAGGGAAATATTTTCTTAGGTAAGAACACGAGGGTTTCTGTTGTGGCGCCTTTTGTATGCTGACAGGAGAAAAAGAAAGTTATCTTCTGTATAAGAAAAAAAATATTTCACTGAAACTTTTATACATCTTTAAATTTTGGGTAATCCTGCATACAGCAATTTTCTCACAGCAGTTTCATTTTCCTGGGAGAAGAAACCCTGAAAATTGTTATAACTAATAATCAATACAAGGGGCAGATAATTGTTAATTTAAAATGGAGTGTAAAAGGAATTAGGTTAAAAGCACAGAAGTAACCATTAGGAAATTTGAGCTGTATACCATACAAGGTGAAGCCACTCCTCTGGTGTCCACCAAAGAAAACCTTTGATATCCATCATTCAAATTTGTCATTGAGTGTTTTGATATTTAGCCTCCATATTAGCTCTGTGGTTACTATAACATAGGACTGTTGATGCTGGTTAAATTTAGTGAAAAATATTCAAATATGATTTGTTTTTGATATAAAAATTTTGAGACAAAACTGCTTTATGTTTTATAGGAGGAGTTTCACTGGTGCCTACCATTACCAAGGGATCATACTCAGAGAACTATAGTGGTTGTATATCTAACATATACATACAAAATAACGGGCCTTTACGAGTCCCCGAAGATGCTGTTGGGGGATTTAATGTACGACCTTGCTTAAACAAGAAATAATTACTTAAAGTCTTTAAAATTACCTTCAAATGAGTGATATTTAAAACTGTTCCATACATGCATCCATGAATGAATGACATATGTGAATATTATGCAATTAGACATTGCAGGGGAATTTTGCATTCTTCACTGTGTTAGGTTATTTGCAGGTCTGTGCAAATAAATTGGGTGCTAGATACAGAAAATTGTTTATGTAAATCAAAGGCATTACACTTTTTCTTGATAGTTGTACAATTCTTTACATTGTGAAAACTCTGTGTAGTTTTATGTGTACATGTATATTAGCACTTTAAAAGTGTACAAACAATATCCATGTGTTCTGTCTATAGATGACTTTTAAGTTTTTATTATAATAATTTTAAATTGATATTTTTGTACCCGGTTCTAGTATTTTGATTTTACCATGTACCCCCTTTTTAAACAACTTTCAGATACATATTAAAGGTGCTTTTTATATACATTATTCTTAATGCTTTATAGACAATATTTGATGTGTATGTATAATCAATTTGAGTACTGATGATATTATGTGAGAGAGAACTAAGGGACAAGATCAAAAGTTCAATATCTGACCAAAAAACTAAACATTTTTTTTACAAAGAGACCCCTCCAACTCCAAACTAAATGATAGATGTTGATTCGAATTAGATCAGCAAATATTAGTATTTATTACACCATAAGTTTACTTCTTTTGTTTATTTATAAAAAGAAACATCATATACCAGAAACATAAAGTCTAAGGTACAATATACACTTCTTGTTTTATGTGTTATTATTGATGTCAGTCAACAATAACTTTTGGGGCTCTTATTCTCCTCCCCCCTAAGTATTTGAATTTAGTTTTTTTTTTAAATCAGATTTTGAGCTTTTGATATCATCCCTAAATCATTCAATTACTCTGCATGATTGAATGTAACTATATATAGTTAGGAAGATGTGTATTTAAACAGGTTTCTTCCCATAGTTAGCTTTTATTGTATTTCTTGAGTGTATTTTGTTCATTTATTCATCATGAAAATATCTTTTCCTTTTCAATACTCTTGAGATGTGAAGACTGTTTAAGACTTGACTTGACCAGGTTTAGAGGGTAAATGAAATTGACTTTGTTTTACATGTAATAAAATGTTTGTCTAACTACAAAATATAATTTCAGTGCAGCATTTATGTTCAGGTTATACCAAAGATGTCCCATTTACTGAGAGTCTTGAATACTCATGACAGCTGGTGCTATAAAAAGAACAACAATACTTGTGATATCCAACGGCTTTTCTGATTTTTTTTTTTATTTGTGACTGCAGATCTGTCTATCTTGAATGATGTAGGAGTATTTTTTCTCATTTTGTTGAAACTTAAGCATTATTCCCTATTTTTTTATCAATAATTTTTAGATGCTATTTTTATTTTTCTTTATTTCCATGTGTTGAACTTTTGTTTCATAGTGCATACATGTATATGACTTTTTTTTTTAACTCTGTTATTCAGTTTCATGACTTTAATTATTTCTTTACTTCAGTAAATTATGCAAAGTATCTATAATTTGCTTTTGGATTAATTTGATTTACTGGGAAATTGTAACTAATGAATGATGTTAAAGATCTAATATGCTTATTGTGCAACTTTCAAAATTAAGAATTAAAAATTATAATACAAGTACTTCACATGTCTTTTATGCATATTTTCTTTATTTGCTGGAAACTCACATCTGGTTAGCTTTAGGAAACCCATCATAGTCGTTTTTTTTTTTGGGGGGGGGGGGGGGTGTTTCCATCTGACGTAGGGCTGTCTATGCAGGTACATCTGTTTGTCATTGCTGTGTAAGGGGCACTGGCATAACAATATAAAGGATTTTCAAAAATGATTAACATTTATAATCCATTAATGCATGTTTTGCCTTTTTTTCTTCTTTTTTATTTTCCCCTTTGACATATAGTCAAGCACTCCAGTGTGTTGTAAAGTTATCACTGTAAATTGGTGGAGTTTTCATAAGTCATAAGGAATTTTACACAAGAGGTCCATGGGCCACTTCGCTCACCTGAGCATTTAAGATAGGAAGCATCTTCAGGTAGTGTAGAATCAAGTTTGTTCAAATCTTGTCCCCTAGGGCTAGGGTCACCTGAGCACTTAAGATAGGAAAAAAAGCAGAAATCAGTTTAGTATTGAAAAATTTAACTATATAAGTGGTCAAGAAGGATGATTTGAACAAACTTAAATCTACACTACCTGAGGACGCTTCCATATTTCTTGGCTTATCATGGCTTAAGTAGTTTCCTATACGATTGATCTTCTGTTTTGGTCCCACCCTACCCCTAGGGGACAAGATTTGAACAAACTTGATTCTACACTACCTGAAGATGCTTCCATATAAATATGACCAATCGTGGCTTAGATGTTCTTGAGGAGATTTTTAAAGATTTTCCTTATGTATTCCTATGTAAAACTTTGATCATCCGTTGTGGCCCCACCCTACCCCAGGGGTCATCATTTGAAAAAAAAAACTTGATTCTACACTACCTGAGGATGCTTCCATATAAATTTATATCATACATGTAGCTTAGATGTTCTTAAGATGAAGTTTTTTCCTATGTATTACTATGTAAAACTTTGATTGCCCATTGTGGCCCCGCATTACCCCTGGGGGTCATGATTAGAACAAACTTGATTCTACACTATCTGAAGATGCTTCCATATTGAGAAGATTTTTAGATTTTTTCTATATACACTGTATTTATATGTAAAACTTTGATCACCCATTGTGGCCCCAACCTACCCCGGGTGTCATGATTTGAACAACTTGATTACACTACCTGAGGCTGCTTCCATAAAAATATGATCAATCATGGCTTAGCTGTTCTTGAGAAGATTTTATAAAGATTTTTCCTATGTAGAACTCTGATCACCCATTGTGGCCCCATCCTACCCCCGGGGGTCATGATTAGATCAATCTTGATTCTACACTACCTGAGAGTGTTTCCACGTAAGTTTCATATTTTCTATCCCAGTGGTTCTTGAGAAGAGGATTTTTTAAAGATGCCATTATTTTTTCACTAATCCATAATTATCTCCTATCTCCTCTTGGAAGAAGGTGTGGCCCTTCATTTGAACAAACTTGAATCCCTTAAACCCAAGGATACTTTGTGGCAAGTTTGGTTGAAATTGGCCCAGTGGTTCTTGAGGAGAAGTCGAAAATGTGGACAGGGGGCGCCGGTCAGACAAAATGTGATCAGAAAAGCCTTCGGCTCAGACGAGCTAAAAAGCAAGAAAATGGTAAAGTGAAGAATGTTTTATTTGCAATTGTAACTAACGTATTGATTGTGCTGTCATGGATAATAAATAAACATGGAAGTTAATTATGCAACTCAATAAAACATCGCATGTCCATCATCGTTTATATGAGGGCCAAATCTAGAGGAGTTGTACTGCTCTTTACGGAGTTTAGTCGATGACACGCCTTGTGAGTAGGGCAAGAATTTGATGGTCATTATTCGTTCAGCGAGTTGGCGTGCGGGAAAATTCTGCATATCATCACCGCGTACATACATTCTGGTCAAATCTGAGCTGGTGTTGGCGATGCATTCCAAAAATGGAGTAGGGTCTGTTCCAGCTACACAAAATACCTGTAAACGACAATGAACCATTGTGATATGATTGACAAACAATAGAACAGCTGACAACTAGGTATTTTATTTACTTACTACATCTGCATATTTGTTAACATTGGTCATTCGAGTTTCAGTGCTGTCAATTGGGATTTTGGACTTCAGTTTCAGAATGCTTCTACTGTCGTGAACTCCCACTATCACCTGTGAATCAATAACTTGTTCATTAACTCTCTGACTTCTTGGAACAACATCATAATTAGCTTTCGTACTTGGATTAAAAATGAGAAGCGCAAGCAACCTCTTTTCCAAGCCTCCTCATTCTCTGGAGCAAACGAACATGCCCTCGATGGAAGAGGTCAAAACAACCAACAGTGTAGACTCTATCCACGCGGTCGTCCAGAGATTTTGCTATGAAAGATCGCCGTCTGCTCAACCGTTTAAATTGTTTACCATCTTCTTCTATTTCAGTACTCTCTGACCCACTGCTTGACTCGATCCTATGGGTGCAAGAGACCATTTTTAGCATTTAATCAAGAATTTTCATTGACCAAATAGTTTTATGAGATGTCCTTACCGCATTCTATTGATGTCGTCCTTTTTCGTCTTTGGATCATCGTACGGAAGCTTGGAATCCTTTTCCGGCTCTCCAGAAAGATCAAGAGCAGACGACTGCCTTGGTATCTGTTTCAATAATAATAATAAAAATATATGGAAATGCCTTAAACTTCTGAAACAATTGCAACATTTCACGTCTTTGCTAACTTACTGGTTTGTATTCAGAAACAATGTCTTCTTGTTTTTCTAGATCTGTTTTGATTTTCCCCTCAGGGACTGTTGTTTCTTCAGCCATTTCGTTCTTCTTTGCTGCTGACCTAGCAAGTAGCTTGTTTTGAAGACTTGCATGGGCCAAACGAACAGACAGGAGCAAACACAGAATTCCTATTATTCCAGCTTTAATAAGAATAAAAAACAACATACTAGTAACTGATTAACCCAAAATGAATCTTTAATTTCACACTTCAGTACTGACGCATTCTACACTCCGCTTGGACTTACATATGGAGGAGGCAGCACAAGCATTTGCCTGAGCCAGACAGAGACATGCAATTCCCGTGGATTCCAGTTTTTCCTTCAGTTTCCCTTCCATTACAGCGGCTGTACTGCTTTTGGACATTTTATCATCTGATCTACCATACAATCTAAACAAAAAATTGACATAAATAAAAATCAAATTTCATTCCATGTTTGATGAGAAGTTCTGAATTAACGACGTCACAAAAAATAAAACCTCTCGTAGTATGCTCTGAAATAGTCCTGTACCCGCACCACACCAAGAATGAACTCATAGAATATAATGATTCCACAAGCTCCAACATATATAAAGGATTCAAAGATGGAGAATGTACCAAATTCTGTAACCATAAGTACTGACCAGAGAGCAAAGACGTTCACAATCTGTAATATAATAACAAAAAATGTGAAGAAATCAAATCAGAAATTCCCCATTCATGAAATGAAGAATAATGACGTAAGTGGCACCTTGTCGCAAAAGGCATCCATGAATCCTCCAAGCAATGGATCATCAACCTGTCCAAACATCTGACGATGAGCCTTGGCTACGATTCCATCCACGTGATCCAAGAAGTCGTGGAGAACAACTAACAGAAAACCTGTCATGTGGCATTGGTACCTGACAAAATAGCCGAGATATCTCTGCAGGGTTATAAGTTTATAATATGATGCAAATTGGGAACGAGTATAAGAAAAACACTTCCCCTAAGCCATACTAACTTTAGACAGATAGCAATGGGTATCACCAAGAAGGTTCTGGTGTAGGAAACGATATTAGCTGTGAATATTGTGTAAGTCTTATTTCCTATAACCAGTGCTCTTGGAATTTTGGAGACGACTGGTAAAAGTGACGTCTGCAGAGGGGAGTACAGCAATTTGTCGTACAGGTCCATCTGTGCTCCAACAAGTGAAACAAGCTCACGTTAGTTCCAATTAAATACTGATAAGATCAATGTAGAACTCAAAAGTATTTTGTATAAAACATGTAATCTATGGCATTTTTTTCATAATTTGATGTTCGTAATTATATTTAAAAAATAAATCAAGAAGAAAACAGCCCATCAAAATTTTGATGATGGTACTCACCAATCTGAACAAGAAAAACTCGATAAACCGGAGGACAAATCCACCAACCAGAAGAGTAGTTCTCAGAAGCATGTTGTGTTCTCTGAAATTCATCAGAAGAGGAAATGATATTTAGGTAGACTAAGTTTAATACTTGTCAAAGACTGCAAAATCTCTCTGTGGATGCATCGTTCAGAATTAGGTATGGGACACCCAAAACACACGATCCATTGAAAATTATTATCGACAATTTTGATTTTTAAAAACCTTTTATGACAAAATTTACATTGAACTGATTACTCGCAAACAGGGTGGGAAACTCGCTGCTTGTCTTGTAATTTTGTGTCGATCTGATCTGAGGTTTAGAGAATTATTTTACGTCGCTCTTGTGCTTTGGGGAATGGGAGTTAAGTTGCTCGAAACCAATGCCAATTACTCAATATCCAATTTTACCCATACATGCAAATTAGGGAACCCCAGTCTTTCAAGTGGCGACAAAATTTCATAAATATCATGAATTCTGTCAAAGATTATGCCAGACGATGGGTCAAATATGAAGGAGAAGACTTTGACACTTTGCCAGAATGGATTAAATGTACAAGATTGATGTTGAAATCTCAAATGGTTGATAGGCAATAGGAAAACCACCTATCCTTCTGTCTTCGATAATTCAGAAATGAAAAAAAAAATAGATTACACGATCATTGTGTACTGGTTTCAGGGGACAAAGCAGGTAACAACATTGTCTTTGTAAGGCTCATCATTACAGTTGCATTTTAGAGGAACTTGGATTTAATTCTACAAGTGTTAATCCAATTTATACTCATGGTTCCCTTTCTAAGGTGGAAATTCTTCAAAATAATGTCAGTTTTAAATATTTTTCATATTCCCAACAAGTAACTTGAATTACCATACATATACTGGATTCTAAACTCCCTAAAAATCCTTACAAAGATATATAGCGGGTTCCAGTTAATGTTCTACCAAGCAATTTTCTTTACGGCTCATGAAAACAATTGTATTACCTAACAGCACTGAAGGAGAAACTTCAGGACTACTGTACAACATACTGTATGTGTAGTTAAAATAGCGGGCTACATATTTTAGCGGCTTTGGTGCAGACAAGAATGCACTAGTTGATGAATACCGTTAGTAAATCATTAATAAATACAGTACGGGGCGCAGACGTGCGCTGTGCTAATTCATGATTATGCCAACCACCCAATACCCAGTGATTGCGCTAAAATTTGAATACGTCAATTTACGTACTCATACAGTATTCGAGAAGCGGTGTTAATCAGATGTAGATACTTTAAAACTCCTAGGAACTTTTTTGAGAATTTGAAATAACAGAATTTTACCAAAATAAACTGCTTTTTCAATACAAATGGAACTCGTAAATTTGCTTACCTTGTCATTGGTCATTTGCAAACTTATTTTGTTAAAAAACATTCTGATTACACACACAAGTACTCCGTCGTTGATATTAAAAGTATGCTTGGGTTTCTCATTAACAATATCTATGTAGTTTTCGGAGATCAGGTCTTCCAACAATCTGCTGGAATTTCCATGGGTACTTATTGTGCCCCATTACCAGCAGACCCTTTATATATTCATATGAAGCAGGATTTATTCAAAAACTTCTACATGAAAAGAATGTCTCTTGCTGTGGCCTTCAATTCAACATTTATAGCTCAGTCGGTAAAGCGCTCGTCCCGTGATTGGGAGGTCGTTGTTCGAATCACAGCCGCGACTCGATAAAAAATAGGAAGCAACTGTTCCTTCGCCAAGCGCTCGGCACTTTGAAGTGAAAGTTGCTGGTCTTTGGGTTTTCGGTTTTGCGGGACGAGGTCCCGTGTCATGGTAGGCGTTGGCACGAGAAAGAACCCTCACTGCTCAGTGGCCCTGAGTGTCGAGTAAAGATCTAAATTTGAAGCCCTTCCGAAATATGGTGACGTCTCTAAATGAGTGAAAAATTCTCGAACGGGACGTCAAACAACATTCAATCAATTTAACATTAAGATATATCGACGAGGTTTTATCAATTAACACTACATGTATTCAGTTTCATTCCTGCGTTGATTTGATATATCCCATTGAACTCGAAACAAAAATCGACACCATAGAGTCTGACACATGAGTGTCATATTTGGACGTTTTACTAGAGAAAAACTAGAGACAACTAAACTTTATGATAAACGCGATGACTTCCAACTTTTCTATTATTAACTTCCTTTATTTATGCAACAATATATCATTATCACCTACATGCATTTGGGGTATATGTCTCACATTTGATTCGATACGCTAGAATATTCTACATGCGAACAATTTCTTAAACGAGACAAGCTATTGACAAGTAAGTTGATGAAACAAGAATATCACCAATCTCGTTTAAAGTCAACCTTTCGCAAATTCTATGGTCGATATAATGACCTTGTTTGAAAATATAATCTGTCGTTTAAGACAAATGTTGACTGACGTCTTTCATACAAATTGTTAGACCATTATTTCCACACTGAATTGTCTACTGATTTTTATTTTTACCTGATCAGGACAAAGAAGCACACGGCGGGTGTGACTGGTCGACAGGGGATGCTTACTCCTCCATTGCACGTGATCCCACCTCTGTTTTCAGAGGTCCGTGTTGACTCTGCTCATAATTTGTATTGTTTAAATGGACTTTTGAGAATGACCACTGTTCGTTATCTTCACATTTCATGCAAAGATAATGATTGTATTTCGTTTATTCGGGGAAAAATCTTTGCGTTTATCATACGCAATAATATGTCACAGAGGAAAATAGATAAGATAGATCGACAGTGGAAGATATTCAAAGGAGATGTTACAAGATTATAAACTAAACAATACAAACAAATTCAATCAATATTTGATAGCGACACCCTTAGCATGAAAGCGAATTCTCCGATTGCATACCAGACACAGAGTACGTACATGTTTATATAATGAACAACATACAACCACAAATAATCTAAATATGTAAAAATGAAAAAAAAAAAAGATTAAACATATCTTAGGGTTACCAGAATCATCTCAGGTTTCTGTTCAATCCTACATAAAAGAGTCAAACATTTGATGATACAAACATTTTACTTACTTTGGAAGATTGTTTCCCCTCAATGTTTGTACCAGTGTGTGAACTACTTAGAAACAGACTACAAACAAAAGCAGATGACCAAAGTTAAGATAAACTGATAATCCATTTGATAAATTGCTTCAGTCATGTAGTAAAGTAACTTTTGATCAGATAAAACTAAATGTTAAAGCGCATTTTTTGATGCACATACGCAATACTTTTTTAGTGGTTTGGACATCTCTTTGTCCCCCCTTTCCTCCTTCTCTTCACTTCTCCAAATCGCGTAAATATATGTACCATCGATGAAGTCCCGCATCTCCACCGTCTAGTTTGCAAAGGGGTCTCCTCTCCAGAACTGCAGTATAGATGAAGTACTAGAATGTTTTCCGGAAAAGGACATATATACTGGGTAGTTATTCTATACCGTATATATATCTGCATTTGAACCTAAAATTGATTACCTGTATTTGTAATTTTATAACTTGCCTTCAAATTTGGCTTAAACCTTCATCGCTCTTTTTCAAAATCAATTAGATTGGCTTAAATAGGTTAATTGAACAAGTTAAATGCACAATGCACTATGTTACTAGAATCATATGACTTTAAGGAACTGTTCACATAGTGTTTTGTGAAAGCACTTCGTTACTGGAATCATATGACGACGAGAAATTTTCATAGACTTTCCATGAATCACGTGCAGAGTGGTGTTTTTTTCTTGCACCTCTGTGCTGTTTTATTATCTAGCTTTTTTTTTTTTTACGATCCTCAGTCTTTCCACGATATATACAGGTTTGTTTCTTACCTGTCCATTGTATTTGTATCACTGTGTGTGAGAGAGAGGGTGTGTGTGTGTTCCAGAGTTGCATGATCCTTGGCTTGAAATAATTTGTCGTGAAATAATTCTTATGACGGAACCATTAGAATATTGAAGAAACCAAAGATATTCACGCACATTATACAGTTAGGTACAGAAAGTGAACTAGAGTAAGGTTGTGGCCATTTTATAATTTCTTTCAAAGTCGGATCTACACTGAGGCATCTGCAAAAATTAACTGCTCTTGCTCGATTGCACTCTTTCTGTCTTGCTGAGAATTTTATTATTTAATTAATTGAATTCTCTTTTATATTAACAACTTTCTTGTCCTTGTATCCAGAATGTCCTTTCCATAAAGTTTTTACGTGATAATGGAGTGTCAATAATTCTTCAGTCAGAGAAACTGTGGTTTGATTACTGTGCCCCCTCCCTTCCGTGTCATCCCATCTTTATAGAACGATGACGAGGACATGGCTGCTATCTGCTTGGTATGGAGTCCAAAATTAATAAAGTAAAGCACAAGCTTTTAGTTTGTTTAGAATCTAGATACAATGTATCAACATTTTGACAAGTACTGTACACATTTAAATGCCTAGGTAAATTCGTACAGTATAGCCGCAAAATGGGCATGGGCATTTGGCTCGTCTCCCCCCAGATTCTTTGTAACCAATACCGCTCAACTACGCCAATGAATCAGTCAAAGCTCGCTGCAATGATTGTGATACATCAATTTGTTCAATCTTTGCGCACTAATGCAAAATTAAATTTTCGTACAAGTTGATGATAAATTTATGTAATTTAGTTCTTGTGAAACCTATGTAAAATGCAGTCTTTGGAGGATTTAGAGAAAACCTCCTCCCCAAATGAAGTTTATCCAACTTTTTTAATACCCGCACTTTCTATAGAAAGCTGTTATCTCGGTCCGTCCGTCCGACTGTCTGTCAAATTATCTCCGTCAATCAGTCTCCTCTTAAATTTTACTCAGTAGCCAAATCATCTTGTTGAATATGATACAGATAGTGTCCTGTAGGTATACAATAAGGTTTTTAAAAAATTTCATTTTCACCCTCGGGACCAAAAAGACATTTTCCCACATAAAGCGGTTTCCCAGAATTCCACTCAAATTTTGTGAGTAGCCAAATAATTTTTTAGATTGTGATTGGTGATGTCATTTTCACCCTCGGAC